ACTCATCTTGTAGTGATCAAGTGAGTTTGGCCCTCATCTCCTCAACATCCTGGCTAGCTCTTGACTGGGGGCTCCCATTAACAGCCAAGGAGAAAACGCTGCATCGTCCTCCGTGATTTATACCAGCTTATCTTCTTGTTTCCCAAAAAATTTCTATGAAGAAAGTAGTTCTTACTCTCCAGAACATCAAACAATCTGCTCCTCGAATTTCCCCAGCCGTTTGATATATAATTCAACTCTACCACCCTTCTGCAGGAAATAGAGGTTCCAGTGGACATCCGCGAAAGTCAAGGGTTTGAAAAGCTACAAAGGCAACGCCTATCATCTAAGTTTCTCAGGCAGACAGATCGAAACTGTACAGTTAGATATCTCTTTTTTTTTCCATTTTCTTGTTCATCATACCAAGAAGCGACCAAATCCCTACCAAGAGCTAAACTACACTGTTGAGGACAGAGTACCCCAGCAAAAAGTTCCTAGCGCAGAAAATTAAAATGAATTCATTTTCAGTTTTTTCAGCTCCTCATGCTCTTCTTCAAGCTTATAATATTCTTTTCAAGTTTTGTCTATTTCGCTTGATTTCTCAGTAAACCAGACTTATAAAGTTCAACCCAAAGAGGAAAGTCAATCCGGGGTTTTCCTAAATCCAACATCCCGAGAAAAAGGACCATAATCGGCAACTTCCATCTAAGGAATTCAGCGAAAGGACCATGAAATCGAAAAAATTTCCCAAACAAACAGAGAGAGAGAGAGATATCACTGCAAGTGTAAGCTTGGTTTACCTTAACGATACAGGACCCGGCCGCTGTAGCTTAACACAAAACAGCGGCTCGAATTTTGGTAGGAGAAGATTAAGAAAAAAAAAAAAGAGAAAAACACGAAACAATCTTAATGTCTTCTTTGAGATCCAACGGCTGAAAACATGCCAGGCACAACTGATAGATGATCTCTCAACCGCAGCGATATCACAAAGGCGTGCAGCGGCATCTGTGATGGTTTCGTATCGTTTGGTAAAGACTAATACCTTTCATTCCTCTTGGCCAATCAGTGAAGACTATGGCTTTACCACGCCTTCGACTCCTCAGTTTTTCAGCAATCTTATCTGAAAAATACCAATCATTAGACAGAATCATCATCCCCTTCCCACTTCCCCTTTGCTGACGAAGAGCATGAACACAAATGTGGACTAGCATCTCTAATTCAAGGAGCGGTGTCTTTCTTCCAGTGTTTGTAACTCGACACTCTCCTCTGCAGAATAGCTTGCGTTGATAAAACAAATCTATATCTATGCCTTGAGCTCTAAGTTCATCGGTAAAATACTGCTGACCACGAACTCCATACGCAGATACATCTCCTAGAATATATTTCACTCTACCTTGTTTTTCCTCCAATATGGCTTTCATATTCTTAACAAACTTTCGTGTTTCGAGATCCAAGAAAACATCTACTTTCACAACTGAATCATCCTTCTTACCCCGCGAAGACCCTTCGTCATACTTCTTACCCCGCGAAGACCCTCCATTACCATCATCCTTCTTACCCCGCGAAGACCCTCCATTACCATCATCCTTCTTACCCCGCGAAGACCCTCCATTACCATCATACTTCTTACCCCGCGAAGACCCTCCATTACCATCATCCTTCTTACCCCGCGAAGACCCTCCATCTGGCTTGCCCCACGGTGATCCTCCGCCCCATGAAGACCCACCAGCCCAGTCGGTAACTCCCTTGATATTGGCATTGGAAGCTTCTGCTGACTTGTTCCAACCTGAAGAGCCATCTTTTTTCTCCCCTGAACTAAAACCTCCACCCTGGTTACCCCAAACAGATCCTCCATGGCTAGAACCTTTCTTCTGTATCGAGTAGACTCGATCTTGTCCCGAGTAAACTCGATCGCTGGAGTATCCATCTTTGTTGACCCAACTACATTCTCCATCTCCTTTTCCGAAACCAAGATCAGATCCCACTTTCTTACCCCAAGAAGATTCTTCTTTCTTCTGACTTGATTCATTACTCCATATTGAGTCCTCCTCTTGTTTATTACCATCACAGCTTACTCTGTCCTTACCCCACGAACGTAAAGTAGAGGCTTCGGCTTTTGAAGCACCTGCATCTCCCAATCCACCAACAGTGCTAGCTTCAGGAGCAGGTGTTTTACCCCAGGAATTCCAACCACCAGACGTTGAAGTGTTATCATTTGGGACTGTCGGCTGCTGAGACTGCAAAGTCAGAAACTTACTGCGCCATGCGCTCCTGTAAGGAGGACAAGAGATCAAAATTTTGGAACAATTAAGGCAACACATCATCTCAGTAAGAAATGCACATAACTATTAACACACTTGTCTACATTCAAACATTCAACCGATGAATTCCAGCAATGCATAAAAAACCAATGAAGGCAAAGATCAGTTGAAGAGCAATTAAATCTGAATAAAATACCAATCAAGGATGGAAGGCAAAGATCCGAGTAGATGTGGAGCTTCCGCTTTAGGAACTAACATCATCCGAGTAACATCTTCCATGGTTCTATCATATTCATCCTGACCTTCAAATATCATATCTGCTTTAAATGGATGTGTTAGAGACAGATGGTAAATTTCCGCAATATTCAGGCTTTAAGCCTTTCAGAGTGCGCTAGCCTTAAAATTGGAGAAAGAGCTGGAAACTAAAACCACAACATAGCTGAAACACAAATAAATATCTCAGTGCAAACAGAAAACAAGACACAAATCACCAATTGTGGCAAAATCCGAGCGCTCAAACAAGACGAAACGGATAATCACGAAGATACGAAGGAAAAAGTTCAGACGAAAGCAGAGAAAAGAAATTAGAAATTACCCGCAAGGAAATCATAAACATCGCAGTCTTCTTCGAATCTCCCTCCATAGTACCCAAACTCGGCGGATTTCTCGAATAACTGAAGAACCGCTGGGTTTTTCCGCTTACTAAGCCTCAGGCCTTCATCTCTACATTCTCCTCCTCTTTTCCGTGTTTTTCCGCAGGAAGACGAATCAGTTCCGGCGACCTGTCTTACCTTCCCCTTGCCATCCATCTTCTTCGCGGTAGGTTTTAGGGTTTTTCACAACAAGAGAGAGAGTCAGAGAGAGTCAGAGAGAGTGTAGAAGAAAAGCTTTTTGTTCGAGCGGGAGCAAAAGTTCTAATCTTTTTTAACTATATAATCTCCAAATCTGTAATAAAAATACTTTTGGATCAAAACCAAGAGAATGCTTAAAACTTTGGATGAAAACGAAAAAAAACTAAGACTTTTGAAGAGAAAAAGAAATCAAACACCGTGTAATATGAAGAAGAAGAAAAATGGAAGCTTTTGATGATAAAGTTTCAAACTTTTGTATGAAATCCATGTTTTTAGTAAGAAATTTCTAAACTTTGTGTACCTTTTGTATAGTGTAGTGCAGCTGATCTGTAGATAAAATGTATAGCCTCCCGTCCTCTCTTCCTTTCAAAGAAGAAACTCTCACTTCCTCTGCACTTCCTCTCCTCTGTTTTCCGTACAGAGAGAACTTGAATTCATTTACATTTCTAACCCTATGACGTGGTCTCTTTATTATTTCTTTTTTAACCTGAACCCCTCACTTTTGTTCGTCTTTAGGAATTAGGAACATCCCAAACGAGAAAAGTATTGTCCAACCCTAATGGTAACACCACTAAAAAAAAGTCTTAATGATTAATTATTAATATTTTATGTACTTTATATATAAGACATTTAATAGAATTTTATTGTTTTTAAGCATATAATGAAGACATTTTGATGAGTATCTTAAAAAAAAAAATTTAATAAATTTATGTAAAATTTATTTTAACAAATTTTAAATCATAATATATTTTCACAAAAGTAATACATATAAACATATAAATTATAGAAATACAATTCACTGTTTGTTGAGAAGCCTTCTCCTTTGGAATTCCAGTGCTTGTTGCTAGGCATGAGATTTCAGATACTTCGGATAATTTGAATCGGATAATTTGGATAATCAGATAGTTTGGATTACTGAAATTCTACCGAAAATAACCGAAGTTTCTTACTATCCAAACTTTTAATTTTTTTTTTAAAATTAGGTTAAATTCGGTTAATTTCGGGTAGATTCGGGTTATTTCGGGTATTTTCGGATAGTTTGAATATTCGATTCGGTATAATTTGATATATTTTGGTATAATTTGTTTTTCTTTTTTTAAAAAAATTTGGGTAACCGTTCGATTCAGCAAACCGAACCGAACTGAACCAGTTAGAGAGAAAGAGGAAGACAAAAACGAAAAATAAAAATGAAAGACTTTTTTTGTTAATTTTCCCTATCCACTTATAATCTGCCACATGTCCGTTCTTAAATAAGAACAAAGATCCTAATTTAGACACTGGTCTAAAAATTAAAACACTCCTTATAATTTTTTTATTCAATTATATTCTTAAGAATAGATCTCTTAGTGTTACTATTGGGGTTGGTCTTATGGGCGTTAATGTGTGTGAGGTCTAAAGTCTTATTTGATTTTCATATTGTCACTCCCCCGAGATTCTTCCCCCAAATCCGATTTTAAACCTAAAGTCCCCACATTTTCATTGAATCTCTTGTGATTGCGAGTAAATTCTCAAATCGTGAGAGGCGTTTGCTGGTGACAGAAACCATTCGAATCAAGTCACAAGACTGAATTAATTTACAGAGAGACGGAACTTGTTCATCCGAAGGAATCAATTCAAAATCTTTGACCTGGAACCATGCCATGGAATTTCTGGACATGAGGAGAGAATACATGTCTAAGTCCACACCAAGTATTCGACAGAATGCTCAGTATTTTGTCTCACAAAAATATACGATTATCTGGGCCGCACAAAGTATTTTATATTTGGGCCGTATTTCAGGTACCCATATTGTATAAGCATAATAAAGAAATGCACATAACTATTAACAAACACACTTGTCAAGGTAGCATCAAACATTCAAGCGATGAATTCCAGCAATGCATAAAAACCGTAGGACTTCCCCTACGAATTCGGTTAGCTTTCGCATCGGTTATTGTAATAGTTCGGTTTTAAAATCGGTTATCTTTGTTTTGATGAATTTGACAACCACACTGTTCTGTAATACTTCTCCTTTTTGATATGATAATTACATCTGCTACAATTCCATCTAATGAAAGATCATTCCCAGTTATCATAAAGAAGCAAAGAGCAAGTAGAAAGCTAATACTGAGTCTTGCTCCTACACATAAACTAAGAACAAATCTACCGGAGCTTTCTCTGCTTTCTGGCTATTTTCATTTCGTTTCGTCACTTTTCAATGTTTCCGATGTCGTGTCAGCTACTACCACTCGCTCAGGTGGTCCTCTAGCTACTGGTAAGCCACCACCACCACCAAAATTTGGCTTCGCTTTGCGTAGTTCACGAATATCACACGGCCGTTTAATTGCTGAAAAGAATCGGTTAGTGTTACCAATACCAAGAGAAACAGTTTTTAACAAGTGAAATCGTCAAGAAAAATACATCATACCTGTCCGTTAAACTCCATCAAAGCCTTGCGAGCTTCATCATCGGAAGCAAATGTCACAAAACCGAAACCTTTGGATCTGTCAGAGACTCTATCCATGACTATTTGAGCTGAGAGGAGGAGGAATAAAACAGCTCAAAAAAAAACTCTCAGATACGAAGAGAGTATAACATGTGGAATCGATGTACATTTGATGCGAACAAAAATAATGTATACTGGATATTATACCTTCAACAACTTGGCCACATTGTGAAAATGCCTCGGACAATCCTTGCTCGGTAGTGTAAAACGATAATCCTGAGAGGAACATAAAACAGGATTGATTGGGAAATGAGCATTATTGGAGATTGTAAATTCACAGTCAACAGAAAACAGAAGAAACAGATAGTTTCTCTTGGGAGAAAGACATCAGGTATTTGCTAATCCCATGAGGCTCAACACCAGATTGTGAACAGATTAAAGGCCACACTTGGCAAGAATAACAGTCATAGCTTATACAGAGCATAATATCTTCTCTGAGAGACTCTCTCATATGAAAGAGGTAAACTTATCGCATTTTACTGAATCACAGACAAAAAAAATTGCATCCATTGCCAACGATGGTTTGAAATTCCATCCACAAAAACCGTATAGAGGATGCCAGTACTGAGTGTACGACTAAATAACTTGCAATTTCTAGCTAAGAATGTCATTCAATTCAATCAACCTACAAATCATCTCTCCAGATATTGGATTCTACTGATCAAACCGGCAAGGAAGTAGAGAGTACCGCCAACAAAGAGTTTGGAGGCAACGCCACGGCGTTGATCGAAGAAATATGAGGCGGGTGAGTTTATCAGGCCGGTGGATTTCAGATGCCGGCCGCCGATCCTTGCGAATGCCGCCATTGAAGTGATGTCGCGAGAGGATCAAGTGCAAAGGATTGAGAGACTAAGGAGGAATATGCATGTGTATCTAGCAACCCGGGCCTTGGCCCAATACGAAGTCCACATATGCCGCGTATTTTATAGTCAGGCCCACTTCAACCTGAATATTTTCGGAGTCATATTAAGTGCTACTAATCGTAAAATTAAGTTTATACAGACTTAACTAACAAAATGTAGAAACGAAGAAAAAAACTTAATAAGAATTACATCTTCTTTGCCGGTTAAAGGTCGAACAGCTCCTCTTTCATGAAGGGTCTTCTGAAAGTCAGAGAATTTCCACGTACACCGTTCAGCACCCACAACATAAGCAGGTTTTTTTGTTTTACACTTAAGGCCTTTTGTTTTTAAAATGTTCCCCATTTTGTTTGCATACATAAACAAAATACAATAGAAATAGATAATCTTTTTCAAGACTTTGACTTGTCCAAACAAAAAGTAGAAAATCTTTTTTTTTGTCCACTGCATTCCAAAATGCGATTCCGTTTGACGAGTGCATTGTTAAATCGTATACGACGTGGCACTTGATAAATGGTTAAATAAACAAATTCTCAGTGCACCTAAACGTACTAGATCACTCTATCGTTTGTTATCCTCGAAAAGAAAAAGAAGCTAGCGTCTTTTCTAGCCGGACTGGTCTTGGCCCTGTATTACTTATAAATTTCCAAACCCGAAGTTCATCTAAACCGGGTCCAATTTCTCCAAAGTGAAACACTTCAAACCGTGATCGACCAAATCGAGACGTATTAGATTCAGCAAGTCTTTTTGCGGTTTGCGCTGGATCTGCATAACACTCGCATTTTGTCCGAAAAGGCTCTTAGGACCACGACAACATGAATAAGAAAACGACGTCGTCGTCTCATTGTTTATCGTCGTCTCTTTCGGGAAATACGTCAAAAATGGGATATCAGTTCAATCATTTCATATGAGAGAAGAAAGAAATAAAACGAATCTCGATCGTCCTTCTCTCTAAACCCTACGCCAGAGGAGAAGAGAGAGATATGCGTATCGATTCTTCACGTTGCCATCGAAGCTCTGGGCTACTTGAACCGATGATGGTGGGAATCATGGCTTCGTATTCTAAAGAAGGTCTCGCGGGTTCCGCCAAATCAGCCACGGAATTGCCTCCGAAGCTGCACCGCTTGCGTAATTTGCACCGGTATTTGCAAGGGGACGCCTCCGTTTTCCTCACCGAGCTTCTTCCTCTCCTTTTGGATCTTCTCTCCGATCAATTCGGCGCTGTCCGCAAGTTTGTCGCCGAGTAAGCTCTGTCTTTGTAATCTCTAACCCCTTTTTCCGATTAGTTTTTTTCAGTGCTGCTGTTTCTGCAGGTTTTCTGATATCTTTGTAATTACTAGCACAGACATAAATGAATTTCCAGAGTTTTTTTTTTCTTTTTTCTGGGTCCCGGATGGTGAAATTGTTCAACTTTGGTCTTTGCGAATCTTGTTTTTTGTTGTCCTGTTTATACAAATGGATTCGTCGTATATGGACAACCTAATGACGCACAGTTTCTTGCCTTGGTATATCTACTTGCTGCTAATCCTGAACACTCTCTTCAGGGAGTGGTTATAAGTTACGGTTTAGTGTCTGTCGTACTCTCGTTAGCGTTTATTGCGACTAGTATAATCAAGAACGTGTTCCTCTCTTGACCTAGGGAATGTACTTAAGTCGCTGAACCTCCGATGGTATTTCAGATGCAGGATACTTGGTGAAATAGGCTTAAAACATGTGGAATATTTGCCTGAAATAGTGCCCCTTTTAATTAAGTCTCTCAACGATGAGGCACCAGCTGTGGCGAGGCAGGTCATAGCTTGTGGAGCTGATTTATTCCGTTCCACCCTCGAAAGAGTGTATTTTTCTTTTTTAGGCTCTGCATCTTTGACCCTTCTTATTTGGCATGCGTATTGCTATTTGGCTGTCTTTTTTGCGTTCCAGGGTTTGCATTCTATTGAGTTGGATGAGCTTCTTGAATCCTCGTGGACATGGATGGTTAAGTTCAAGGATGAAATATGCTCAGTGGCTTTCAAGGTGGGACTTAATGCTTTTTTTCTTTTTCTTTTTCTAATTTCCTTATGGTTTGTCTATCGTGTCTGATTGTAGTTTTCCTTGTGAACAGTGGTATAAAATTGTGCGCTATGAAGTTTGTGGAAGCGCTTATCCTTTTGTATACACCTGACCCTAGCGGGTCTTCGGAATCTCCTTGTCACGAAGGTCCTCTTTTGAAAATTGGAGACTTGTCGGTTGAGGCCAGCCAGAAATTGGGTTTACTGCTTGATCAGCTTAGGCACCCTGCAGCAAAATCTCTAAATAGCTCGACGATTATTGTTCTCATCAATAGGTGAGTTGTTTGTTAAGTGCATCTATTTGTGCTAGTTTTATGTTTCTTTCTATGCTTCTTTTGGATCATTTTTGTCTAGAAAATCTTGGTAGTCTGAACATGAATGAAAACCTTAGATCTGACGGTTATTGTCTGAAGAGCATCCAATCTAGCGGGGTCTAGGATCCTCTGATTAGAACGGGGTAGTTGTGAAAGTATGCATTGCTGCGCACGCACAGTTTCTAGTATTCAAGGGAAAAGTGTGTTTACTAATCTGCTGGTATTTCATCATGAAATTGTGTAGATGGAGATCCAGGACGTCATGTAAATCTGTCTTATGGTTCAAGAGTTCCTCTTCATTTCCCATTCTTTTTCGTGTACAGTCTTTGATCAGTTGCAAAGAAGCGTCCTGCAAATTGTGGACGAATTCTGCCTGTTCTACTGAGCTTGGATTCCCGAAGCTTTCTCAAAGGAGTGCATGCAGCAGCAGCAAATCTTGCCCTGGAGACTGTATTTCTCTCCTGCTTGAAATGCACACAACCCGCTGCTGCACCGGTATCGTTTTGTTTTTGTCACCTCTAAGGATTTAGTTCACTCTTATTTTCTAGTTTACGATTGATTATTTTGCTTTTGTTCTGGGCTGGTATACATTCATTGCAACTAAACGACCATAGTCCAATGTTTCTTTTTTTTTACCTAGCTTACTTGCTATCCTATTGTTACTAATCAATTAATAGTTATAACCCTTCTTACATATATTTAGTTGGTATATTCTCGATGGAGTTGTTTTCACAGTTTATTTGCAGTTACTTAGATCCCTCTTCTGCTGTCAATTGCTTTCACGGTGCTCTGAAAGGGATAGAAGGTGGCAGTCAAAGCTGAAAATCTGTTTTACAAGACTAACGGAAGTATTCAGGACAAAGACAGTGTAGAGGATGCCAAGGTATTTTGTTCCTCTATCCATCAATAACTGAATGATGTTTATGGTTGCATCACTATTTTTATTGGGTATATGTAGTGGATACAGACATTAAAATCCAAAAAAAAACACTAGTTTCAGGAAAATCCTCTATGTGCAAGTTATGTCGTTGCGGCAAATTGACTCTGGTAGGAAAATATCTGGATCAGAACACAACATTGATCTGAATGGAGATGCTTTTGAGTGGAAAACGAGTCAAATGTGGACGCTGCTAGCAAGAGTCAAGATGTGAGTTTCAGTGGAGAACTTCTTCTAGCCGTGATTCGCTCAGTGTCAGTAGATAAGTCTGAGGAATTTAGTCCCAAGGCGACTGGCACAGGTTCTAACAACGTGGTTTCCTCAACGGCAACTTCACTTGCTTCTGCGCCTCAGTTTGTCTTGCCTAAGATATCAGCACCTGTTGTTGACCTTTCTAATGAAGAGAAAGACAGTTTGCAGAAGCTGGTGTTTTTGCGCATTGTTGAAGCATATAAGCAAATATCAATGTCTGGTGGTTCACAACTTCGCTTTCCTCTTCTTGCTCATTTGGGAGTTGAGGTCATTTTCCAAACCATCTTTTCGACATTTCTTTTTTTGCTCCTGCAAGCGTTCCGAGGAGATGGGTCTCTCCTAGCTCTCTCTTAGTTCAGCTTATGATTCATTACTCTGTAAGAAAATTTCTTGTCTTATTTTATAAATTTGAAACATATCGGCCTCTGCCTGATTCATGCCACTACTCTTAAGAGTCTGGTTTTTGATAGAAAGTGAATATTTCTGGTACTTACCAATCGTTGTTCGCTTTCTATGACTATTCATGCTTTCCTGTTATATGTGACCTAGTCGCTACCAATATATCGGCAAGATGATCGATTGAAGCATGATGGCATTTTGTCTCACATTAATTGATCGTCGCGTTTGCCATTGTTGCAGTCTCCTTCAGAGTTAGACCCTTGGAAAATGTTACCATGAGGTGAGAATTTGTTTTCGTGACTTTAAAGTTGAACAATTGAATTGGTGAATCCTGTGTATTTTTGATACATCCTTATTGTGTTTTGGTAGCATCGAAAGCCCAATTATAGTGGTGAAATCCATATGCTAGAGGTAGTGGTTTTCGCGAGATTTTCTAATTTTGGGGGCTCTGGCTTGAATCAACAATATCCTAGTCTTGACAATTGTTCGATGACATCCTATTTGATTAAAAAGCCATTTTGGCTGATCATTGTCGCTTCTGTTTTCAGGGACATGAGTTGACTGTGCGGATTCTTTACAGGCTATACCGGGAGGCAGAAGCAGAAGAAGATTTCTTCTCGTCAACTACTGCTGCGTCTGCATCTTAGTGAACTTTTGACTAGGATATTTGATATTTCTCAGAAACATTTTTACCTTCTTGGCTGAAGCACTTAGAGATTCTTTTCCACCGTCTGACAAATATTTAAATAAATTGCTTGGAGATTCTCCATTTCTGCCGAAATCAGTTCTGAAGTTATTGGAATCGTTTTGCTGTCCTGAAAGTGGTGACAAGGTTGAAAATGATTTGCAAAGCGGAGATCGTGTTATTCAAGGTCTCAGTGCTGTTTGGAATCTGATTTGAACGAGATCTGTAATGCAGAATGACTGCCTGAAGACCGCTTTGCAGGTTTCTTCTATCTCTCCTCTATGCTGATTCCTTTTTCTTCGGCCCATCCAACATTTTCATCATTCAGATTCAAGTGGTTTTTCTCATACAGGCTTCGTGCTTGTGGTTCTCTCTCCTTTATTCCTGACCTTTTTTTTTCTCCAGCATGTCATATCAGTATTCAACGGTTTTATATTGCCAAGTGTGTTATTCTTCAGTCACTAATCTTCTTCCTTTTTCACTGAATGAAAGAGTGCTGTTCATCACTTAGAAGAGATTCGCATGAAAGCAATCCGACTGGTATGTTTCTCTAAAACCTGAGATGTAGTGTGTTTCGCTGTTGGATGTGTTACCACTTTAATAATTGTGGATATCATCATACTATACCATCCATCACACAGCAGATTGAGGAATTTGCAAAGGACAAAGCTATTTTCCGTTGTGAGTTGCATTTCTTCAGAAAGAGGAGATGCTGAAACATTGATTGATGATTGTAAAAAGGTGGTCGGTCGTACACAATTTATTTTTAGAGGTTTGTATGCTGGGCACTGCCCAAGAATTATCTGACCGTAACTTTTTCAGCCGTTGAATGGTGTGGGCATGTATTCGTCCCCAGAAGCAACATCGTCAACTTCAGTTACCGAAGCTCAACGCTGTTTGTCACTATATTTTGCTCTCTGTACAAAGGTCTTGTGATTTTTGAACCGTTCTTCTACTGATGAAATATCTAGCCTTTAAGTTTGCAGCTAAATTTTGCTAAAACTTTTGATTCCTATGCGTATCATTTGATTTTCAGAAGCACGACCTCTTTGTCCCTGTGTTCAGCATTTACAAAGATGCATCAAGTCCTGTTAAGCAGGTAACACTGGAGCATGTTGTTTGCATTTTCTTAAGTCAGATTTTTAGTAGGAGATGTCCGCCACTTGTTTGGTTGTTTATCTAGAATTCATCAACCCCGAGGTTACTTCCTCAGATACTATCTTAACGTTCTTATCAGGTCATAGATGCATGCAATACCTGTTTCGCACAGAGGCAGACATTCGCTCAACAGGCTGAATCAACTGGTACGATAACAATCTCCATCTTACCGAGTTTGTTCTTCAGGTCCAGCAAATTCCACTCCCAATGTTTTTCATGCGTACGTACAGTTTTACAAGCTATCCGTGCTTTTCCAGCTCTGGTGAAAAGCTCATAACATCTCTCTTTCTGAAACCGCAATTTGATGCAACTTGATATTCTACCAGTCGGACTTCATCCTGGAGATCCATTCCCGTCTGGTTAGCGAACAGGTGAGTAGTGTTCTTTGGAACATTATGCTCTCTATCTATATTGTCCATTCTTATGCTTCAGATATGGAAATATCCGAAACTTTAGGAGCGATGTTTGCGTTATACCTATGGACGATATGCTGTAATAGGCGGTCAATGGCAGGCAGTGGCTCCTGAGGAATGTGCTATTAAAAAACCAGATATCGTTGTGGTGAAAGCAGATGTTGTTGATGAAGAAGTTAAGTGGTTTGGTGTTTTTAGAATGTTGTATTTTGTCTTTGTGGTTGTAATGTATATTCTCGTGTCCCTCTTCTGCTGATGTTTGTTTTTTTAGTTAGTTGCAGTTTTGGTGAGATGAGTTTTCACATGCAGAATCTTACAATATGTAGTAAATTACGATCTTGAAATCTTGATCAACTCAATGCTATTGTATTCTTCTTGTTTGTTTCAATTAACACGCTTTTTAAAATGGACTCAAAATTGACCCACATACACGTGTGAGTTATGTATGCATTCGTCAGTCAACGTGTATTACTAAGGAGCACAGTATACAATTATTGGTATGTATATTTTGCGAATCTTAGAAAACCATTTATTATCAATGTGTTATAACTTATTACGATGTCCAGCAGAAAACACAAATCGGCATATTTTTTTAAGCCCCGTAACTCTCCTAATTTGTATTCAAAAACTCTAATCAATTGTAATTATTGAATTTCAAATTATGTTTTGGATTTAATAATGAGTTGGTCTCAAAAAGTTTTTAAGTTTAATGGAAACTTCTCGTCCAAAAAGTAAAAGTTTTCTCCATCCAACGCATTACCAAAGCGGTTACAAATCATGACCGTTTGCGGCTTTATCAGTTGGAGTGCTGGCAAGAGCAAAGACTCGAGTTGGACCAGAAGCTTTGCTAAATTAATAGTTTACAAAAATTAATTTATACGGCAAATTTGTTAAATCATGTTTTTCAACCGACAAAATTTGTTAAGTTGATTGACATTTTAGGGTTTTCCTAAAAAGAAAAGGAAGCGCAGATCCGACGGTTGAAAACATGCCGCAGATCTAACACCGTAATGTTTTCTTTGAGATCCAACGGCTGAAAACATGCCAGGCACATCTGCAGCGAGTATAAAAGCCATGAAGGCTGTCTCTCATCCGTAGACACACAGAGGCCGAGAAAGTCTCAAATTCTCTCCGTCGTCGACTCCGAACCATGGGCGAATCCAAGATCGAATACCGCTTCATCTCCGGTAAGACCTTTCTCCATCTCTTACTCGAAATTGTTTGCTAGATTTCATCTGATCTATCATAGATTCCATCTAATCGATCCGTCATCTAACTTATTGTATCGTAATATGTTTATGCCTTGTGAAGAGGATGAGACAGTGGTCTTCTGGAACATGGAGGACTACCCATTCCCTGATAGTGCCGATCTTTGTTCTATTCGTCTTAAGATCGAAGATGCTCTTGATCGAATGGGCTTTCATGGGCGTAAGAGATTCAAGGCGTATGGTGACCCACTGTACAGAGGCCAATTGGATAAGGCCGAATTCGTCTTCTGCAGAAAATGTAAATTCCTATACTTATAACACTCTTTGTCGTTTCCAATTATTATTTTTATTATAATTATTAGTATATATATAAGCGAGATCTTTTTTGTTGATACAGTGGGTGAAGGTTTGGGAATGCCTCTGGATTTTCTTTGTTTCGCAAAGTCCTTCGCTCCTAAACCAATAGTGTTTTTTGTAATCGCAAAACTTAGCCCAGAAAGCGAGTTGCACAGGGTTCTTCACTGTTTGAAATCGAGAAATCACACTGTTCTCGTAGTTGATAACACCACCGCAAAAGAAAGCCTATTTGATACTGTGGAATCAGTAGTTGGTTGTACCCAAGTTTTGGGTGGAGGAAAGCCTGTAAGCCATATGCCAGTGCCACAGGAGGACGAGGATGAATATTATGAGGACCAATTCTCAGAACTCTCTGAGGAGGATGCTAGCTCCCAATTCGATATGTCCAAGATGGAAAATTTCTCCGGTAAGACCTCTCTCCATCTCATCTTACCCGAATTTTTTTGTTTAGATTTGATTGTCCTAATTAACTAGCTGTATCTAACTCATGATATGTTTATGCCTTGTCAAGAGATCAAGTCAACCGTCTCGACAAGCGTCTTCTCCTGGAACCTGAAGGGCATCACAACCCCTTGTACTGTCATCTTCTGGAACATGGAGGACTACCCAGTCACTTGTGGTGGCAATCTTATTGATACTCGTCGTAGTATCGAGGCTTCCCTTAATCAAAAGGGCTTTCATGGGGATACGATGATGTGGGCGTATGGTGACCCTGACCCACAGTACGAAGGCCCATTGAAGGATGCCAAAATCACCCTCTTACGTAAGTGCCTAAACATAACACTCTTTGTTATTACCTATGCATGTCTTTAATCGAGGATCTTTGCTGGTATATAGGTTCAAGGGGTGACAATTCGGAACCGCCTCTGCATTTTCTTCGTTGCGCAGCAGCGACGGCTCCTGTACCAACAACTTTTTATTTAATCGCAAAATTAAGCCCAGAAGTGCACAACATTCTTCAGTGGTTGCATTCAAGAAAACACAATGTTCTCGTAGTTAATCACGACGCAATGGAACGTTTGAAAGTTGGAAAGCCATCAAGTCCTCATTCTCCTTTGGAAGGGAACCAATCAATTTCTGATCCTGATCCTTCTGATAATGTCATCTCCGAGATGGAAGATTTGTCCGGTAAGACACCGAAATTGTTTGTTTAGATTTCATAAAAAAATAACGGTTATGGCTCAGTTAACTTACTTTTTTATCGTAATTTGTTTGTTCCTTGCAGAGCCCATCACGCCCGTCAAAGGGGTTAAGACTGTCGTCTTCTGGGACGTCGTGGCTTGCCCATTCCCTATTTGTTCCGGTCCGGATGAGATCTATGGCAGAGTCGTATCAGCTCTTGATGAAAGGGGTTGTGGAGGTGAGATGGCGATCTGGGCTTATGTAGATGAGAATGACGGGTCGTCTTGGAGTGGTGAGTATCTGCGTGACAAGACGTGGGAATCCAGAATCTACTTTATTCCCGGAGGTGAGAATTCGCCATCCAGACACTCCTTACGTCTCTTATATGTGTGTATGTATGTAATCTATATATCTCACTTCTTCCATTATACTATTTTTGCAGGGGATAAAGCCTCGAGACTTCAGAGAATGTTACATGACACTGTTTTATGGGAATTGGACTCTCCTCGGGAATATTCTGATCGAGGAGACGTGGTCGTAGTCTCAGATCAAGTCGGAGATGACACGATGTTCTTCCGTATGCTTGAATATATGACTGTGAGATGTTTCAATGTTTTCTTAGTCACTCCGACTCAGCACGTCAACAAACCACAAAGCGCTGACTGGCCAGGTTTGCTACTAGATCATGCACGCTCTTTGGGTTCCCGAAGCGAAAGCCCAGAACCTAGTCCCTGTTCTGGAAGCGAAAGCCCAGAACCTAATCCATGTTCTCGAAGGGTAAGCCCAGAACCTTGTTCTGGAAGCGAAAGCCCAGAACCTAATCCATGTTCTGGAAGCGAAAGCCCAGAACCTATTCTCGAAGGGTAAGCCCAGAACCTAATCCATGTTCTGGAAGCGAAAGCCCAGAACCTAATCCATGTTCTCGAAGCGAAAGCCCAGAACCTAATCCATATTCTCGAAGCGAAAGCCCGGAACCTAAACCCAAAAGGCATAAATCGGATGCGGCCGAAGTAACAGCCGAGGGAATGGCCTCTACATGTGTTGGGTTACGTCTGCTGCCCATTGCCTTGAAGGGACCGAGAACCGGAAGGATCATCAAAAGTGGCTAAAGGGTCAAAGAGTGGAAGTCAGTTGGGAAACTCTCGCTGAGAGAGTATTTAAATACTATCTAAATAAGCTCAGTCGTGAATACTTGATTATGTGGACTAGCTAGCCGCTGTTCGTAGTCGCTACGGACGCATTGCAACTTGTTTATTAATTTAAAAGAAAAACTCTTGTTTTATGTTAATATGTATTTCCCAATTTTTAAACTTCAACCTGTAGTGTAAATTATATTATTTATCTTTTTTTTTTTCCAGTTGTGCGACTTGTTCGTAGTCTCAGATCAAGTCGGAGATGAGACGCATGTCTTCCGTATGCTTGAATATTTGAGTGACTCCACTCAAAAAACCAGACAGCCAAAAATATCACAACATTTGTGTTCCCGGTTCCTAGAGTATATTTATATACAAGTACGAAAAAACTTGAGAATCAATCAATACCAAGAAAAAAACGAATCAAACGTAGAAATGACTAAATGATGTGTTACAAGAAACTGGGGTATAAAGTGAATATGTTTGTAAATTACGGGCACCATTTCTATAAAAACGTGTATTGCAACCTTCATCCAAAGGTCCAAAATTTGCAAGCGTAAAATCAGAATTGATCATCACGAGAGAAACCCTTCTGCAACATCTCATCGTGAAACCGAAACGCCCCGGTTAAGTTATCTTGAGAAACAAACCCATTTATAAGTTGACCTATCAGGATTTTACACCTCTCTCAATCATTTTCCTTAGCACAACCTCAGCTTCTTTCATCTGACGTTGCCTACAAAATCCATGTAAGATCGAACTGTATGTAAAGACAGCAGGCACTAACCCTCCTTGCTTCTCCTCCATCTTCTTCACCAAACCAAGGGCTTTGCTCATGTTTTCCTGTTTAACAAAACCATATATCAATGTGTTGTAACTGATGATGTCCGGCAGAAAACCTTCCGAATCCGAGATCATCTCGTCCAAAAAGCTTCCTCCATCCGACGCACTACCAAAGCGGCAGTATGATAAAAGTTACAAAATCATGACCGTTGGCGGCTGTATACCTTTACTGATCATTTCATCCCAAACTCGGAATGCTTGAGAAAGATGGCATTTACTGTACAACGCGTTAACCAGAATGCTATAAGATATTGGAGTGGGAAGTATCTCTCTTGATATCACCTACTTTACCAAATTCATCTAAGAACGCGTTGTATGTCACAACATCGAGTTTGATTCTCCTTTCCTTCATCTTCTTGAAAGGCTCCACTGATAAAGGTCCATCGATAAGTATGGTTACAGTGTAAGAGTCTGGAAATAAACTCCTCTCGGTTATCCGCTTCACCCAACATCATCCGTTTGCATAAGCCGTGCAGAATGGTATTGCAGGCAACATCATCCACTGAACAACCGTCTCATTTCTCTAACTCCCTAGCTTCAGAGATCATACCTTTTCTACAATACCCTTGGATAAGAATTGTGTAGATCCCATTGTCCGGATTCAGCCCCGCGTCTTTCACACACTGTTGAAATACACTAACGCCTTGTCGAGATCTCCACTCCGAGCAAAGAGACTCATTATTGAGCTAAAACAGACCAAACGCGGAACAACATCCCTAGATCTCGTATCACTGAAAAGCTTCTCTGTTTCGACCGCCTCTCCCTTCTTACAAGCCTCCGCCATCAGGAATGATCTGTAGGTGGTGGAGTCAGGACACAACCCGGATTCTAGCATCTCAGCGAAAACGTCCTCGGCTCTATCGTACTTCCCATTCTTACACAGTCCATTAATCACACTATTATAAGTATAAACTCCCTTCGCACTTGTGGCCAAAAAGGTTCCAACTTCATCCATTTGACCATCTTTGCACAATGCCTTAACCATGGTGTTGAGTGTGTAAACATTAATACCGATGCCACTCCGCGAAACTCCCCAGGCCAATTCCACTTACCCGATGAGAGCGTTACACGCATCGATGAAAACCATGTAACTTTTGCCTCAGAGCTGGAAATGAAGCAGATCGTATTGTGGAAGTCATCGACCTACCTCCGGCGAAACTACAAAGGCAACAGTCACAAGCAGGCTTGGTTCGCCGTCGCTGTAACATACTAGCCTAAAGACTATTCTGCTCTTACGAAAACCTGCCCCGCCTTCGAGGATGAATTCGGCATAGTAAGAAGAGTCTCCCCATCAGTTTTGACAGTTTTTTTTCCGTATTTCTTATTCTTTTGAAAAAAGTCGTATGGATAGATCCTATACAATTAATTTCATCAGTGATTGAAATTTCTATTTCTATTTAGCTGGCGTGTGCAAAGTAGTTTGATAACGATGTTGGCACAGATCACTGTCAATGAATGCCTCTTGTGTCCTTGCAACTGACTGCAGAGGGATTTTCGGAGTAAGTACATTGCCATGATGCACTGACGAAGGAACCTGAAGAACATGATGATGTTCGTTTCCAAGCAAATAAGATCGATTCCCAAATAAAGAATAAACAAGTCAAGAGGTCTACAATTCCTCCATTTTAAGACAATTCTCAAGACAAAATCCTGAGATCATAAAACATAACAATCTCTTGTAGAGTTAACTAGATCTTTTTTTTCTAAAAGCGTTACAAACGGTCTAAATAAAGAGAAAACTTGTCCTCAACGAAAAGGGAATGATAGTTGCGAAGCTCCATGAGAGACAAGATACATCAAGACGGCACTGAAGAAAGAAGAAGAAACAACGTCAGTGTCAACCAGTAGAAACCAAGCTTTTGCACAATTGGTACAAAGATCCAGACTTACTGTATGTGGAAGTATCAATTTGCTCAGGAAGTGCTTTTATATCAACTTCAAACCTCGCTTGCACCTGTAAACAACAAGAAATTGCAACTTTTATTAAATACCACAGTTCATCATCATACCAAGTCGGCGCTGGGCAGCCTTAAGAAGAAGAAGATCAAACTCCGAACCTGATTTAGAACTTCAGAATCTGAAGCTGAGGCGACAAATGTGATTGCTAAACCCTTTGTACCAAACCTACCAGCTCTCCCCACCTATATACCATAAACAGAGTGTAACAGTGATGTTTACAAGAGCCCTTTGTTCGGTGAGAATCAATAATCTATATTTATAAAAAAAGGAAACATACCCTGTGGAGATACGTGTCAGCAGAATCTGGCATGTCGTAGTTGATCACAATGTTGACACGCTCAATGTCAATGCCTCTTCCTACCAAGTCTGTCGCCACAAGAATTCTCTTGTGCCCTTCCTTGAAACTTTTGTAGTGAGTCAACCTACATATCATATCACAGTGTACAGTTAAGAGTGTCGGTTTCCATGAAGGGGGCTTTGGTAGAAAGCAAGGATGATTCAGCAGGATAATGTTTGAGAAATATACAAACCTCTCTTCCTGAGTCATGCCAGAGTGAATGCAGATCGAGGGAAAATTACATTCAACAAGCAACTTGTTCAGCTCCTTCGCCCTGCTCACGCTCTTCACAAAGATGACCACTTGATTGAAGTCCAATGCGTCAAGAAGGTCATTCAGCTTGCGGTTCTTCTCCGTCTCGTTCAGTTTGATGTAGTGCTGTAAACAATGGCAGATAATAATGTTTAAACAGTCGATAATTACATAACAATGTGAAAAATAAGTAGACCTCAGACTAGATAAAGTACCTGGACAAGTCCGTGAAGAGTCAATTTGGCTTCATCATCAACATATATTTCCATTGGCTGTAAGGAACATATATCAGAGTAAATTGTATTAGCAAGCCTTCCTCATGCAATGATTTCCACTACAAAAATGATGACGGGTGAAGGACCCCCAAATTGAGATCCTCGTCCACCACGTTTGCATCCTCAAAGATCAATATTGCTCGGAACAGAGTGATGATGAAACCTTGAGACCTGACTACGCCCCGATTCAAAACCCACCCAGCACTTAGCATTGCAAATAAATAGAAAAGAAAAACAAAGTGATGATAGAAGACCCCACTGAGCAAGGACATCACGGTACCACCAACTTAATCTTCAGAGACCAAATTCTTCAAACCCCAACAAACTACCCAAGGCTTTACTGGACTGAAACCATGCATCCCGAGATCAAATGGCATGTTTCCGGGGCCAGAAGGTGCTCAAATAAATCTACGATCTCCCAAAGAAGGCTAGAAATAATTCAAGACTAAAGGACTTGTAAACCGAGATAGAATTGGCCGTGGGACATTACATCTTGCATAAACTTCTTGCAGACTGGGCGTATCTCTTTGCTGAGCGTTGCTGAGAACATCATAACTTGTTTGTCATGGGGAGTCATCTTAAAGATCTCTTGTACATCTCTCCGCATGTCTGACAAAGGCACGTTACAACATGTTAAAAACATACAAATTTTATATAAGAATATAATTTGAACATAAGAAAGTCAGAAATCTGCATACCAAGTGACTCGAGCATTTTGTCACACTCGTCCAGAATAAAGTGCCTCACATTCTTCAAGGAGAGATGTTTCTCCCTGGCAAGTCCAAGCACCCGACCAGGTGTACCAACAACAATGTGAGGACACTCATTCTTCAGCAAGTCTTTGTGAATGTTAACGCTGACTCCGCCATAGAACACCGAAACCTTTGTATCAGGCAGATAGGTACTGAATCGCACGAACTCATTGCAGATCTGCAAGTAATTTTGAGCACCAATGTATGAGAAAACTTTTTAGAGACAGATAGCAGATAACGGAATAGTAAGAGCCGAGAACCTAAGAAGAAAAAGGTCATACCTGGTAAGCTAACTCTCTTGTATGGCACAAGACAAGTGCAGAAACCTGGCCTGGAGATGGTTCAATCTGTTGCAGAGTAGACAGCACAAACACAGCAGTCTTTCCCATACCGGATTTTGCTTGGCAGATAACATCCATGCCCAAGATAGCTTGAGGGATACATTCATGTTGCACTGGTGGAGAAGCAAAAGAAAATTGCACCGAAGGAACCCTTTATAAGTAGAATATATAACCTCCGTGCCTTTTTAATTGGTGGCTTTACCAAATACTAAGCTCACTCCAAATCAATAGATTGAAATAGCGTTTATTACCTGGAAAATTTGATCAGTAAAAAGTCAATGGACATAGTCACATAACCAGGACAGCACATATGTGTTCAAACTAAGGGAGGTGATTCAATTTCAACAACAAATGACCAGCAATAGACTGCCCGACACATCACACTAGAGACAAAGGAACCAGACGCAGTGGACGAATTTTGTGTGTAAATTTATGCTCCAACAATTCACAATTAAATGGTGGAAGACCAACAAAACAAGTCAAGATGAAAGCTCAGAAACAAGTGTAGGGGTGGAATCTACTTGCCTTCGGATGGATGTTCAAATCCTGAGTCAACAATAGCTCGGAGAAGCTCCGGTTTCAAAAGGAAGTCTCTGAATCCAGAACTGTGTATTCCCACGTACCCTCTGGCTCAAAGAAAAGAAAAAATATTAGATTCTAGCAAGTTTTGCAATAAAGAACTAACAAATTACTAGTCTCATAGGCAAACGACTAGTGAAGCATTCGTAATCTCAGAACAAGCTCAAATATAAAGAGCCGGTGTTCTATTTAAACAGATCGAGAAAGAAAATACAAACTCACTTCTTCACGACTTCGCCGTTAACTTTGCTTGCAGAATCTAGGACCTTCTCGTCCTCTTCCTCATAGTCCAGAAGCTCCTCCTCGTAGGCTTCGTTGTCTCTAGCGTCTCCCATACTTCACAAGTTCTACAAAGAAAAGAGAAACTTCAGATAAAGTTCGTAATCGAAAGCATAAAACCTTGGATCAGGCGAGAAAGCGTATGAATTGTAACACTTGAATATGCAAATCGCATTCTCAAACTCTAAACACGTAAACTCGATGAATTTGCTAAGAATCGGTGAATTCTGATAGATTCAGAGTGAGGAAGTTACCTGAGAACTGAGCAGAGATGGCTAGATCGGGAGATCGAATTAGGGTTTGCAAATCTCTGATTGTAGAAAAATGGGAAAACGAAAAATATCAGAGCTACGGTAGAGACGTAGAGTCCAAAGAGAGATATGTAGTGAGAGACTAGATAGGGTTGAACCGAGTCTAAACTGGGCTTTGTTTTAATGGGCCGACATCTTGTACGAATCTATCAACCTTGTCCAACCATTCAAATCATTTCAACTTTGTGAATGAGAAACATTCCTAATGGGCAATTATACAAACTTCGATCATGTGGTTTTGGCAAATTCTATATTAGGTGTTTCTATATCATATTTGCTCTACCATTATTACACTCGAACCCATCTCTGCAGTGCCAGCTGCTATTTGAAACTCAGATAAGGGCGCACAAGGCCGACTCGTTTAAAGTTATAGGCCCATTAAAATGAAGCCCATTATACACACGCTCTCAACCCTATCTACTCCCCGTACAATATATATATACTAATCGCTGAGCAACAACGCAGCGTCGGCTTTTAATTTTTCGTCAATCAGGCAGGTATCACGAAGCCCTAATCGATTTCGAGATCCAACCAACTCTGCTTATCTCTCTGGTAAATTCCTCGCTCAAAGCTCATCACATCTCACTGTTTCTTTGAAAATTCTATCGAACTCACGCTGTTAAGAATTCGAGAACCCAATTGTATAGAGCAATTCGAGGTTTACTTTTAAGATGCTTTCTCTCTGAATCTTAGGTTTTTGTTTTGGATGAGAAATCTTACCCGAAGTTTATCTGCAGCTTATAGAATTTGCTAACTATGGACACTGATTCTTAGGTTATAGTTTTGTATTTGAAATCTTACCCGAAGTTTTTCCGCAGCTTGTAGAATTTGCGAACTATGGGAGACGCTAGGGACAACGAAGCCTATGAGGAGGAGCTCCTAGATTATGAAGAAGAGGACGAGAAGGCCCCAGATTCTGGAGTTAAAGTCAACGGCGAAGCCGTGAAGAAGTGAGTTTTTAATTTTTCCCCGATCTATTTCACGTAACAGTGGACGTTTCAATTTGTGGGAATAGCAATTTTTAAGTTCTTCTATGGGAAAATTCATCGAACCCAATTGTCAAGTGTGATCCTCTTCTCATCAAGTATTCTCTCTTTGTCTCAGAGGTTACGTGGGAATACACAGTTCTGGATTCAGAGACTTCCTTTTGAAACCGGAGCTTCTCCGAGCTATTGTTGACTCCGGATTTGAGCATCCATCTGAAGGCAAGTACCTTTCAATCTTTGAGTATTCTCCGCCTATTCAATGTCTTTACACCGTTTTGTTGCGGACTGATATTGTATAAATATACAGAAGTTGATTTCCGATGATATGTTTTCCTGTAAAAATTATTTTTATAGATTTAGTCTAGTTTAGATTGTATTTTATACTCTCTTGCTCCTCTGCTTGTAACCTATCTATCTTTTAGAATATGCTACTATAAGATTACTAAATTATTTCCATTAACATTTCACTGATTAATTTTTCCAGGTAATAAACGCTAATTCAATCTATTGATTTGGAGTGAGCTTAGCATTTGGTAAAGCCACCAATTAAAAAGACACGGAGGTTATATATTCTACTTATAAAGGGTTCCTTCGGTGCAATTTTCTTTTGCTTCTCCACCAGTGCAACATGAATGTATCCCTCAAGCTATCTTGGGCATGGATGTTATCTGCCAAGCAAAATCCGGTATGGGGAAGACTGCTGTGTTTGTCCTGTCTACTTTGCAACAGATTGAACCATCTCCAGGCCAGGTTTCTGCACTTGTCCTGTGCCATACAAGAGAGTTAGCTTACCAGGTATGACCTTTTTCTTCTCAGGTTCGGCTCTATTATTAATGCTGTGTGTCCCTAAGTTTCCTCATCCTTATCAAAATTACTTGCAGATCTGCAATGAGTTCGTGCGATTCAGTACCTATCTGCCTGATACAAAGGTTTCGGTGTTCTATGGAGGAGTCAGCGTTAACATTCACAAAGACTTGCTGAAGAATGAGTGTCCTCACATTGTTGTTGGTACACCTGGTCGGGTGCTTGGACTTGCCAGGGAGAAACATCTCTCCTTGAAGAATGTGAGGCACTTTATTCTTGACGAGTGTGACAAAATGCTCGAGTCACTTGGTATGCAGATTTCTGACTTTCTTATGTTCAAATTATATTCTTATATAAAATTTGTATGTTTTTAACATGTTGTAACGTGCCTTTGTCAGACATGCGGAGAGATGTACAAGAGATCTTTAAGATGACTCCCCATGACAAACAAGTTATGATGTTCTCAGCAACGCTCAGCAAAGAGATACGCCCAGTCTGCAAGAAGTTTATGCAAGATGTAATGTCCCACGGCCAATTCTATCTCGGTTTACAAGTCCTTTAGTCTTGAATTATTTCTAGCCTTCTTTGGGAGATCGTAGATTTATTTGAGCACCTTCTGGCCCCGGAAACATGCCATTTGATCTCGGGATGCATGGTTTCAGTCCAGTAAAGCCTTGGGTAGTTTGTTGGGGTTTGAAGAATTTGGTCTCTGAAGATTAAGTTGGTGGTACCGTGATGTCCTTGCTCAGTGGGGTCTTCTATCATCACTTTGTTTTTCTTTTCTATTTATTTGCAATGCTAAGTGCTGGGTGGGTTTTGAATCGGGGCGTAGTCAGGTCTCAAGGTTTCATCATCACTCTGTTCCGAGCAATATTGATCTTTGAGGATGCAAACGTGGTGGACGAGGATCTCAGTTTGGGGGTCCTTCATCCGTCATCATTTTTGTAGTGGAAACATTGCATGAGGAAGGCTTGCTAATACAATTTACTCTGATATCTGTTCCTTACAGCCAATGGAAATATATGTTGATGATGAAGCCAAATTGACTCTTCACGGGCTTGTCCAGGTACTTTATCTAGTCTGAGGTCTACTTATTTTTCACATTGTTATGTAAATATCGACTGTTTGAACATTATTATCTGTCATTGTTTACAGCACTACATCAAACTGAGCGAGACGGAGAAGAACCGCAAGCTGAATGACCTTCTTGACGCATTGGACTTCAATCAAGTGGTCATCTTTGTGAAGAGCGTGAGCAGGGCGAAGGAGCTGAACAAGTTGCTTGTTGAATGCAATTTTCCCTCGATCTGCATTCACTCTGGCATGACTCAGGAAGAGAGGTTTGTATATTATTCAAACATTATCCTGCTGAACCATCGTTTCTTTCTACTAAAGCCCCGGTTCTTAACTGTACACTGTGATATGATATGTAGGTTGACTCACTACAAAAGTTTCAAGGAAGGGCACAAGAGAATTCTTGTGGCGACAGACTTGGTAGGAAGAGGCATTGACATTGAGCGTGTCAACATTGTTATCAACTACGACATGCCAGATTCTGCTGACACATATCTCCACAGGGTAAGTTTTCTTTTATATAAATATAGTTTATTGATTGTCACCGAACAAAGGGCTCTTGTAAACATTACTGTTACACTCTGTTTATGGTATAAAGGTCGGGAGAGCTGGTAGGTTTGGTACAAAGGGTCTAGCAATCACATTTGTCGCCTCAGCTTCAGATTCTGAAGTTCTAAATCAGGTTCGGAGTTTGATCTTCTTCTTCTTAAGGCTGTCCAGCGCCGACTTGGTATGATGAGCTGTGGTATTTAAGAAAAGTTGCAATTTCTTGTTGTTTACAGGTGCAAGCGAGGTTTGAAGTTGATATCAAAGCACTTCCTGAGCAAATTGATACTTCCACATACAGTAAGTGTTAATCCTTGTTCCACTTTAGCTGCCTGCGCAAAAGCTACATTTTGTCTGGTTCTGACACTGACGTTAATTCTTGTTTTTCTCCTTCTTCGTTATGCAGTGCCGTCCTAAAACAGTTTCAGAGTGCAACCGGCTTGTGATGGGGAAAGTTCATGGAAGGCTGCAGTTATCCACTCCCCTCTGCTTTTTTTACGATTTTTCTTAGCCCCTTGTTTTGATATTTAGACCGTTTGTAACCTTTTTAAGAAGACAAAGAAACAGAGAGAGATTCCTAGATTGCACTTGTCTTGAACTGGTCAGGTTTGTGTACAAGCAAATACGATGCTCTTTTATGTCAGGATTCAGTCTTTGACTTGTGTTATATTGTTGTTATATTTAGTTTTCATTTTTTACTTGTTGTCTTTCGATGTTTTATGTTTGAATTTACCTCTAAGCTTCCAATTATCCCTCAAATTGAAAGTCATTGGTATTTGTTGTCTTTGTACCCATTTTAACCTTTCTTATAACGGAAATTTTTAACTACAAGATGTTGTACTTTGTCGCATGTTTATGCAACCAATGACTGAAAATACGTACACTGATATAATACCCATTTCCAACTTGTTTTTCTATCCAGGAAGGTTTTGTACATGTTTTTTTTGTGAATATTTTCTTACATGTATATGTGTAAATAACGCCTCGCCATCACTAAAAACTTTTTAGAAATATAAAAATTCGGAAATTAATCAAAGCCCCCTTATTCCGCCTTTGTCTTCCAAAAAGTCAAAGTCAACTCCAGTTCAGCAACTCCTCGATCATTTCCATAGCTAGTTGATCCTCATCAACGTTAGTCTCCTCTTCTTCTTCCTCTTTGTCCAGTACGTTTTTTTTCATCGTTGTAGTCAATGCCAAATCACCTGCACTTTGGTTGACTATGTTCCCAAGTTCAAGACGCATGACCCAGTTCGGACTCGTTTTTGACCCGGCCCGTTTCTGCCAAACTCCGATGTGGGAACTATCGGTATCGAGACGGAGACACGTCAGCGACGGCGCTAGGTCTTTGCAGCTCCTCCTTAGCTTAGCGTTCACGAGCTCGGATAACAACGTTGGCGACATTAACGGAGAGTTAACATCGTTAACGGGGAAATTGATCTTAGCGTTTTGGCCGTTCATTAGAAGAGACGCCTGGTCGTAAGCTCTCGCCGCCGCTTCTGCCGTTTCGAATGTTCCAAGCCACACTCTTCTCTTCCTGATTATTTTCTCACCCACGTGTCAATAATTTACGTACATCGCCCGTTAACTTATGCATTAGTCATCTTGTTTGAAACGTAATTAAAAAAATCAAAAATCTTTGATAAAAAGTACATACAATTACAATTATGTTTTGATAATTTAAGCCGAAATCCAAACCAATCATACAAAAAACCGGATTTTCTTATACATGAATAATGCATAAAATATGAAAACATAGTTGTATCATATACATGAAGATTTCATTATATACATGCATTTTGTATTATGTGATTAATTATACAAACCTAAGCAAAATAATATACATATATACATAGAAACTAGATTTACAACAGAGGATGGCGAATCTCAGAGACCCAAGAACCCCATTGTCGTTGGCGAACACCTCGAAACTTTCTCGAATGTACCATTTAAAAAAAAACTTCTTTCTTTGTTTTTTTTTTTTAATATTTGCGAATTAATTTAATTTTAGGGTTCTTAGTTTATCTCTACGAACTCGGACAATCGGAAGAGATATGAAAGTAATCAGACTGATTAGTTTTGATCTTACTGTTGTTTGTCTCCAACTAACTATTATTTATATAGAGCGTTCCTTAACAACAACAAAATATAGAGATCTTTAATTTGAACTTTATATATATATATATATATATATATATATATATTTGTAAATTGACATTTCTTCGATGATCTACAATCAAGAAATTTGAGCCCACTATTTGTCTCTCCAGCCTTCCGTTACATCAACAGATACCTAATGCTTTATTTATCACACAACTTCCTTACTTTATCTGAATGACTCTAGTGAAGACACGACTTGTACTTACGTTTCTAACGTAACTTTCATGCCATATAGGGACTCGTGCCTAAGTTTTCATACCCACAAACAAATTAAAGAAAATTATCATATGTAAAAAGGTGAACTGGTGGAGTATAGTCATATTGGTCGAAAATGTAATATATTTATATATATGGCACATATATGAAATATATTAAGTGAGTAGCCATCTGGTGAACAGTACATACGCCAAAAACCAAAGTTGTGGCAATTGAAAATTTGTTGTCTGAGTTTTGCGTGTTTTGAAATAATCTCATGTTTTTCTTTCTCCACAAACGATGATCGAGTTCCAATACCAGTGCCAGACCCAATGCATGCATTTAGTAACCAAATTAAGCTACTATGAAAGATTTTAAGAACATATGTATTCGACTTTTTTCTTACTCCGAATTTAAGGTCTGATCTCAAGTACATTATAAGTTATAAGTTATAAACTGAGTCAACCTTCCCAAAATTATCAAGCAAACTTTCCTTCAACCAAACAGATTTGATGATTAATTTATGGCCGATCTTTGTACTTCAACCTTTGAATGTACCGTGTACGTAACATATCGTAAGTCAATTTACATATCAAAGAAACAAAAACCAAACAAATATATGTGAGTCGGGTGGTGAAGGCCGTAGATATTTCAACGTTCATTTAAGGTTAAACCTACCATAGACCAAGAACTCTCTAAATTTTATGCTAAAATAAATGTAATCACCAACACTTGTAATTAACTAATAATGTTTCCTGTCCTATATTGTTAAACTATAATTGAAGTTATAAATAAGGTGGTGCCCGTGCCATGATTTGATCCACACGTGTGCACATAAATAAAGGCATCGGTCAAAAAAGAAGAAGATATAATGCAGAAAGTAGAACGAGTCCCTTAGCAATCCATCTTCCTCGGCTTGGTTTGGCTCTAGTAACATTTTAAGATTTACCAAAAAAATATGATTCAGGGTTTTTCAATTCTTTGTTTTACCTAGTTTGGATTCACATTTGCAAAAAAAATCAGTTTACTAGGCAATATGGCAATGTGCATGTCTATATAAGAGCATCTCCAATCGAAACTGGTTCAAGAATTCTAATTAATTTAAGAGTGAATAACGATGTCATGTTGCCAAGATTATCAAGGAAGGTGGATCCCAAACTTTAATTCACCCTTTATTAATCCCCTTTTTCTTTAATTTTCGTACAAATCCATTAAATGATAATTGGTTCGATACATTTAACCGTAACTAATCTTCATCTAACCTAAATTAAAATGTACACCCACTAACCAAGGTCCTTCATATCGAGAAAATTAGAAATGTAAAATTGCAGACTAAAGGCGGATATTGTAGTATTTAGTATTAGAATTGATAATTATGGATCTGCCGTTGCTAGATTGTCCTTATGTCTTCAGTGAAACTTTAATTTTATTTCATTTGGATTTAAAAATAATAAAAATTTGGTTAGATGGCCACATCTAAAGCAGGAAGCAGTACCTTGGCACCATGTGGTCTCGTTTTCATGCTAAGTACAGCTTATTCAATTCCACAATATTATCATAAGTTTTTATGTGAGTTGTACAGAAGATTCAATATATTGATTATTGATCATTGAGTTGAATATGAGTCAATGAATGTAGAGGTACAAAGTGTTTCTGCTCTCATTTTGTTAAAAGAGGACTTACCGTCAAACTTTCAACATCCTCTATATTGCGTTTGCACCACCGCATGCCTTATCAACACATGAGGTTTCGTATAGTCCATTTTGTCCGACTTTTTTTGCGACGATAATCAACGAGTATAAGCAAATTTGGTAGAGCATATATATGATCTTGTACTGTAACGAACATGTTTAAGAAAATTTTGAAGCAGTATTCTGTTGGGCTTTGCAATAATACTCTATTGGGCCGTGTACTCATGTCTACCAGGCTATGTGCTAACTTGCAATGGTCGCTTAGTCTTTTTGGGGCAAAATTTATGTGATTCAACACGACATATAGGCATAATCGTTTATGTTTAACATATATAATTAATAATCTTTCCAATCTATATGAAATTATGGACCAGGAGATAAGAACTATTAACCTCCAAGTATCAACACGCTCATGACGAAGTTATAATAGTCCCCCTGCAATATCGAATAAGAGTCAAATTAAAGTGTAGTAAACCTATAAAGTTAGACAACAAGATTTGGGATATCTCCTCGAAGTTATCACTTTATTGTTTTCTATGTGAACTTCGATTTTCTTTATGTTGCTGATAAGCTTTGTGGAGGGTTTTCTGGGTACGAGGTTCAACTATACAGTTGCTTTTTTTTTTCCTTTTTTTGTGAAACAAAACAGATGCATGGTTATATTGGCACCATAAAGAAAGCTACGTGGTTAAATTGATTCTTCCTTTTTCTTGGCAAGGAGAATACTAGTAATCCGCATAGTTTGATTAAGATGACGAGCATATTTGTTAATTTTAACGCCTATTTTACTCAAACTTCTTAACATTTTTAAACCAAAAAAAAAAAAAACTTCTTAACATTCAAATGTAAGTTGTAACAGTTGATTTGTGAGAGTTCCGTAAAATTTTAATAAACTGAAATTTCTATGCATGTTTCATTGGAGCATGGAAAACATCACTGTAACCAAAATATGTATATTTATTACGTGGATTTCTAGTGAACTTCACTCACGTGGATTTTACTCTTCACCTGTTCGGATTATCCACCTAAGAAATTGTTTTTCTTATTTTATCCTCATTTTCGATATTTTCAAAGGTTTTTCAAAATTTGAATTACTCCATTAACAAGTTTTAATATATATTCTAAATTTCTATACTCCATTTACAAGTATTTAGTAGATCCTGCAAGGAGTGTTTACAAGTTTCTCTTCCCACTTAAAAAGTTTTGAAGATCGTTCCATGTATATTTTGGATGAGAAGATATAGTTGACTTAAAGTATACACTTACAGTAGTATATTTTAAAAGCGGAATTCAAAATTAATGTATGTACCATACCATCAACCAAAAATATTAAATTTTGGTTATAGTTAGCATGTCCCACTCAAATTCAGGCGCATATATTGGCTCTTTGCTGGTGATAGTATATATTTTGGTGATTTGCTGCCTTGTACTTAAGTACTTTATTTAACGCTTTGAATTCTCATAAAATCCAGTACTACTACACAATAATTGGTATATACGCAATCTAGAAAACCAGTTTTCGTACTTACACATTAGTGTAGTGTGTAGGAAGAGACGTAAATATTAGCACCTACGAAGAGAGGTTTAAGGAAAAGAAAAAATAGATGAATAAACAACTAAAAGAAATCTATCATAACGCCTACAAAATACTAAAAAAATGGTGTAACTTGTAACTTTTCTTATTTTGATAAAAGATGTTTATTTTTTTTGTGTTTATTTAAGTAGTAGCTGTGAAGGGGATGGAGGAGACAGGACACAAAACATGGAATGTGAACAAGTATTAGGAGAATGGGTCCTTCTTTTTATAGGAATGGTTTTTTTTTCTGCAGAGAGAGTATCGAATCTCTCTCTCCTTTATAAGTAGGTTTTTCGTTCGAGACTCTAGAGAGAGAGAGGAAACTCAAGAAAAAGAGATAAAAAGCCAAAGATTCTCTCGAAGATCCATAAGATTTTCTTTTCTCCTTCGGATCTTCGCGCTCTTTAATACATACTCCTGTGATGGTGATTTTATTGCGGTTCAATAATCCTGTGTGCCGACCCAGTTCGCGCGTGGGTATATTAAACTCCACGCGCCTTTCTTTTTAAAGGGATCTCTTCTCTCTCTCTCACTCTCTATCTTACAATATTTAATGCCCTCTCACCCACTTTCTCTACAACTGGTGGTGAACAGAGGAACAGAGCGAGACAGAGACACGCAGAGAGAGAGAGAGAGAGAAACGATCTGATCTCATTTCATTTCCTCGTTCTCTTCTGCTACGAGGGAAATTTAATTGCTTTCCACTTTGAATTCCTCCATTTACTCATCCAGAGAGAGAGAGATTTAATATACAGCTTACACGCTACTTGGCTCCCTCAGAAATTTCAAAACTAGAGAGAGATAGAGAGGTAGAGAGAGAGAGAGAAAGAGAAAAACGATGTTTGCGGCGGAGAACGGGCTGAAAGGAGATCCAAGGCTTGAGGCTATATCAGCAGCCATTAGAGTTGTTCCTAATTTCCCCAAGAATGGTCTTAAACACTTCTTCCTCTGTTTCGTTTCACTCACTGAAATGATGCTCTGTTTTTTGTGGTTCAATTCTCTGAAGATGTTTCTTGTTTCTCGGATAGGTATCATGTTTCAGGACATAACAACGTTGTTGCTGGATCACAAGGCGTTTAAACATACAGTTGATATCTTTGTCGATCGCTACAAAGACATGCAAATCTCTGTCGTTGCTGGTAAAACTCCTCTGTTTTTACTCCTTACCTTCTCCGTTCTTTTCTTCTCTACAGTGTTTCGTCATCACTCATAATAGTTTGTTAAGTAATGCCAAAAGTTCGGCGTCGCTCGAAATGGGCTTACCTCATTAAGCATCAAAGACTTTTAAAAAAGGATGAACAACTATTGTCTCTTTCTCCATAAAGAATTCCAATTTTCTGAAAATGCAAATGATTGTGTGTTGTATATAGGAGTTGAAGCAAGAGGGTTCATGTTCGGTCCCTCCATTGCACTAGCCATCGGCGCAAAGTTTGTCCCTTTGCGTAAACCAGGAAAATTACCAGGTTAAATTTACATTTTCGTCACTTCATACTCTGTTTTGTTGATGGTAGACACTTGAGATTCTGAAAATGGTCAAGACTGTAATTATAGGGAAAGTGATATCGGAGTCTTATGAGCTCGAGTATGGACATGACCGTTTAGAAATGCATGTGGACGCCGTTGAGCCACGAGAACGTGTCATTATCATCGACGATCTCGTCGCTACTGGTGGGACACTCTCCGCCGCCATTAGCCTTATGGGTTTTTCTCTTTTTCCTTTTCTTTGTCCCATTAATAATGAGATTTCTCTTGATTGGTTATGTGACAAGATTCTTTTTTTTTTTTTTCAAATGTTTATGTTTTATAGAAAGCCAGGGAGCTGTAGTTGTGGAATGTGCTTGTGTAATTGGCTTGCCTGAAGTCAAGGTGAGTCACACCTCTCCTTACTTGTTCAATAAGTCACCTCTGTCTAGTTCTTTAGAGAATATGATTTCTAATTGTAGTGATATAATTGGTTTTGTGGTTCAGTTTAGTATTACAAACTCTACTACTCACTGAATTGTTGCAAAATTTTGGATTGTTATAGGAGCATCGCAAGCTGAAAAGATATAAATTCTATTGTAGTGATATAATTGGTTTTGTGCTTGGGTTTAGGGTTTCAGTCTCAGTTTAAATTTACTCAATCAGTCAATATTTATTGTAAAAATTTTGAATTGCTATAGGGGCAACACAAGCTGAAAGGGAAGCCGCTCTATGTGCTGGTGGAGCCTAGTGGAATAGATGGATTCTGTTAGGATACAACCCGGTTCATTCCGGTTCGTTTTTTTCCTGCAGAGTTCCATGTTCTTTAAATTCTTAGGGTTTATCTTCTTGCATTCTCTCTCTCTCTCTCTCTCCCCCATTTTCTCTCTCTCTCTCTCTCTCTCTCTCTCTCTCTCTCTCTCTCTCTTTTCTGTAGATTTTGAATTTTTCAGTCTTTTTTCTGTGAGGGTTAGGACAATGTGTACTTTCCACGGCAGTGGTTGGTAAAAACCGGGAAATTAAAACGTCTTTCAGTCGCCGATTTGGTGAACCGATTTTTCTGATGGATCATTAACCTATCTTAATCAATTATGATCATATAGTGAATACAATCATTAAACAAGTTAAGCTACGTCCCCAAATTATGCGTGAAACCTGCAAAAAAGGTACTAGTAGTAGGTTTTCTAAATTTAATGCGGTTATTACTTCTTTTACAACTCTGAAAAAGTTTGTTGGTATTCTAGGACAAACTATTCATCAGTGTAATAATGGTCCTAGTAATATTTTGCTTTTAGATGTGATACTGTATTTTTTGATGAATAGCTTATGTTTTGTATGTATAGTATTGGTGCATTAAATTAGAAGGAGAAATTTTGTAACAGTAAAATGTTCTCTGATTTGAACCACCATGAGTTGGTTATACTAACTATGATCATATTTGTTATGTTTTTCTTGAAATATTTCAAACTTTGCACTTGTTTTTAAAAATTTGGTTGCGTAATAAACAAAATACTAACTAAACCATGAACTGGCCAAAAAGAAAATGACATTTAAGATATCCTAGCATCTAAACAAATTAAGTCATTTGAATTTAGAGGAAATGACTCAGAAGATACTTAATGGGCCGTGTAAGATAGTAAGTTGAAATGTGGACAATAACAAGCTAGTATTAAAGTCATTATAAGCCCAATAATTTTCAAAATTCAAAAGTCTTCACTGTAAAGCGGGCTTGGGATTAAAAATTCACTGTGGGGGTTTCTCAAAATTATTGCATCTAATCAATTCGATGTCTGGAGCGTGCTTGATTGCGAGTCGGTGTTGAACGGTTATCGGATTTGATAATCTTATTGGTCAGTTCTGGAGAGGGTTTTGTCTTGTGGTGAGCGATACTGTTCGTCGTTTGTACTCAAGATCTGAGGTTTCTGGATAAATTTTATCGGCGACTCTACAGAGGGAGAGTGAGCTGGAAAGAGGGGACGGAGTAGATGGCGATCTTATATGCGTTGGTGGCTCGTGGAAAGGTGGTGTTAACGGAGTTCAGCGCGACTTCGACCAACGCGAGCTCAATCGCGAAGCAGATTTTGGAGAAGCTGCCTGGAGACGACGACGATAGCCACGTGTCCTACTCTCAGGACCGGTACGTCTTCCACGTCAAGCGAACCGATGGCCTTACCGTCCTCTGTATGGCCGATGAAACCGCCGGAAGTAAGTCCGCCTCTCTCGCCAATTTTACAATTTTGTCACATGACTTAGCTCTTGTTTCTGGGTTTTTTTTTCGAATTTGTGCTCAGGTCTTATCCCACTATGACTATCAAATTGCTTGTCTTTTTAAGCTTGAGATAAGCTGGAATCTCAATTCTGGGGATTTTGAAGCTAAATCTCTGGTTTTTGTTGACTTTCTGATGAAAATTGATATCGTGAAAGGATTATGAACAGGCTAGACTTCTTGTAGGGAGATGGATCTTTCTTTGTGTATGAATTTGCTTGGTTCTAGTGTTTTCAGTGTGTTATTGGTGATGCTACTAGAAAGAATGTTGTTTCAGTAGAAATATTTCAGTAATTTGGTACAACTGATGTTATTTCTGGAAGCATTTTTGGTGATGTTAGGATGGTCATAGGACTGTCTTCGTGTTTTCATAGCTTCTAGTTCTAATATCTTTATATTGCACAGGGAGCATTCCGTTTGCGTTTCTGGAAGATATTCATCAGAGATTTGTGAGAACATATGGCCGTGCAATTCACACGGCTCAAGCTTATTCCATGAATGATGAGTTTTCAAGAGTAGTGAGCCAGCAGATGGAATACTATTCGAATGATCCAAATGCAGACAGGATGAGCAGAATTAAAGGTGAAATGAGTCAGGTAAAGACAGTTGCAAAAGTCTCTCTTTTTCGTGTTCTATATTATATAACATCTATTAGTTTTCCTTCACATTCACCTTGAGAATTCCCTTTATGCATTTTTGGCACTATTATTTACTTTTCCGTGTGCGCTTGTTTTCATTTTCAGGTTAGAAACGTTATGATTGAGAATATCGATAAAGTCTTGGACAGAGGGGAGCGTTTGGAGTTGCTAGTTGATAAAACCGCAAATATGCAGGGGAACACTTTTCGTTTCAGAAAGCAAGCTCGCCGTTTCAGAAGCGTCATGTGGTGGAGAAATGTCAAGCTTACGTGAGTTTTCTTTACCGAAAACCCTTTTCAAGAAACCTAATTATCTATTAGACTCGACAAGAGACAAATCAGCAGTTTACTTTCTTGCTCCAGTTCCATTTCATAATTTCTTTCTTGAGGAAGTGATCATTTCGTAAAGGATTATTGTTTGAAATGTTATAACCTTACTTGCATTCTTCGTGGAGTTCTTGTTTTTGGCTATCTTTACTCATGAGCCTGTTTTTTTTTTTTGCAGGATTGCTCTGATACTTATACTCTCAGTGGTTGTATACATCGCGATGGCCTTTGTTTGCCACGGGCCAAGCCTTCCTTCTTGTTTCAAGTAAGACTACAATCCCTTCTCGAGATTTCATCAGACTCTGCTTCAATTTTTGTAATCTGTGATATGCGATGTGTAAAATGTGCGTTTATGTGCTTTTTCAAGTATCATTTTTCTGTATTTGCTTTGATTTAGAGAATCGATCGTTATTCATAACTGTGATATTTCACTGTTAATAATATTCATCCCCTTCTGTTTGCATTTTGCAATGCAATCAGTATATGCTGATAGTGAAACGACTATGTTATAGCTTTTACTGGATCTGTGAAGATTGTTCAAACTTCTAATCATGTGGTCAAGATGGCCACATGAGACCATATGATTAAACACCAAAACGCCCACGAAAGAAAAAGAAACTATACTTTTTTATTCCATAAACAATTAACTATATATCTGTATAAGCTATCACTATGAAATCCAATTTACGTGGACTGCTTTCAAAGGTGAAGAAGAATTATCTTCATAAAATGTCCTTAAAAACAGATTGACCATGAAACTTCTCGACTTTAGATGTCAGAAACACAAATCTCTTATCAAGACACGTCCGCTTCATCTCCAAAGACCCCAACTTCCCCGTTGTCTTCATCAACCTCTCCCGAAACTCATTCATCTCTTTCTCCTTCTCTGCGAGCTTCTTCATACTTATCTCCATTTCTTGCTTCGCAAGCAACAAACCTTGCTCGCACGCTTCTTTATCCATAACTACCGTATCGCGTTTTTTAATAAACCTTGTTGCCTCAACAACATCTTCAAGAGTAGACCGGAGCCAACCTGCTCGGATCTTTGCCGTCTCTATGTCCTTAACTATCGCTAGAATCTCACCGGCTCGTGATTCAGACAGCCGATGCAGAGGTGTTGACTGGAGCTCGATAACAACCTTTGCTAGAGTCTCGAGGTGGTATGTTCGTGTGGAGAGAGATTGGAGCTTAGATTCTGATGTGATGTCTCCATACTTGTCGAATATGCTTTGAAGAGTGGAGGAGAGACTAGTTTTGACCTTGTATTCTCCGACAGAGACAACGTCGGACGAATCAGAGGTTTTGATCACAATGGACTTGTTCAATGGAGACAAAAGAAGCTCAGGGTAGAGTAGAACAGAGGCTTGGTCGTCATCATTGTAAACAGAATATGCTCTGCTCCAAAGAGGAATAGAGTGTAGAGAGATCTCTGAACATAATAAACTCATATTGTCTAGACAAAAACAAAACAAAAATTAGATGAGTTCGGAAAGGAGAAAGTTTCCGTTTTCTTTTTTAATCTACTTCTGTTTTACTAGGAAAGCTCGAGAAAAATATAAGTTCTCTTCCTCTCTCTCTCCCTCTTTTTAAAGACGTTTCTTTAAAGGTATTTTAATATTTTATTGTTTTTGGAGTTTGCAACGTTGATGCTGACTTTGACTCGATAAAATCATTGCTATGATCGCGTTCTTGACTTTGTCAACCTTCTCTGTTTTAGGTGAATTATTTTTCCTCTCAAACCAGAGGATCAAATATAAAAATATAAAGAAAATGCAAAACGAGAAGAAGTCATAGTGTCAGAGAATTGGCGAAACTTGAACTCTTGAAGGCATTCAACTAGGCAGAAGCTACGTCAAAGTCGTTAAGATAATCAAAAAGAAAAATATATTTTCTCACTTTAAATATTGATCCTTATGGGCCTTGTTTTGGGGTTGCCTACCGTAACAACTAGGCCTGCTCGCAAATTGTACGTTTCATTCCCAAACGAAGCTCGAAGGCCTGTTCTAATCGAATAACATTGTTATATTTTCTCAAGATCTTATACGCACAATCATATGTATCAGTTTTATATTTATAAAAAGAGTATAACAATATATAGTTCACTGTGAAAGAGGAATTCGTACATTAAGCCTCCGTAACCAAATGGAATGCATAATCATATGCAACATATCATATGGCTTTGATGGTCTGTTTACGACAAAGTGTTTTCGAACCTCGAGAACTCCCCTCTGCATCTTCAAGTAATCTTCTTCCGATATCGCTTCCAGAATCTTCTTTATCTCCGGTATCTTCGATATCGGAATATGAACTGAGAATCGCTTCCAATTCAACACGTCGCTAAACGGAAGAACGTAATAATCAGCGATGATGACCGGAACGCAGCCGGAGTAAAGAGACTCCACGATTCTTGGACTCGCTACTTCCCAACCGCTCGGACACAGACAAAACTTTGCTTGATCCATCATCTTGGTGTAGTTCATGGTTTTGGGGAGATTCTCGTAAACTAGGACGTCCTTGTCTTTCTCTTTCCAGTGTTCGAAAAGTATTTTCCGGACTTCTCCGTGAGAACCGCCCGCGAAAAATGACAAGAGTTTCCGGTTCTGAGGCTGTTCTCCGGTGTGTACAAACCCTAATTGGCCGTATTGAATGTTGATTTCGGGCAATGAAACGTCTCTCATAGGGGTAAATCCCTCGGATGAATTGGCATTGCAGAGAGCTCTGACGAAATTCTTGTATAGCTCTGGATCTACCGCTGAAACATCAGGTGCCTTGAACAACAAAGAAAAATAAGGAAAGTTAGGGTTTTTAAGGTTTTACTTGCATAACAAGAAATGTGTATAAGGAGAGACTGCTCACCCAATCGTGACAGGAGAGGAAGAAATGGTCAGCACCGCGACTGCGATTCCAGTAAGGGTAACGGTTAGAGACGAGAGAGATGTAGTCTTTGACAATGTTTTGGAGACGGTCACGAGCATAGCTAGTGTATGGTCTATAGACAAATCGTATGATATTGACGATCCCTACAGGGATGTAGAACATGGTGGCTTCCTCCGGTGAAGCTGCCGCGAAACGGCTTTTTCCGTTCTCGATCTCGTCCATGAATTGGCCCTCAATAGCGTAAATATTGTTGAGAGGGCCCTTGTGAAACAGAGGAGGTTCTCCTTCTCTATATGTCCATATCTTAAATCTCTTCTCCATCTCTCTGTGGCTCCTGTTTATTGTTATGTGTAAAGAAATTAATAAACATCACATATGCATAAATATCGATGTGTTAGCCCTATACATACATTTTATCGATAAATGGAGTGTATAGTGTTGGACTTTTAAAACATTTTATCTATAAATGGAGTGTCTAGTGTTGGACTTTTAAAACTTTAACATAGAAGTAACAAAGTAAATGATATGTTTGCAAAAGTCAAATTGAGAGATGGGGAGGAAGGTATGGAGAAACCTAAAAGCTAAACTATTCTTTTCTCAAAGTAGGTCTGATTTTGGATTCTAGCGACAATGAGAGAATGAAGACAAGAGGAATAATGGTGTAGAATATTAAACAAAAGTTGAAGAAAAAGAACTTTTAAATATTGGAAACTTGAAACGTGATTTGGTTACTAAAAATGGAAACTTACATAAAAATTTTGATGTTGACAGATATTTTTATCAATGGAAACAGCAAATGAGAGTACAGATCCTAATGAGTACCTACTTTTTAGCTACATATATTATTATTTATTTATCTATTTTTTTTTATTATAACTCCGCTCTTGATTAACTTAACTAAAAAAAGCCTAACTAACTCAAAAATAACAAAGGAATTAGGCTATAGTGATCAAACTACACAAAGGTGTTGTTGAATTCTATACCAATTCGTATATTTTTATATTATGAAAAATTAGGAAGAGAGAGAGAGAAGAGAGAGAGACTAAGCAAAAATAGGAGAAAGAAAAGGTCTTAACTGATGAAAAGTAAAAGCGTTGAGATAGACAGATCCATTTGATACGAATCCCAAATCCGAATTATTCCCCCGATCACGACGGCGACGGATATCCTCTTCTCCGGCTTTCTTTATGGCGGCTCTCGCCATTGCCAAACCTTCTTCGATTCTCTCCGCCGCTTCATCAACTTCTTCTACCACCGTAACTTCTGACGACGACTGTTTAAATTTAAACAACATTAGTCAGTTATTAATTTAAACATAATAAATTTGAATCCTCGTAACTGAAATATCCAAACATTGAAGACAACACAGAAGAAAATAAAGAAACGAAAACTTTTATATATGAAGAAATGACAGAAAAAGGAAGAGTGTAAGTACATTGTTGAGAGTGTTGAGACAAGAGGAAGAAGAACGAAAAGGGAAGAATCTGAAGGAAGAGAAAACAGCTTGTGGAGAAGACGAAGAGGAGAGAGAGAGACTACACGAAGGATCATCGTCGACGACGGAGGAGAGAAACCGGTTATGATGGTTAAGGGAGTAGAAGAAGAGGATGATCACGAGTGATGGATAGAGCAGAAACGGCGTCGTACAAGTCAGATCCGCCATTAAATTAGTATCTTCTACTTCAGGGTGTAATTGGGATCTTTAATCTAATTTAACTAGGGCTTGCTTTTGAATTTACAGAAGAAGAAGAAGAAGAAGAATTAGTCAAGAAGAAAAGATGGTGAATTTGAGAATTTTAGGGTTGTTTGTTTGTTGTTTCTCTCTGAATTTTTGTAAGAGGTTTACTACTCTTTTTTAATTTACTTCCCTTACTCTTCTTTTTATATGAGTGTTACTATTTGTCCGTCTAATACGGTTTCAGATTTTTTGGGTTAACAAGTTCACAAATGCGGAAAAAAAAAAAGTTCACAAATGCAATTATGATTATTTTTTTGGTCAATGGAATGCAAGTAATTAAACGCGTGACTCTCTCTTGAGGGTTGTTTTGGTACGGTTTAGGTTGGATTTGGCTCGGTTATCTATCAAAATATGTATAACGTACTTTTCTCTTTTTGAAGATTGGCTTAAATATATGCTATGGTTATCCAATATATGCGATGGTTATCAACATATATACGGTATATTGTACATATCCCACGTATATATACAAATATTATCAAAAATAGATAACGAAATTCATTTTAAAAACGAAGATAAACATTCAACTCAATTTTATCAATTTAGTTAGTAATGGTATAATCGGGGATTCCTAAAAAAACTCAAGATTATAGAAGATTCGTACGTTTCATGTTTCAGTATAACTGTAAAGATAAGAAGGATATAAATTTGATCCTTATGGCCTATGGCCTATGGGACTACTCATTAAACGTACGATACTAATAATGGCTTTCGTAGCGAATTTTTTTTTTTTGATTTTGCTATTCGAAGTGCAAAATACTAGCTAATAATATATATAGAACACCTCACAAATTGTACGAAAATCAATCCATGTGGGATCACTAGCTAGCAACTAAAGGTCTAAATGGAATAAATATAAACCCTAGCTATCGTGTTATATGTAAAACACTTTACCTTGCTGGATAAAGATTTGATTTAGGTCTAGATCTTGAGCTGTTTCCCTTAATAGTTAATACTGTATCATGTGTATATGGGGAAGTTTTTTGAAAAATGACAGAGCATTGCATATAATCCTGTGAATTTTACTCAATATTAAAATCAAAACCAAAACAGGTATTTGACCCCAAAAAAAAAAAAAAAAAAAAAAAAAACCAAAACAGGTATAGTTTTGTTAGAAAGAGCGGAAAGGTCAACCACTTCAACGACTTTCCCAAGCCTCGTCCATATCACATGACATTGCTGTTTAATTCTAGTTTCTGATTTTGGTACCAAAAAGTAAATATATTTGCTTGCATCCAATTATCCAATTTTTTCGATACAACGGTTTTTTCAACACATCACCACACAAAAAAAATTGTATTCCGCCCAGTACTATACAAAATCTTATTGGTATAAAATGTACTTTGTTCTCAGTTGTTCTTATCAATTCAGCATCAACGCATATTGGTACAACCTACAACAACAACAAAAACTTTTTAAATCGAGGAAAAAAACAGCCTCAAGGCTTGAGGAGATTGATCCCAAGCTTCTCTAGAGCGGTCTTAATGTCGGCAAGGCCACATTCTTCAGCTTCGGTGATATCTTCCATAGGGTAGCTTCTGTTGTCGTGTAGCTCAGGCAAGTCAGTGGCTACGCCTTTTAGTATCACCGTTTTGTGAACTCCTCCAAGCAAGCCTTCGTAATCTGTGTCACCTGATTCTCCCACGAACACCACCATTTTCGATAAGTCAATGTCCCATCTCACTAGTAAATACCTGAAAAACAGAGCAAGATACGTGTACAGAGTGTGATCACTGAAAGCCCAAAATGGCAAAATCTGAATCCAAACCCAAGAAAGAGAAACAATTGATGCGGAGATATGATTGGTGTATGATCAAAAACTTACCTAAGGGCCTGAGATCGTGAGGCAAGAACAGGGATGACGTTTAGCCTAGCTCCGTTCTGGCAGTAAACTACATTGCAACGTAATGCTTGAATTCTCATCAGTTTCCTCAGCTCCTTCATTGGAGGAATCTGCAGAAATTGAATGAACAAAAGGAGATTAGAAGGTAATAGAAAAGAACGAACATCGATGATTCAAGTGTGTAAAGCTATTGTTTGAGAGATTTACCAAAGAGGGATCTTTCACTTTGAAAGATAAGCAATAGTTGGTTGAAGAAGACTCGTCTTCCGATAAAATATCTCCTTGTTTCAGCTTCTTCTTCTCTTCAACAGAACTAATCCAGCGGATCAAAGTCTTCCTCAGGTTCTCTCCGCCCCATCGGAATTCTATATGCGAATGGTAATCTGCATCGAGTGCATAAGGAAGCACGGTTTCATCTTCAGAAGCAGGGGTCGTGAAGTAGAGTTCACTTCCACTGTTGCAGATAACCGCGTCAAAGTCTTGCGGCTTCAAGCCTCCTGATAGCAACGTGGCGTGAGTCTCAGATATAGTCATTGAGGTAGAGAGTATGAATCCTATTGAACCGCCCTGGCCTGCAACGCTAATAACTGTTTTCACTACTGCGAGAAGATCAGAGGCTGCGCTGCAGTCCACGGCAATGACAAATAGATGCTTCCGTCTTTTCAAAGTTGGCATCTTGGAGTTAATTTTCTCTGTTGAAGACTTCTTTCTTGCCAAGCTTGAAACAGCTTTCTCTAGCTTAGCTTTTTGTTCAGCAGCGCTGTCTTCAGCGTCCAAGGTAGTATCTACACCATCGTTGCTTTCACCCTTTTCGTCACCCAAGGAAAATTTTAGATTCAAGGAGATGTCATGTATATCTCTAAGGGAGTCACTGGGGGAATCCGAGTCCGAGTTTTCGAACTCTACTCTCTGCCATTTAGGATGCCTTTGCTTGCACGAAGCTATCCGAGCCAAATATGTTTTGCAATGCTCTGGCCATGAAAACAAGTGGATGTTCTTGAGGCCGTTCTGTCTGCATCTTGCCCAAAGATGTTTGTCTGAAACCAGTTTCAGGAGAGCATCAGCTATAGCTTGCTGATTATGAGGGTCAACTAGAAGGCCATTGTCAAGAACCTACAAGTGAGGAGCAGAAATCAGCTATAGCTTGCTCTTCATTGATTGCACAGTCCTATAAATTTCTTTTGAAATATGGAAATCAACAAACCTGATGAATATCAACAGGTCCTCCATTTATTGTGGCAACAGTGGGCAGACCATGCGCTCCAGCCTGTTAGATACAGCGCCTGTTAATTAATAAGAAACCCTGAAATGAATAGAGCACTGAAGAGATAGAAAATGATATATACCTCTATGAGAGTCAATCCAAATGGTTCGATGAAAGCTGGATTTATAAATACTCCCTGAAATAAAGGATTGAGATAAGATGGATAAACAAATGCAGGGAACTCATCTAATTCACGGAAACAGCAGCAAAACACAGGCTATTACCTTATGCACTATAAAAAGGGGACACTTATTGATCACTGAATGATATACAGTATATGCACATTACCTTTGTTTTGGCTGCTAAACGGTAAATTTCAGGCACGTCAGACTGCTTGTGATGCTTAGGCATTGCCACTTGACCATATAGGTCGTACTTGTCGATTAGCTTCAGAATTGAGAGCAGCACCGAGGCATTCGTGGTAGATAACTCATCAATATCATTTCGGTTTCCCATTATCAGTGTCTGCAATAAAAAAGAGAGAGATAGAAAGAACAAATTAAAGTGAGGTAACTTTCCAGAAAACTAGCTGGAGATCATGATTCTGAGAAGGACAATTGTGGTCGTACAAGGTTAGCAAGTTCCCGTAGTGGACGACATTCTCCAAAGGCTTTAACTAGAGTAACCAAGTTCTTTTTAGGGTCTGGCCGAGCAAGAGCAAGTATCATAGGCTTGCGCGGGTTAGAAAAGAAACGCATAATCTGTCATAGTAAGAGTATACAATAAGACAATCAGATTGATATTTAAAGAATTTGATCAAAGGAAAACAAAAAAAAAAAAATTACCTCAGACCAAATTGGTGGATCAGGAGCTTGTGGATTTTCATCATCTCTCGCTCCTTCCCCATCTGCGTCCACATCATGCGGTACAATGTGATGAAATTCCATTCCTGGAGGAATTACCTGGAATCACACAACAAAGCCTAATCATGATCATGGAATGGAGACTTGTCTAAAATCAAAAAGTTACCATTTTTAAGTACCAAACAGAGATTATACTTACAACCATGCGAGGCATAAATCTGCCAAGACAGCTCACACCCCTTTTCATCCTTGCTCTGAGTTTACGCTCTAAAACCGGATCAAAACCATCATAAAGGCGCCATTGCTCTTCGATCTCTTGCCTTGTACTAGTTACGATGATTTCAGAAGCATCAAGACATAGCTCCTCCGCCTCTATCCGCCGCATTATCTTGTAGTTAGAATTTATTTCTTCTTTGGGCCGCCCTTGTTTCAGGAGTTGCTCAAGCTTATCACGACCAAGAGAATGCCCAGTAAAAACCATTGGCACATTCAGAGCCCCAGATAGAAGAGCAGCTGAGTCACCAGCATCTGCATAGTGCCCGTGAATCGAAACCGGCCACATTTGTTGTTCACTACCAGTCTGATCAGCAAGAGCCTTGGACATCTGCATAATATGGCTAAGTGCCCTATCAACAAATTCAGGGATATGAGGCCAGAGGAGCTCTTTTGGTACATATTTATCTTTCGGACCAAAAGGTATGCGGATTATATAAGCGCCACTACTCTCTCCATGCTCCTTCTCTGTGCTATCTGCGTCTAAGGGATTCAGCATCTCACTCGGTTCTGAGTAGCTGCTATCCACATCTGGCGCGGATACCTGTCTGGTCAACAAATCGACACGATAGACTCCTGGCATTGACCCCAATGCCCTAGCAAGTTCCACAACATACTTCACCTGATTGCAGAAGCCATTTGAGACCGTGTGAATTGAGAAATTTAAAACACAGAATGCTTGCAGGTAGAAGATTACCTGGCCACCAGTATCAGAATCCCGACCAAGCTCCATGTTTTCACCACGTATCAGACCATGAAGACTGCAAGACAATTTATACTATTATTTACCACCATGAGGAAACTCACCTTAGTCTAACTACAGAACACCATTACTTTCCAATCAATTGCTATAGAAATCCCCTTAAAGTTGGTGTTTTTATACCTTATTAAAACGATGTAAAGCTTCTTCTCTTTGTGTTGAGCAAACCAATTCTCAAACACGTCAACAGAACTGATCCGAGACATTCTTCCTTTGGGGTTGCCATCACTATGAGTTGGAATTTCACCAGGCAAATCTGCCTTCTCTCCTTCGGATAGGTCCTCTGACATATCAGCAGTTACTTCCTTCCTTGCCTTTTCACGCTCAAGGTGCCGTTTAGCAGCACGCTTAACATTCTTCCCTTCAACCTAATTTAAGCATTTCATAATTCTTTTAGGTTAAAGCAGATTGAGAGAATCATTTTACCCCAAATCCCATCATCATCTTAGCGCAAGACCCAAAAAGAAAAACTTAAACAAGTGAATTCATAGTTTAAAAGCGAACAATCAATTGAACATACGACGATTCTGTTCGATTCCACGAATTAAAACTGATAAAATCACGAACCTGCTTCTTCTGGCGAGCCAAATTCCAAATCCTCCAGCACAAATTCTCCAACCTCGTGTTCCGCTCTTGCGGACTCCTTGTTGCCGCAGCCTTGAACCAGCCAAGAACAATCAATAATCAATCGAAGATTCTCAAAAAAAAAAAGTCAAAACGCAACAAAAACAAAAACAAAATTAGAAGTCGAAATGCGCAAACCTGAACCCAGGAACGGTGAAGATCAGTCTCATCGAAGCCAGTGATGACCTCCTCGACGAAATAGCGACTCGGACTGAAATGGCCACGCTCTCTTAACAGAAGCGACGATTTGGAATTGCCGATCCCCGGCTCGGCGGCGATAATCGCCTCCAGGTAACTGTTCACCCAATCGTTTCCCGCCATGGTTCGCTCTCAAGCAGACGACCAAACGATTCGGAAAGAGGGAGAATCAACAACTAGTAACTCTGCGTCAATGACTCGTGAATATCACAAGCGATCATGAGTACGAAATCTGGAGATCAGTTTCAGAAAACGAACCAAGAGATGGAGAGCGGGAGAAGGAGAGAGGGGTTTAGTTTGGTGATTGATCTGTAAAATCGTCTCTTCGTTTTCTTTTATAATCCAAAAAATGAAATCATTAAAAGATTCTATATAATAGTTTCGTAAGCTCTGAACATCAGATTAAATTATTGAGGGAATATATATACGGTTGATGCTTTCTTGGTATACTCATTAATTTATTTTCACTTTAAAAATAGTTTAGAAGGGCGATGTGTCAAGTTTTTGAGAAAATACTGGAAGATTGTATAGAAAAAAGTTGTATTTGAATATTCGGAAAAGAGTAATGAAGAAAGTGACCGATACTCTTGAATATACCTCACGAGCAGTGAGCGTCTTACACTTAGCAAATTCTAGAACAGCATAAGAATCTTATTTTTTGTCCTTTCACAACGAAGCACTAGAATCTTATTATACGAGCGAATATTACATTGAGCTGTCTACATTTTATATTTAACTCAATGACCATGCCACGATATCAACAGGCCACGTAACACACAAACTATACAACAACAAAAAAAGAAACATTAAAAAGGAAAGTAATGTGTCGAGTGTTGAGAGAGTAGTAGGAAGAAGGAATCAAGAGGCGTCTCGGAGTTTAAGCCTTGGAGTCCATTTGAGATGGATACAAAGCTTGCCTGATTTTGCTCCGTCTAACTCGAACCACTCTTGAAACTCTCCTTCTATCATCACTCTTGTCAATGTCATTATCACTCTCCCTATTTTATCCTTCAAACAACAAAACACAGCAAAAAAAACATTACATACTTTGCAAAAAAATTCTAATGTGTTTAAAAACATTTTGATCTTTACCTTGCCAAATTTATCATGGTCCCACACTTCAAGAATCAGGAGATCATGCAAAGCATCTTCCACTACAAAATCAAACGTCTGGTTCCAAACCGGGTTCAAGCTGTCCGGTACAACCCTCGTTTTGGATTTCGATTCAGATTTCTTCAACGTGATAACCACAAACGGATCTGCTTTCCCCATTAAATCTACAGCTGGTAACTCTTCAGCAGCAACCACCGTCACGGACAACACTCCTCTCACAATAACATCTTTTTTCTTTGGGCTCTGAGATTTTATTACATCCGTAGCATCCGAATCCTCGCTTTCCGGCTTAAGCACCTTCTCTAAAATGGTCAATGAGAAGTTTTGGTTAAACGGATTCTTGAATCCACATTTTTTGCCTAAGGGACAATATAGCAGCTCCAACTGCACCTATATATATTCACATGAATATTACTTTGGTTAATGCAAAATGCTAAGAGATTTGATACCGACTTGTAAAGAATAAGTGGAAAATACTAACCTGGCCACGATTTTTTGTATCCCTTTGAATCTCTAAATCTTTGACTAGCTTCAACCAAATGGCTTTCACTTTCCCGGGCTCGAGTTCGTTTAACGGTACTTGAGCAGCTCCGATAAGCTGAGAAGAGCCGACTCCTTCGTCGTCAAAGACTCTTACTGTTAGATGTTGAGTTGATACATCTTCCACTATGAACTCAAAATGTTCATTCCAGATAGGATTCAACGAGTTACTCTATATCGACATTAAAAAGAGAAATATAGCGAGAGAGTTATGAAACAATATATCCAAATGAAGCAATAGATATATCATATATGGATGTTGGAATCTGGTAAGAGGGAACTTTACTTACAATGGTTTTGGTTTTTTTGGTTTTGTCACGCAATGGGCGGATGAACACGACAGCGTAAGGATCAGATTTTCCGATCATATCTTTGTTAGCTAAGTCCTTTGCTTGCACAAGCTTCACATCCAATTTTCCAACAGGTTTCAGCTCCAGATCACTGTTAAAACCACATTTCAGATTTATATAAAAATAATCTTCATCAGATGGTATAATATATAATTAAAGAAGCAAAAACCTGTAATCTCCTGGTATTATAGGTATGATTTTCCTAACGGGCCATGTTATGCTGTCTTCAATAGCGTCACGGATAGTTTCCTGACAAAGGAGTTAACGTGTTGTTAAAGCAATATTAGGTTATATTATGATGTTAAAGAGAGATATACGATCAACTTTGTTTTTGCATACTTCGATTGCATCAGAAATTCCTGGAATCGATGTTAATTCACCACCAATGACCTTAAGTGTAAAATCAAGCCCTTTCTGTTCACAGAAACCAAAATAATATCACTAAAACATTACCGTAAAGATCATGAACAAGCAATGAAGATCACATCACTAAATTATACCTTCTCCCGCAGTGAATAAGAAAGTGCACCAAAGCAAGGGAATTCATCAACAAGTGGTTTGAAAATCAACCTGAAAACACCTGTGAATCCTATATTTTTCACCTATAGAAACAGCACAGAAGGCTCAAGAACAAAGTTGTATACTAAATTTATCAATAATAGCATTACTAGTGACGTAGAAAGTACCTCGATCGGTAGAGCCAGACCAAGTAAAGTTTTGATATCCAACACGATTTTTGGATTACCGTCCCATTGCATTTCAAGTTCCATCGTAATTCCATTAGGTCCACTTTCACTCTCTAAGATGGAAACTCCTGAAAATTGAGTGACCATCACAGAGGTTATTAGTGACTTATCAATGCATTGTACAAACTAAGCATAACCAATACATGGACAGTAAAAAGATACAACAAGTTAACACATATCTACAAAAAACTCCTCCTAAAGAAACATTTCAAAAACTTCTTTATCTATAGCAATGTACTAGATTATTTATAGCAACCTGTGAACTGAGGAGCCACAGTCCCAAGTGTGAATTTGGAGAATTTGAGAGATGCTAACATAGCTGGTGTATATTGTTCAAGAACTGGTTCCACACTGCTCCGAATCAGATCAGAAGCTGCCTACAAGATTCAGCAATGTCAAACGGTAAAAGAAAAAACTGTATTTTAAATTAGAAAGAGGGTGTAAAAAAGTATCAAAGTTACCTCGTTTACATAAGGCCAGATCTTTTCAAGTTCAAGATTAAGCCAATTTAACTGTAATTTTAAGGGTTCAACAAGTATCAATACCCATAAATATCAATAAATGATGCAAGTGAAAGAGATTTTGGAAACAAAAAAAGAAAGAAAAATAGCTCAACTTTTGTCTCTGTGAAAAGACAACCCAAGAAGGATAAAAATCTCCTGGGAGAAGTTTTCTCGAATCTTGAATAGTCATTCTTGCAAACGCAGCAATGGTCCTCGCCTAAACAAATCATTATTTACAATTTAATCAATCTTCCCGAACAAATCATCAAAAAAATTAAAATGGCATTATGATGTGAAATGGTTTTTACCAGTTCAGCTCGACGAGTGGATCTGACATTAGAATAGCGTGCAAATGCAACGACCAGACCGACAGAAACTGCGATTCCTATGAACAAACCAAACAGAAAACCCATTTTGTTTCCTACTTCTGAGCGGATCGAACCTGGGACGATGATTTTAGATGGGATCCATTCATCAGCTAAGAGGAACACAGAGTCCTCTGTTTCTGAGATAAATTAGTAATAATCGACTGTAAAGTTAAAGAGGAGATTGCTTCGCGCTTAATCATTCTCTAATCTAATTGATTTTTGGCTTTTAAGATTCTTTCTCCTTCTTCTCTCTCCTTCTTTTGCTTTTAATTTGATCCTCTCTACTAATCTCATTATCTGGTTGTTGTTTGTTGTTCTTCTGCATGCTTCTTTTAATCTCCTGAAACTTCTATTGATTTCTATTTACACCAAATGGCTGATTTTATTTCGGCGTTAGTGTCGTTAGTATAACCAAACCAAACCGGATAAAATTTAAAATTAATATTTAACCTAAATGTAAGTGTGTGTAAGTGTAACCATAGTAATGCTCACCAAACTAAATACATTTGACTTTAGCTGTAAAACAAACAAAGTAAAATCAAATTGTGATCGAAGTGTCTACTCTTAAATAAAAATTTGTATAGTATATATAGTGCGTGAAAGAATGCTGTATGATTGGTATCGTCTGGTATGATTTTGGTTACATGCTCTGATTTGATTATATATATCGTGTTAGCTTTTGGATGGGCCGGCCCAACTCTTAAACCATCGTCTAATTTCTTAGGCTGTCGGTTAACAGTTTACCTTCCTTCTGTAATGGGCTTATGCTTTTGTTTTGTTCCGATAAGGGGTATTATTGTGATTTCCACATGAACTCATTTTTCCTTTTGTTTACTATAGGAATAGGAACTACTATAAAGGGTGAAGGAATCAAAGGAACTAATGAAAAACATCGAAAGGAACCGTGAAATATGGTTGGGATTTTATGAACTCCACACCATGTTTTCATTTAATTAATAAAATGTACTTGGAAACGTAAAGATCGATTGTCGTCATCAAAGCCTGGGATCTACGCAATATCCTTTGTCATAACGCTTTTAAGTTTCAACTCTTTTCTGACTTTTAAACCTCATTTCTCGCAATCATTTACACTCCTTCGTTTCTTATCTTCTATTTTTCCGGCGGGATCTCACACTAACTTCCAACTGATATTTAACGTTGCTGTTGTCTATTTCAAGTTTCTTTTTCTTCATTTGTATTTTTACTAATATGATGAAAAAGAAAAAAAAAATCATTAGAGATAGATTGAATGTGATGGAAACTGATGATAGTATGGTACTAGAGTAGTTATAATGCTTCAAAGACAATCTCTTACATTTACAATGTTCTTTATCTCCTAACTTTTGTTCCCCTGGTATAAGAATACGATCGTGATTTGCATAAATTTGCGACCGACACGAATCTAGAACATTCACAGACACCTTGTTTTTTGCTAGAACAATACCATCAATATATACAATAATAGAAAATAATTTTTCTCACGGCATTACTAATAAAGGTAAAGGATAAGAAATTATATACACAGAATCTTTATAGTGAGCGGTTGTAGATCATCTAGGAATGTGAAGAGACATGAAGAAAACAACACGTAATCTTGTTTTGTAAGAGTGTGTGGATGGAAAGCTATGAATTATCGAGCAGAGAGAATCAGAAACTCACAAAAAGAATGTGAACGATTTTATTTTTATTTTTTCTAAAAAAGACAATGTGAAATTGTGCCATAGCCTTGAAAATTGACAAACCAGAACAGAAAAAAGTCATCCAATCTCTTTGGGGTTTCTCATGGTCACATGTAGTGTCTGAGGATTGGCTCTTCTTTAGCTAATGACTAAAGTTAAAGAGTTAATTACTCGTCTTAATGAAAGCGTGTGGGTCATGCTCATCACTCATTTCTCGTTTCCCTATCTCAACTGCTGTCTAATTAGTAATCAATTTCTTAACGGATGGAGTAGGTTTTTTAATTATTCGTTTTAAAATAATGATATCCGTTATAGTTTTAAACAAATACTAGGTTTGTTTATAAATATGTAAACCAAATTTTCTTGTTTATTTTATTCAATATGTATATACTGTTCAATTATAATTATAATTGTTGTGAAAAATTTGAACCTTTGATCTTTCAATTTAAAGAGATTGAAGGATGAAAAATTAATTTAAATTAACATTTTTGAAAAGCGAATTAGTCATGCACGAAAAACGTAATACAATTACACTTTGCTTAACGGAACTAGCAAAGAACAGAGACACGAGCCTTGCCTCTTGCATTTAATAATTATAATTAATGAAACAGTTGAATACATTTAAGGTCATACCTAATTGAAGACCATCATGGGTCTCTCTCTCTCTCTTTAAATTTTGCTATATATAGCTAGATGTCACATTTGAAATGAAGTAGGACTTAGCAGGAGTAGTAGTATTGAACAGCGGGAATTTTTGAATATTTAGGTCTCCTCTGTCATTGAACTGCCGTTCTTGACCATCCTCGGGATTATTTTTGGAATAACAATAAATAAATCAATATCAACTTAATTAGCATCAAGACTGTATCGTTTCCAAACAAGAAAGATCATAGTATAATTCATAATGTATAAAATTATGGGAACAAATAACAATAGTAAGTCATGCCATTCGTATTTGAAATGAATATGGGATGAATTTCGCAGATTATGATCGTAATGTAACAACTATAGTTACGATTTAGGTCTAAGTCTTTAAATATTTATGTTTGTTGCCATTGTAGCGAATATAAAATCAAAAAGTATATGGACTTGACACCAAAATTCTAGAAAAACTTGCTTGTTAAGCCTTCTTTTCTTGCCCGTTCTTTAAAGAACGAAACTCAAAAAAAAGAAAGAAGATTTTAGAATTCAACAATTACAAGCCAAAGGTTAAGGGCCACCACACATATATGCTTCGGAGGAAAATATGTTGACATAAAATAGTCATTAAATTATATAGTCATCTACTTTTGTTAAAAGTCGGTTTAGCCTGAAAAATAACCTCACATACGTGTCAGAAGAACAAGAGTGCCAAAAAACACGTATGACTAGAGTGTGGAATATTTGAGAACATACCTTTGTGTGATTTTTTTTTTTCTTTTTAATAAAGGGTTTACCTTTGTGTGATATTGCCAAAACGAATAATCGAGATTATTATTATACGATATGTATTGGTGTTAAGCGTTCTACATACGTATGCACTGGGATATTTGCCGTAAATGATTTAAAGAGGTTAAGATATTATGCAAACATTCAAGTAGAAAATATGATAAGCATCTACAACACGTGATATCCAATCCTCATGAACTCCGATTTTTCGGCTTTATGCATTACTGTGGAGGTGCCGTGGAATATAAAGAAATTTGTGAGAGTTTTTTGTTTTATTGCCAAAGTTCTAAAATTCGAAACAAAGAAAAGAGAAAAAGGAATACTAAGTTGGAGAAAAAGAAAAAGAGTGAGTTGTTTGAACTCTCACGCTTCAGACACAAGCAACTCTTCTTATCTTCAAGTCTTTTTCAGGAATTTCCAATCCGCCACGCAAAATACACTTACTTTCGTCATTTTCTGACTTCAACTCACCAAATGAATGCAACCATTTTAATTAATTTAGTAACAGCATTGTCAGTTAAACACAATTAAATATTAATTAATTACTTTGTTTATTTCTCTCCAAGGGTGCTTGCTTCTGAGAAGCCATTTTAAAAATATGTTGACGTCTTCGTTGGGCTCGCCACGAGACTGAAGTCAGATGTAACGCTTTGGATTAATTAAAAACTAAAAAAAACTAATCAGCCATCAAGAATCAAGATGGTGTATTACTTAATAGTACCGGTACGTATCTTGCAAATCTATTAGATTATGGTACAAGCCAATTCTGTAAAAAATAAATATTGTCTAAATAATCCTAAATCAGATCAAATCTTAGCTGCACCATCTTCAACAGCATCTCCCCTAATTATGGAAGATGCTTCCTTACTTTTATTTCATTTTTCACATCATAATTCTGCAAGTTTGGTATCCACCTTACCTATAGATCCTAGTATCGCTTTCACGCATTATTTTCTGTATATATTTTTGGATTTAGGAATTTTACGACCTAATAATAACAGTAATCGGCCGACCTCTTGTTATGACATCAATATGAGTCGATCGCCAAATTTATACCAATAAAAGAATAAAAAAGTAGTTAAATAAATCAATTATTTAGCAACATGATGGTGGCATATACTCTTACAGGTAAGGAAGACGTGTATCCCATCTTCATTCCGCTTTTTCCTCTTTATAAATTGAACGATCCCTTTATTAAATATTTGGCCATGTCTTCGTCTTATTCTCTTTTGGTACCAATCTATTGCAATGAATGCCTCTTGGAAGATTTACTCAGCTACTGATAATATAGTCGGCGCTTATCTCATATGACGACGGTGTCACTGTGATCTTAGACATATGAAATTCACAAATTTACACACACACACAAAAAACTTATGATCTACCAATATATAACTTAGACTTGTTCATACGCTAAACATAAATAATGTAGGGATAAGTGATGACAAACACGTAAATCAAAACAAAAGAGGATCCCACGTATGACATAAAAAGCTATTGGCACTCAAATAAATCGTCCTCGAGCTTTCTGCCATTTTTTGAGAGCCGTCAACAAATGGAACCAACTCACGAAAGACTTTAAGTTTTTGCAAAAAAAAAAAAAAAAAACATTCAACATATTACATTGTGGGTCATATAATATACATTATAACCCATTGTAAAATTCTCCTACCAAATTCTTCAAACTAAAACCAAATTTATTACTATCGACTAGAGCTGTCCCCAAAACTTTTCATTGTAGGTGTGTTGCAAATATAATTGCACTAGGTTGACATTTTTCTTTTTTCGTTTGCCTACGAATCCATCACAGTATTATCAAAAATTTATGGGCTTAAAAGAACTATCAATTAATTTTATGACAAAAAGAGAGAAAACGGAATTATTAATAAAAAAAATTAATCTATACTGTAATAGATAAAATATATATATATATATAATAATTTCAATCTGTAAGATTTGGTTAGTTGACAAAAATATATTTATTGTTAATAATGGGTATATATCCTGCATGTAGAGGAATATAAATCGAGTATAATAAAATATTCTTAGATCAGCGAGACGTGTCTTTCCACTTTTACTAGTTGTTTTTTCGTAATTCAAACATTCCAAATATTTACCTGTTCAATGTGTTCATGAATCCAAGGATTCTCCAATTTCATATTCAAATGTATTTTCCATCAATACTCCTCTATTCATATTCCATGTTGGGGTCCTTCTCTGTATGGTCACTCAGCTTTCACATTTTAAATTTTGGTATCATTTTTCTATTCTTCTTTCTGCCTACAAAGACCATTTCCTCGTCTTTGGAAAATATAATCTTTGCTGTTTTTTTTTCGTCCATCTTTCAATTCCCTCAGAAATTCCAATATCCCGTTTAGTCAAGTAGTTCAATCTAGTCCCATCGCCAAACGCAACCTGCGAAAAGGAAGAATAAACTTTCGAAGTTCACAGAAAAAAAAAATGCAATTACGTAAAATAAACAAGTAAATTAAATAAATACATAGAAATGAAAAAAAAACGCACCTTACATACACGACGAACAACGCATACCTGGAAAATTAACGGGAGGTTTAACGGAAGAAACGACGGATAACGGCACACGACGACCGTCAACGGTGAATGCGCACATTAACGGAACACGAAAAAACGGGAATCTGACAAAACGCTGCACACAGACACCATTGATGTGAGAAGAGATTCATAAATCTCACTTGTTATTCGCCAAATAGGATTCAGAAACTTGATTCAGATCTATTTACCAGATTTTGAATTTCGATTTTAGGTGTAATTTCGAGAGCGCACGACACTTTGGTTTTTTTTTTTTTCCGATCGAGAGCATGAAAACAGTAAAATGACTATGTACAATGCATTTCGCATCTTTCTTCACCCAACAACAAAAAAAAATTATGATGGTGTGTTTCTTTCTTTCGATCTTCGTTTACAAAACTCGATTTCGAAGTTGATTCTCTCAGCCAAAACCGCCGCAGATCTCGCCCAAATTTGACTCACTACTTCGCCGGTTCAGATTTTCCCGGCTCTTCGTTGGATCTGACGCCCTAGTAAATCCCTGAGGAGATGTGGTTTTAAAGAGAAGAACAAACCTGAAATCTGAAATCAGATCAGATCAATTACAATCGGCTTTCGACATAATCGAGAGCCTGCTTGGACGAGGCTGATACGCAGCTCGCCTTTTGAGATGATGCGAAGAAGGTCGAATCAAAGTCGTCAAGGCTCTTCTCACCCACTCCCCTTCAACGCCGCCGATTCTCACAAGAGAATTCGTCATCGCAGATCGGCGCATATTCAAACTGTTGGTCGGATACGAGGCCGTGCCCTGGCCGTGTGGATTCGCGACGTTCTTGTGGAGACTGCATCGGAAAGATCCAGGATGCGTCGTGGGGGAGCACATACACCTCCTTCTCGACTCGGAGATCTTGTGACTGCTCGACGGCTGCTTCTTCGAAACGGAGATGGATCGATTCGTAGGCGAAATGGATCTGCTGTCGAGAGAATACCGGAACGACTGTGCCATCGGCTGCGCCGTGTATAGATTCACACGAGTCGGCGACGCGGATCGGTGGTGGCTGTGATTGTCGTGGTGGTTACGGTGGTTGCTGAAGAAAGCTGAAGACGGAGACGAGAAGCTAGAGCTCGTAGACGAAGCGAACGCTGAGGAAGACGACGACGGAACGGCTTTAGAGTAAGCACCGGAAAACCGACCCGACGGCGATTGGGAACGAAGCACGGGACTGCTTGACTTGGTACTACGAGATGACGTGGTCACCATTGTTTTTGTTTGCAAACTGAAAGTCAAAAAGAGAAATTCGAAAAAGTCTCAGAAGGAAGAAAGAAGGAGGAAGGAAGAGGTTTTTTGGTTGCTCTCTTAAGAAGGCCCCGGAGGGAGGTTGGTTCGGCAAACCTAGCGAGTCTCAGGAACCAAATTTATAACAAAGGCTGTCCAATGGCACGAAATGTAAATACTTGCAAAGATTTTGACCATTTTCGAATTTTGGGTAATTCTATATCGGGTTAGTCAAACTTAACCATGGTTAGCAAATATTATGGTCTTTTTCTTTTCTTTTCATTTCATTTATTTTGTTTTCCTTTTGTTCAACTTGGCGGTTTTGCCGTTTCGAAAAGAATCGGGTTCTTGATCCAACGGCTGAGAAGACGACTCAGAGGAAGTCTTTTGTGGGCAGTTAGAAAAGCTGCCACGTGTTGTGACTATGAGAGATGTCAGCTCCTACCCCGGAAAAGCTGCGATAATTACGAAATGCCATTGCCCGTTGTTTTGCCAAGAGCCGGATTTACAATTCCAATGGTCTTTTTTTGTCGTCACGATCCAATGGTTTCATAACGGTATCGGTATCGATTTAGAAAATTAGATTTATACGTAAATCAGTTTGGGTTTCGCGATCAACTGTATTCAAAGTCTTCTAGAACAAAAAAATATGTTGAAAAAATTTAAACAATTAATCCATTTTGATATATTTTAACAAAAATTAAGAAAATTTAATATTATATATGATGGTGCTAGTGATTTAAAGATTTCTACAAATCAAACTCTTTATCCTCACACTTAATTGATCTTATTTGTTGGTCTGAAACATGCGTTTGATCTTCAATATGGAATTTTGTTTGTTAGACTTGGTCTCTTGACATCAAGATTAGTTGCTAATATTCAAAAGTAGTTGCTAATATCCAACAATAATAATCTAATAACTTGAACGTTAACATATCAAGATACATCTATGATCTATAACTGATTATACCATATAATTGGAGTTGTCAAATCACAACAAGTATAACGGTTTGTCCAAAAATACCATAAATTTTCATACGGGAGAGTTAGTAAAATAGTAGTATGTAATAATTACAATCAACAAACTAAAAGATTTCAACAACTTTTCACCTTAAACCTACTGGTGAACTAGCCAAACTCTTGGAGGGGTTCAAAGCAAGGTCATAACCACAACGAATTCTAGATTCGTTAAACTTTGTTTCGGTGGAGCAGATCCATGCAACTGTGTCTGATATTGGAATCAAGCACAAACGTAATTATCCGCCCCTGCTATGAATTTAACGAACTAATGACTCGAGTAATTCTTCCAACATTATTCGGATGTAGTTAGAACATATGTTTTTATTGAAGAGGTACAACTACTATCAATTATATAAAAGTTCCAACCTGGCTTTGCTCTTGAATAGTAACTACATATTGTGTAATATTATTATTGTTCATGAGATGCTAAGTCTCATTAAACTATAGTTCCAATATTTTTTCTTCGTTTATAATTATAGCCAACATAACCTAAATACTCTAGGAAAGGTTATGAGAAGGATGGGTAAGAGTTGTTGAAGAATATAACTAACGTTGGCCTTGGACTTGGGTTTCAGACAAGTCCAATTTTGAAGGTAATGTTAAGATTTAAGAATCTTGGTTGATCTACTAAATGGAAAAGAGGTGAATCTACACATCTCCTAAATTTGATTGAGATGTTTCAGGAGTGAGCTTAAGAAATTCAATATTCTCTTTAGTCTAAAGAAGAACAATGGAAATATGATAAATTAGCTAAATACGTTGTCATCGTGTCTTCTGGCGGACGAGGCGATTTGTTGGAGAAAAAGAGAAATGGTCTTTGACGAAACCCATATTTCTGTAATTTATAGTATCATTCATCAAACTTAATAACACTCAAATAATATAATAGGTTAATAACTATTTTAGCGTTAAACATTATATAAATACGAAAGTTGGTACGAAGATTGTTAACGGGTTAATGTAGACGAATCTAGGAAACAAAATAATATAAAATATTAGGGGGTTGGATCAATAATGCGGGGCACATGGAGGTCGTGTTGGGTGAGTTAGGGACAAAACAGTTATTTTTGTATGGTCGGGACATACATTGTGTTAAAGCAATAGGCTAACAAAATCACACCACCTCGTCCCACAATACTACGACACGTGTGGTTTAGTCTCACACGTGTCCAGGCTTTCCTAGCCTCATCATAACAATCCAAGAGACAAAAGTGTTTTACTTGGTGATTCAATGTCTGACACTGGATTAGAGTTATTTAACATGGTCATGGTCCGGTAATGGTCATGGTCATTGTGGGTCATGTGATTATGTTTCTTTTGAATTGTTTTTTATCTGGGTTTTTTTTGTAAGGAAAGTCTTTTACCCTAATGGTGATAACTGATAAGATCATAACAATAGTCATTTTCTGATCTTAGGTCATTTATTAGTGCAGGTAGATTTATGGTTGGAGATGATTATAGATCCTTTTAGCAGAATGTAAGCATTATTAAAATTATGATTTGTTATGGCGTATTGGTAATATGGGAGAGTATAAAGTGTGTTAAAGTCCTCTTATGGAAGTATGTGTCCCATATATCATGCAATGATATGCTGTGATAATGTTTAACAGAAGAATCTTATATTGCATAATGGTAAAGGCTTTGATGATTATTTTATTTTAAGCAAATTTCAGAACACCATTATTCAGAATAAGATGCTTAGTTTACTCTGGGATATTTTCATATCCCTACGAATATAAAAGTGGAGGTAGCAATGAAGTTGTACTGGTATGCAATATTATAATATCTAGGCTTCAATAATTATGATATTATGCTGATTTGCCATTTAATCAATAACCATCCACCTAAAGAGACATTTGAATCTCTTGGTACTATCTAAACAGTCCAGATAAACCTATTATATACTTTTTACCAAATATCAAACATCTCAATGTTTTAAATTTTTGCTTAAAGATTTTTAGTCATATCATTTGTTATTCGACTGTTTTTTTACTACGTGAAGCAATTGTGATTTACAGTTTTGACTTTTTTTGTCTAACAACAATCAATTATAGTGGTTTTTTGTCTAACCACATTATTGACGATTTAAAAGATTAGTGGTAAACTCGATTAACTAGTAACGTCGTACACATAATTTCCGGTCAGACCGGCCTATCCACTCCGGTTTTGAGGACATTTCCCCAATTAAAAACATCTTGAAATAAGATTAGATAAAGGGCAAGACTGGTTCGGTTCAATTAGGTGATGCAACCGTATATATATAGAACCAGAGACTCTTTCTTCCATTTTGGTCTGACTCTGACACCACATAAGGATGAAAACATCTAAAACTTTGCTCAAGCGGTCAAAAGCCACAACAATCATCATAGTCACTCACCACCGTTTTTTTGATCTACCAACATGAATCTTAACATTAGATATAACTTTCATGTATAAACCTACGGCAGGTCCATGGCTTCCTCTAATATTGCCAAACAAGTAAATACAGCAAAAAATGCTTATCCCACTTTCGTGAAGTTATCGGAATTTGAATGATACATTACTCGCACGAGTAAGAACAATTATCGCAACAGACTCGTCATCTCAATGAGCCAAAGCATTCTGGTGGCCAAACCTAGAGAAGCAAAGAGATAGTTACTAATTATCACTCTTATCTCATAACAACTTGAGATCTAGAAAAGAAGTTGTGGGACTACAAAGACTTACCCGCAGAAGAGCTTTTCCTTCGATGAGATTGTAAGGTATAGGTCCAAAATGACGTGAATCAGTTGAAGCATACAAGTTATCTCCCTGAATCCACACATGACCTTTTGGAACCTATAATTGAAGAAGCAACACATAAACCCTAAATCAGACAAGCTTTGGTGCTCTGCAAAAACAGAGATCGGTCGCATAAAACTCAAAATGTGTCCATGAATGCTCAAGAGGCTTAGCAAGAGCCTACATGCTATAACTACTCTGAAATCGACTTAAATCGAAACCAATAACTAGCAATGCTTCACCAATCTAGACAATCCCAAATCAGCAATCACACAAACATGGAAACCCTAAGCCCTAGAAGTTGCCAAATTCAATCTTACTTTTACCTTAAACCCTTAATGCTACAGCTACTCTGAAATCGATTTCAACGAAACCGATAACTAGCAATGCTTCACATTCTAGAGCATCCCAAATGATCAATCACACACACACACACATATAAACCCTATAGATCCTAAACCATAGAAGTTTGCACATTTTTTTTAGGAAAAGATGGAATTCTTGAAATGGAGAAGATTGGTCGATGTTCATACCACAACGCTGATTGAGCCATCACCGACCAAAGGGTCAGCGGAGAAAGAGAGTCTATGGCCTTCTAAACCCAATACCCGTTTTGTCACCATCCTGCTTGGGTCTCTCGGAGATCGAACCAATACAACGTCACCGAGTCCAATCCTACCGAACCGGTGCGATAAGTGTTCCGCCAAAATGACATCGCCGGTGAGATTAAGCGTCGGAAGCATGCTAGGACCTTGAACCTATAAACCCAATATAAACGGAATTAGATTCCTTTTGGAGAAGATGAAAGAAGCTGAAGCAAAAAAAAAAAAAAAAAAAAACAGAGAGATTCAATTGCAGCAATTACAGACGTGGGTGGAGGAAATCAGGTAACGGTCTGTGACATGAAGCAAACAGAGAAACTTGGCGACGACTGATACTTGACCGAATGCCTCCTTCGCCGTTCCACGCCATTGCTTCAGATAACTCAGCAATCTCATCTCGATTCTCCGAGAAAAAAGAAGAGCCAAGGCACCGAAGCAGGTCCTACTCTACACTTAAAACGACACGAAGTTGGTTTTTACAAGCTCTAAACGGCACCAATTTTGGATCTGGAAGATGAGTTACTGGTTTAGCGAGAATAGCATCGGAATCATACCTGGATCGCGAAAGGGGTTTTGGGTTCCGGTAGCTTCTAGTTCTAGGGTGAGAGCAAGAAAGGGGTTTATTTGGGAAATTTTAAAATAGAAAAATAAACCTCAGGGTTTAAAACGCAAAGACTAAAGAAGTCAGGGGTTATATTTGTAATTATCCAAACATTATAACGATGCATAAAAAGCTTCGTTTGAATCTTTGATAGGAAGAAGAAAGAGGGAAAGAAGAGAGGATTTGAGAAAAAAGCTTTCAAGGTCGTCGAGGGGATTCTAGGGTTAAAAGAATCGCATCAAAATCTGCTCCATCGACTCTTTCGTGTTTGCAATCTCTTCTCCTAATCTCGCTGTTCTTCTTGACGCTTGCTTTCAAATCTCCATTTCCTGAGGTTTTCAGTTAGTATCTTCGTTTCACCTTCGCTGTTTCTTCGCAGAGTTAGTATCAAAATAGATTTGGATCTTTTGTAGTTGTGGGATCTTGAGCTCGCGTGTGTTGTTCTTCCTTTCGTGTCAGTCAAGAATTCTGAGTCTCTGATTAGATCTTTCCTTCTCAGGATGGGAGACACGGACGTTGCGAGGGAGGCATCGACGCATCGATGTGATTTAATTGAGATAAATATAAAGGAGTTTCATTCTGGAACATACACCTTCTCTGTAGAGAGAACTGTAAGATATATATTTTTTTCTTAGAATTTCTTGTTTGATCAAAAATTGTGAAACCAATGACTTCGTATTTGGTTTGCAGATCCCTATTCAAGCATTGAAGCTGAATATTGAACACCGTTCCCTGATAATGTCGAAACATCAGCGTTTGCTGTTCCGCGGAAGAGTCTTGAACGATGATCTACGCTTATCAGATTACCGTATCCTAATCTTTTTCTTTCTCATTGCATCTCATGTAGATCATGTTTTTTCCCGAATGTGTTTTCATTAAATGGGTTTAAATCTTAGAGGTTGAAGAAGGGCACACTGTGTATTTGGTTGTAAAACCATCAGAAGGTGAAAATAGTCACGCTATCTAAATTTACTCTTTGAAATGTTTGTAGTATTGGTGAATGCTTCTGAAATACTATTTCTCTAAACTTCTTCCTTTTCTTTCAGAAGCTGGTCCTGTTATGAGAAGTCAAATGTTTAGCCTGGGAGTTGGAAACTTGGGCTTTGTGGTTGTGCAGTGTAATCATAACTCGAATCTCGGTCCAGTGAGTTCTCTTGCTTTCATTGTATCTTCCTTAATGTTTACGGTAAACTCTTTTGCCATGATCTTCTTACTACTGAAGATTTATGTATTCTAGTCACTGCAGGTGATTCCAAATTATATAAGAATCTTTGCGAGACGCCTGGCACGTGACTTTGCTGCCGCTGGTTAGACATGATTTCAAAATATATATTCCTTTTGTTGAAACAGATCGATCTTGAGGTTTAAAATGACATTGTTGTATTGTAAATTGCTAGGTGACAATGGTAACAACTTAAGTGCAGCGGAGATGGCTCAGAGGACAAGGCAACTCTTCTCTGATGAAGTACTTGAGTTGTTACCAGTACGTTCCTTGACTTTTGAATCGATTTATACCACTTTCTCGTTACTGTTTTTTTTTCTTCTTTTTCTAATTTTATTTCGTATGTATCTTCCCTTGTGCAGAGCCTACGAAGGCTGCTTGTGGATCGTATAAATGGTACAGGTCCATCAGCTCGAAGAAGGCAACAAGGGAGACTGGTTGTCGAATCAGGACTCCTCTGGGAGAGTTTCGGAAGGTTACTTCTTGCGATAGGCCGTGCCATCTCAGAAACACCTGTGTGTACATCTGACTTATATTTTCAAGCTTGCATCTTGAATATCTTCACAGACAAGAGAAGCTTCTGTGTATGATGAACAATGACCCTTTTCTTTTTGGATATATCTCAGGAGGATGCTGCAGTGTCCGCTTCCCCTACAGGGCAAAATCGCTTCCAGGTTTGTTCTGTCTCTTTCTTCATCGTTGACACTTGCTGTTTCGTTTGTTGACACATGACTCTCGGCTTCAGACAAGCACTGAACCAGGAAACCTAGCACTTGCTTCTGACCCAAGAAATGGTGAAAGACTACTTTCCCCGCCATCGAGTAGTGAAGAACATATTGAAATCGCCAGCTCTGAATCCCAAAATGAAGTCAAAACCTCCTCTCCTCGAGTTACCACAGATGTAATTAACGGAATCTTAGGTATACAATGTATGCAGTGTATATTATAGCTCTGTTGAATGTGTGTTGGTATCAATGTGCAGGAACAGCTTTCGGGTTCAGTTTCAGGAAGCGAGATTGTAAACAGAACACAGTTACTAGTTTAAACATACATAGCAATATAGCAAAGAGATGGTTGAAGTGTTGTCTCTGAGACGCTGTTTTTGGATGTGATGACGCAGAGCGAGTGAAACCAGTGGTGGCAAAGAGGCAATTAGAGGTGTAAAGAGAAGCTTTCATGTTTTCATTCGGAAACTATTGTTTTCCACATTAGAATACAAACACTTTAAAGTTTTCCAGGTTTTTGTTGTTTCGTAATATACAGCAACACCTTTTCTTCATTCTTTTAATACAAGCCGTATCGTTTTTTTTTTGGAACTAAAGCCTTATCGTTTTTATATGATATAATCGCCACCGTTCTTTTATCAACGTTTTTAATTCATAAGATTCTGAAGAAATGTCTCTACCACAGCGAAATTTACATACATACTCCCGATTATGGGCCAATTATAATTGAAAATTTCCATATATTTTTTTATACGTGTAGCATTGTTATTATTGTGACCCGAGGGAAAGAAAAAATAAAAATACAAAACGTACTCTTTTAAAAACGTGGACCGGGCCCAAACCCACGTTCCACCCACGGAGTTTTCTTCGTAATTCTTATCTTCTTCCCTAATTATTTTCCTATTTATTCTCTCCCACTCCTTGTTTTTCTCTCACTTGTTTCTTTATTTTTGGTTCTTCTTCTTCTTCGTAAGGAAAAACAACTTCTCATTTCTCTACAATTTCTGTTTTTTTTTAAATTCCCTCAATTTCGGAAAACTTCACGATGTACAACGAATGCAGCTCCCCGTCTTCCGCTAGGTCAACGAGAGGAACCGTTCACAGGCTGAGATCTCCGATCTGCTGTTTAGGAGCGAACGCGGTGGTTGAGCCGGAGGCGATGATCGGACAGAGAACGCCGAGATCTCCTTACGAGTGGCTCAAATCTACGGCGCAGGAGCTCGAGATCAGAGATCGATGCCGCCGCGTCAAGACACGCATCAAGGTTACGTGCCGCAACAACAATTGCGCTTACAATTGCGCTCATCACCACCAGAGACACCACAGCCATAGCTACCCTGGGGATTTCAGCTACGATCCGTTGAGCTACGCGCTCAATTTCGAGGACGATGTGCGAGCGGACGAGGACGGTTCTTTCCCGAATTTCACGGCGAGGTTGCCTGCGTCTCCGGTGACGAAATCTAGATCGGCCACGGTTGATCTGATCTCGTTCTGAGGGTTAATTCATCCCTTTCGTGTATGTGACGGTCGAATATAAAATATTTGAGAAATGTCGTACGAATATGACGTCGTTATTATATGTAAATGATGTCGCATATTGATTGATACCTGTAAAATTGATGTGTGCAAAAAACGAAACATTTTCGATCTGATCTTTCTCTGTAAATAAACATTTTACTCTACTATTACAGATCTAGTTGATTTCACTTTTGAACTGTAGTTGTTGAAAAGAAAAAAATCTATCGACAAACCCTAATTCGATGGCTAAGACACTGCGTGGTAAAGTCGAAGTTGGTTTTAATGCCAACAGGAATTCCGATTGCTAGATCATGGCGATTTTTAGTATTTTCGAAAACAATATTTTTATCTAAATCGTACCTAGTCAATTAAAATATACTATATTCATGTACAAACAAACATAAAAGTTTGGGTATACTTTTTATAACACAGGAACCTGATTCAGCTACTGGTATCATTTAAATATACAGATTTAATAATGACAAGAGTCAATCTTTACATTTTGGTTAATCATAATTGTTTGGAAACAGCAGGAGTATTAATCAACAAGATACATAGATTCTGGTAAGCTGGCATCTAAAGGCGGGTTAATAAGATGGGTAGTGGAGGCCAATGATCGTCCTATATTATCCACAATGTTTATATAATTATTTAATAAAAAACATGAAACAAGTGGAGAGAGACTGACGATAAGAGTGTGAAATGGAGTGAAGTGGGGATGAAAGAAAAAAAGAACAAGTACCAAATACGCTTTTTTCACATGTAATGATGTTTGGGTTGTTACGTAGAGAGATACACCCACTTGCCACCAGTCGACTTGTCACTTTCCCTGTTGATGCCTCAAATCTTACTTCTTTTGTCAACTATATACCCTTTTTGAAATTTAATTCTACCTTTTTAGGTTTTCTCTTGCAATTATCTCCATAGCTGCTAGCTTTGATCTCCTATGAAAGTCACAACATTCATTGTCAATCATCTTCATTGAATCTTTCATTTCTAGATATTTGTATATTAAAAAATATGTGTGTTTTTCTTTTACGTATGATTATGATATATATACATTTTCCATTACTCTACAAATTGTAAATTTCTACTTTTTCAGAAAAAGCTGCGCACTTCACAACTAATCAAGGGATATGGACTTATGTTAGACTAGATAAATAGTTTTTATATTTTTCTCCATAAGTCATTAACATTTACTGAAAATATTATTATAAATGACCTTTTACTATTGATAATGGACAATCTAATTATCTACAAAAACACGATCACAAAACCCACATATATAAATAACGACAAATTATTAATGTACAGTTTAACCTACGAAACCACAACAAATGGTTCAACCTACAATCTAAATAAAAAAAACTTCCAATTAAACTACACTTATTTATATCTAAAATGTTGGGATTGGAATCCTATATTTGATGTCAAAAGTCAAAAACATTAGTTTTAGCTTTTTAGGCTCAGAATAAGTATTGCTTCCAGCATTGGGATTCAAACTTAACAATGAGATTTACTTTCTTAATTTATAACATTCTTAGTACATCGGTAGAGCTACAAAGTATAATATAAAGTCTAATTTGTATAGTAATTTTCAGCTTGTTTTGTGACTCGAGAGATAAATTGCACCGTGTCTCCAAAAACGAATACAGATGTCAAAGATGTTCAATTAGATTAAGAGGTCGTGACCTCAACTTGCAAATGTTGCCGTACAAAGATAGATTCGCCATCGCAGATTAAAATATTAATATTAGGAAAAGTACGTAATGTCAAACTTCATTCGAACGTTATTTCCTCGTATTGGTGTTCGGTAAGAGCTTCTTCTCTCGTATTATATTCTAAGCTTTTACAGAAACACCCGTGGAATATATTTGTTATAGAATATAAGATCAGAAATTTTCTGCATATATACATTAGCTAACATGAAACAGAAAGAAGCGCATGATAGACTAGACTAGAGAGAATGTTTTAACTTCCTTGTCATCCTCTCTGATTTATTCTCTCATCCACTAGCACTTTATTATCTTCGGCACTTTATTTTTTCGCGTCACTTTCAGATAGCGAATCTTTCTTTAATTCAGCAATGTAAACTAAAAAAAAAACATTATTATTATCCATGAGGACAAAAAAGAAGAAGAAGACGAAGAAGAAGCAATTGTTTCGTCACTGTTACCTCACAGATAATACACAGCTGTCTTTTATGATTGGCCCACTTAGCGATAAACGCTCCTCTCAGATTACTGTCACACAAGTAGAAGACAAAGAACAAATAAGATAACGGTCGAAATGCCACGTCATGCAATCTTATTCCTCTGTGTTTTTTGTTTTGTCTCTTAAAGGAGGCTCAGGGACTCAGGAAGCTCTCTTCTCCTACAATTATTATATATTACTCTCTCTATCTTTATGAAAAAATCGAATTGAAGCTAATTTGGTTATAAATGAAATCATTGTGCCTCCATCGTTAGGTTCCCTAAATTCCAAGCTAGACAGCTACTTTGAAGCAAATCCAAATGTTTAATTTGAATTTTGTTATAAAACCAAAACCAAAATGATTTAAGTGTACCCGTTTCAAACCAATCTGAATAAATCGAATTTACCAAAGAGACAGCGAGGCCCAATAGTGGACAGTGAAAACCCAATGGAGCTTGAGAAAATAAAGGGGGCCGAAATGGAAAACATCATGCTATGCTAAGTCTCTCTTTCGTCTTTTGCCGGCGACCTTTGCAGCTTCGGATGTGAATAAACGGCACGGAGTTTCGTTGTATTGGATTAGGGCTAACATATAGAAGTGGTTCCACTCACACAAAAAGAAGAAGCTGAAACTATCAATTGACAAAATATAATAATATATACTTATCATTATCAGCATAACTAAGGTTTATATGTATATGATGGTGGAGATGTTATCATGTCATAGATTCCATCTAAAACCTTATATTACAAATCATGCTGCTGCCTCTTCTTCTTGATTTGGGTTTTGTGTGTTCCTAATAATTATAAAATACGAAGTCACATAAACCATGCAATGTCATAAAAATTACATTCTACGTTGGTTTTATGTAAAAGCTTTGCCTTCATGTCTCCAATTTTCTATCAAGCTATTGGATCTCTCTTTGGGAGCTTCAAAGTGACTTCAACGCTCTCTTCCGCTGTTTTCACCTGCATTGCTTCATAAAAACAACTCTCCAAATTTCAATGAATCCATGTTTCTTGAAAATGTAACTAAACAAGCTATAAACTTTGTCACACTAACCCATATAATTCGTGTAATCGATATTTGTTCAACAAGCATCGTCCTATAATGGATAACTCTTCCTACAGTTTTAATTATGCAAACTACCTTCTGCGTTTGTTCTTTGAGACGGTGGAAGAAGATGGATTGCTATGCCAATTCCTCTTTCTTTGATTGATGAACCAATTATTTATCTGTTTGAGCTGCAACCCCGTCTCCTGCACCAACCTCGCCTTATCTTCCTCCTGCCAAAAGTTATCTCATTCAATTAAAACTTGGGAGATTGAGAAGGCAAACGAAGAAGTGGCGAAAGTGATGTAGTCCAAGCTACATGGAGCAGAACTTGAAGCGTGTTCATGTGAGTGATTCAAGAAGTAGAAAGAGAGAACTCACAGTAGGGTAAGGCCACTTAGAATGAGACTGCCACCAAGCTTTGAGAACGGAGGTGGTGTCTCCTGGTAATTTTCCAGCTCTTCTCTTTCTCAATATCTCCTCTCTTATGTCTACAATTTTCTCCTTATAACCCTTTTTACAAAATCATGGCTCTACATCATTAGATCACTAGAAACGCTGGCATATATGCACTGTATATATAGACCTTACCACACAAGTTTTCTTTAGAAAAAAAGTAATATATAGTTTGACAAGTAATGTGTTACAGTTAGTGTTATGTGCAATCTAACTTAACAGATGAGACTATATGTATAAGACAAAGCGATGGAGTATAATATCAGTCGTTACCTGCTTGAGTTCATGTTTGAGTTCTTGTCTAACTCGCTCCATTAAGGATCTCTCGCTCTCAGTGGGAGCAAGAGGACCAAACCCTAAGCCATCTAAGCTTCCATCATACAAATGAGCATCACTCTCTACTTGCTCATCTTCATCCTCAGACATTGTTGCTCCTGTGCCTTCACCAGGAGACACTCCTGTAAATCAAACAAATGTAAATCCTATATAAATCGGTACCATAGAGCACAACTGAAACGAATAATAAAATACAAGAGTTATCATATTAGCTAATGACAAATCAATGTTAAAACATTAGAAGGAGAGTTCTCAAAAACTAACCTGTAAAGCTTTGAAGAGACTGCTCAATTTCCCAACAGGCCATAACAGCTTCCATTGCATGAACACGAACATGCTGTTGCAATTGTTCTTTGAAAGAGCAAAGCAATAGTACATAATGTGTCTGTACAAAACATGGAAATATCTTTCAGACAATAGATACAATTACAAAATTCCAACATTCGAGAAAACAAATGAAATGAAATTTGAAAAAGATAGCCCAAAGTTTAAATATCAATATGGGATACAGACAGAAAAATGACAAAGTAGTTTTTTTTTGTCAGATGACTGTATCCGTAATTACAATCAATGTGTATTCTTCAACCAAAATCTATCTCAAAATCAAGCGTCTGCTGTCAAATTTCAACAGTACAAAACTAGAATCCAAATCTTGAACTGACGAATTATCCAACCCACTGATCCTGTGTGTCGGTGCAAGACAACAAGTCAAGTACAAATCTAAGAAATAAACTTTCTTCTCTAACTTATTCAAAACAAATTTGTCAAACCGTGAAACTTATAAACTAAAAGACAAAAGAAAATTATTTTGTTTTCCCAAAACCGAAGAGAAAAAATAATTTATTAGTAAGGGAATAAATTTTAAAAAAAATTGAAAATTGGTGAGAAGGAAGGAGAAGTTAAGTTACCATGAAGTGGTCAAGCTCCTTTTCATCGCCGGCGATGAGTCCTTGAGCAGCAGCTTCTAAGGTTGAGTACTTAGCCACGACGTTCTGCGACTGAGCGAGCTGTGCATCGATCCTCGGAAGCTGATCCACTGGCGTGGCGATCCTCAGGCACGCCACGTGTGCCGACAACAGCTGCTCGTAGAGTGGGTGAGAGAGTATCTCGGCCTTGTGTCTCGCATTCTGCCACCTCTCCGCCTCCTTCTTCTCGCCGATCATTGACTCCTCTCCGCCGGTGACGTCATCGATGGCGTCACCTGAGCCACCGTTGTTGTTGTTGGCGCCACCGCCGCGTTGGAGGAAGGAGGAGGATCGAGAGAGCCACTGGTTAGCAGCAGCGGAAGAAGGAGAATCGGAGCTTGTTGCGGCGGCGGAGGCGGCTGTGTGGAGGTTGAGAAAATTGTTATCGGATCGGAGGAGCCAATTAGGCGGTGCGGATTCATGGAAATGTTGTTGTTGCGGCGGCGGCGGCGGAGGAGGAGGCTCGTGTTGTTGTTGGTCGGTGAAGTGATTGAAATGATTGTGATGAAACGCCATCGTTTTCCTTTGTTTGAATATCTGTTTCGGAGAGGGAAAGACAAAGAAAGAGGAGATGAGTTTTCAAGCTTTGAAGAACCTTTTGTTACTAGTGTTCAGATTTATCAATAATGAACATAAGTGTTTGGGTTACATGTATTTGTTTGAATGTTTGAATTTTATATGTGTGCGTGTGTGCAGAGAGTTTTTAGACCAAAAGATCAAGACGCACAAAAAGACAATTTATTCATGTATTTATTCTTTGAATAATTATTGTGTATTCTTTTACCAAATTCTTGGTGATAATAAAATGGGATTAGGTCTAACACTAACTAGTAGTACTCTACCATAACACTAACATTAACTGTGACAACAAAAAAGTTTTATCGTTTTATGAAACGACCCTAGGAGTTGACGGCTAAAGTATGATACGATTTACGAAATGACGGTAAAAGTAAAGTATTGCACCACTTTTTCCTCAAACGTTTGAAAACTTTTTCTTCCGTGTAGCAAATTCTTTTTTTGCACTAACTAATCGAATTCATGAAACTTTTTAATACATTTTAGCATAATTAAAAAAAAGAATTCGGTTGCAAAACATGTAACAAAAAAGGTTTTATTGCCAGCATCCATAGAAGCTGATAACAAAAACTAAAATTTAGTGAAAATGTTCAAACTCTAATTCCTCAATATTTTAGAATAGATTACTCATTAATCACTAAACCATAACTTATTTTAAACTAGAATTTTTTTCATATATGTATCTGTTTCCAAGCTTTGTTGAATAGAAACTTGTTAAGTGTGGACTCCTGCTAGATAAACTGAAACACATCATTGTCTTAAGTACAATAGGTGTTGCATAGTTAAAAGTTAAAAGTGAAATAAAATTTACATAAATAATTTTATCTCGTAAAAGAAAAAGTAAGTTTGGACCCCTCTGTCTAAGCAAGCCAAAATTAGTGGTTAAACCACTAATCAATCTAAAAAGTTAATTCATTTGAGTGAAGAAAATATATTTTGTTAAAGAGTTAAAAGGGGGACCATTATTGACGTCATAACTCTCTGCCAAAAATATCGGAGGACACGTGTCGTGATAACGCTTCCCACTAACTGTGGTCCCTTAAGAAAATGGCATGCGATCAGATAAGAGAATCCAGCCGTACAAATAAATTTACATTATTGTTTCATTGTTTGTAAGAGACCAATAAGTAAATAAAAATACAAACGCAGCAGATTCAAAAAAGTTAAAAGAAGTGGGGCCCAATTTCAGAAATTTGACTTAAGCTCATCGGTAGTTGCCGTCTAATCAGAGTACGACAAATATTATCCCATCAGAACAAAAACAAACAAATACTAGTAATATGAAACTCATGATTTCTGCTAAAATTGTTACATTCATGTAGGGGATACTATCAAATATTTACCAGTAGCATATTATTTATCTAAAAAAATACAGATGACTCGTAGAAGCATAACACGAAGCATTGAAAACATAAACAAATCGACAGAAGAATAAAAAAAAAGTGTAACGAATTTTCAATCATTTTTATACCGAATTAACAAGCTAGTTTTTTTTTTGTTTGAAACAGAAATGAACAAGCTAGGTTTGTGAAAGAAATATTCACCAATTGAAAACGTAAAATAAAATATAAAAAAATCAACTATATCACATGCTAGTATGTACAAAAATTTACATGATCTAAAGTTACGAAAACGAATCTTCATCGATCTGTATCTAACGGTCCTTCATGTAAATAAAAAATGCTTATCACGCAGGAATGTGATGCAAAATTATTCGTAACCACCTACGCTCCATCATTTGGACTAGTCGTAATCTCTCTACGGCCACTCCTCTCTCTTCCTTGTTTTTTTTTTTGGTAAGGCTCTCTCTCTTCCTTGTTCAAGATATTTTAATTCTTCCTTGTTCAAGATATACTTTTTTTGGTTTGCTATAATTTGATATATACGAAAAAATTACAACTGTTAATAAGAAACTAATAATTGAGAAAGCATATATGCACAGCAAATATAATATATGAGAAAAAAAAATAGCTAGGTTAAAGGTAATAAAACACACATCTTTTTCTCAAAAAAGAAGAAGTTAAAAAAAAAAATTATCCAATGATGAGTAGTTTTATTGAAAGTGGGTAGCCATTTGACCACTTCCAAGATTTGGCATTAATATATGATTAGATAGAGATTTTGCAACATTTTCGCTTGCGTGCGTTACACGCGAGTGCCGATGAATGAGACTAAACCACAAGAAACCAAAATATCCAAATGGCGAGGTGAGTGTTGGTTAATAAAGATTAAAGAGTAAAGACATGTGTCAAGAAAACATATTGTGTGATAAGGTCTACGTTTCGTGTGGCATCAGCTAACACGTGATTGGACAAAGGGAGTCACTTTAACGATCACAGTCGTCCATTTCATAACCACTCCTGTCCCCACCCGAAGTGTCCTACGTCCCACGGCTCGTCTAATTTACCCCTCTATAAGTTAACATCATATTCTTTTTTTTTTGTGGTTTTTAACTTTTACCATTAGGATGTACATAATTTACAGCGAAAACAAGCTATTTCTCCACGAGAACTATTGCATAGTATCAGATGTCTCCCAAACTATGCTTTCGTGCTATATATCCCCGAAAAAATAGTTTAAGATCCAGATCTACATGAATATCGGTTTATGGGGTTAAAGCTTAAACCCATACCAAACCATCAGATGTTGTCGCATAACCGAATCAAAAACGTAAACCTGACTCGTTAAACATAAATCTGATTGCCTACAAAAACCCATTCTCAACGGTAGAATATCAAAAATCCCCAAATCAAAAATTTTAGAACCCTAAAATCTAATTTGTAAAACCCAGTTGTATCACCCTGAAATCCATAGTTCTTCAATCCTATTGCCATAATCGAGTGTATTGGTATTGTTAGTGTGAAATTTTGTTTTCTCCTTCTTAATTTTCATACTGTTTTTAGCTTATTTTTTGAAATTTTAAAGATAGGAAATGGCTGAATCAAAACATGGTTTTGTCTGATTCGTAGTTTAAACTTGATATATACCTAAAATGTGACAAGAACACGTGATATCAAAACCTGAAAGATAAAAGAGGAGATAATAAACAACTCATATTTTATTGTTATTGAGAATTGTTTTACAGAAAGTGTCGAATATGGTTTGGTTGTCTTTCTCTCTCGTCGACCACTTTCATCACCTTCTTCACCATTCTCACCATCTTCTTCCTCACTATGAGTTTCAGTTTATGGATAAACATTATGTAGAATCGATGTCTCATTTTTGAAATCTTGGATAAGCTGCTCGATTTGAGATTGTTCTCGGTCAGATGCTTCTTCGTCGAACTCTCCTGCACCATCGTGCATCACTAACGCCATGGATTTCGAGCTTCTCAATCAAGGTTCTAAGATTTGCGATTTCTGGGTTTTGGGCGTAAGGTCACGATTTGGGAATTTATAATTATACGGTTTAATCGTTTGGTCGGGTCAATAAGTGGTCAATAAGATGTAATCGGGTTATAATTGGGTTTCTATTTAGTTTACTATTGGTTAATATTGTTTACAAACCAGTCAATCAATTAAAACCGGATTGTATGGGTTTTTAAGTTTGTAACTTTTATTTTGCGGAGATTCTAATTTTGAACTTTTAATTTGGGAAGATCTGAATATTTTAACTATTTTTCAGAGATATATAGCACGAAGGCATAGTTTGGGACACATATGACGCTATGCAATAGTTTTTGTAGGGAAATAGTTTGTTTTCCCAAATAAATATGGTTTAAACCACCTAACAAAACATTTTCAGTATTATGTGTTGATAGTTCTGAATTACAATAAACCAAATAAACGCAATATATGCTTTGATTGACATCATATACCGTGTAACAATATGGCACTAGAAAGAGCTAATTGTAATGATCAGTAAATCTTGAACATTTACACCTCGAGATGACTATATGAACGACCATCGCCGATCAGTAATTCACATCTACATACACAATCCTGAGAATTTGTTTGAAACTGGATTTGGACCTACTTATATTTATGGTCTCGGACCAATATAAGAGAGTAGGGTGGTGCCGTGGTACAGAGATTAATTCTTACTTAATCAGCGACTTGTGCTGCCCATATTAGCGACAGAAACAAATTTATTAATTAACCTGGTAAATGACAAATTGGGGTTGTTAACATAAACCATTTGTCTTGTTTACAGCTTTGTTTATTTTATTTTAACATTTTCACAAGCCTATCAGTTTTATTTTATTTTATTTTAACATTTACCCAAAAAGTCTATGAAACTATATGCAAACACCAAAATCTGTCCAATATATACATACACTATAGGGTTCCGACTAATTCTGGTGTTTAACTAACAGGATTATTAAAACCGTGCATTTTTGCCAATCAATATGGAACTTATTTGTAGAATTTATACAGACATTAGTCTATAAGCAGGGATGTATGTGATGATCATAGAGATTGTATTTGATTGTTGGTGATAAGTCAACTATAACAATTTAATTATATTTATCAAAGACAAAAAAAAATGTCATCTCAGAATAGCTTAATTAAGTACGATGGATTCTTTTTCCAACGATTATGTCAATAATGTTTTTAATAATACAAATTTAAGGATGATATAAATTTATGGTCGACAAAAGATATTAATATAAAATTGTAAAAATCAAATCAAATTTTTATATTTTAAATATGAAAATATCATAATACTGAATCAATATTAGGCCATAATTTTTTTTTTTTTACATTCTAGACTGCTTTGTCGTTAACAACGAATATTAAATTGGTATCTTATTAATCACTCGTAAAATTATATATTAACAAATTCAATATTTAATATTTGGATTTATACCAACTAAAAAACTCGTGCTAACTTCCATGCATTACCAAAATGAAATAGGCATTATTTATTACTATTTCCATTAAGATGGAAGAACAAATATGCATGACAAATTTATTAACGAATGAATCTTGAATTCATGAATACATAGCATATGTCGAAGAGGAAACTAAAAAGTTGACGTTTCATGTTTTGCCAAAACTAAAAAAGCAATTTGATATTTGGAGAAACAATTCGTTATTTGGTTGCTGTACACTTAGAATGTGATTAATGAAGATTAAATTAAAGTAAGCCAATAACATAGACAACGTTAACATCGAAACATCATGAGTTAAAAAGAATAAATACTTTATTATATTATAAAGAAAGGGTAGAGAAAGAACATCGGAAGCTTTTCGTCAGGTTTGTGGATGAAAATGATGGAACGTAAAGGATGTTTTCTCTTCCTCTTTCACTTTGTTTGTAACACTGCTAAAGTTTTTTTATCGAGCGACTTACTTTTTATTTATTTAATCACTACTCGTAATTCACATTATATAGCATATATATATATATAGCAATTCTAAATTATAATTCTCCCTAACATTCCTTTTCTAGAGGGTTTTTTAGAAACAGAATATATACTGTTTTTCTTTTGTTTATTATACTTTTCTATATTTTGGTCAAATTTTACGAAATTATAAGAAATGAAGAAGCATTAGTTTTTTTTTTTTGTTCAAAATTTTGATCACACTCGCAATAAGAATTCCCACAAAAGTCTCATTGACTATACGTGTGTGGTATATATTTATTGCCAAAAAGTATACGTCGATCACGACAAAGATCATTGTTATCACATTGGAGTGACAAACACACACGCACATATGTGTAATAATGGCTGAAATTGATAAGGGAATCTATAGAGATGTATCATATGTAACCATGTCTTTGCAAGCATAACTGGAAACATAGAGAAGCGGCCACGAAAGTTTATATTGTGTCAAAATAATATACAAATTTCAGTTGAGTTCTGTTTGTGTCATAATCTTCACAAGGTTCATTACACTTCTGTTGATAAATTATACATTAGTTTGGAAAGTTGTTAGTCAATGATTTTTAGAAACTTCAGTTTTTTTAGTTTGAGATGTTTAGAGTAAAACCTCATCATGATCTCTGCTGCATTATAAAAAATGAAGATCGCATGCCCAAAAATCTCGATGATTTTAAAAGAACTCTTGATCATATCAAATAATAGAGAGAGTAAGGAAAAGGTAGAAACGATCCAATTAAAAAAAAGAAGAAGATAGAAACGTTTCAAAGTAGACAAAGCGGAGAAAAAGAAGAGTGTGATTTGGCCCCGCGTGAGAAATATAGAGAGAGGAGAGACTTGGGTTATCCAACATTGCTGAAAAAGTCTTTGGTTTAATCTTCCTACTCAAATTCTTTGGTTTTGGTGAAAACACACGCAGTCTGTTGCGCTGACCGTTAATTATTGTGCCTACTGTGCAAAACGTTGTTTTATATATCTTGGAAAACTTAGCATATTTTATAATTCGTTAATAATTATTACCATTTTTTTTTTTAGGTTTCTTGGCCCTCTCGGTGAAAGAAAACAGGTCTTCTTTTTTCTCTCTAAGAAGAACCAATAAATTAGAAACCACTTAATTTCTCTCGGTGAAAGAAAACAGATCTTTTTTTTTTTCTCTCTCTATGATGCCTTTTCTTGTTTTCATTACATGTCTCACTCAATTATGATTTTAAACAAATTTTAGGTATTAATTATTTAAATGAAATGTTAAAACATGTCATATTTTTCAAAATGTCATGTTAAAATAAGAGAGGCCTATTTTTGTCTGCTTTTATTATTAACCCCCAAAGTTAGGCTTTGTTCACTTCCAATATTGGACCACAGACTAACAAAAAAAAAAGGAAGAAGCATTTTCAAAATGAAATTAAATTCTGTAATGGACCACTTCTCCACTCTTCTGCGTTCATCTTCAATGCTTCTCTGTGCTGTCCATATCTCTCCACATTGTTTGCTTACTTTTAGTTATGCATTTGACATCCATTTGGGAATCTTAGGCCAATCTGAAATAGCATCTAGTTTATCTCTTTCTACTTTCTTGTTTCATTATCCTCGGAATCCAATGTGACTCAACTTTTACTCAGAATGTTGTATAGAATATTTGGGAGTCAACATTTTAATTTGGATTATACTGTCTGTCTATCTTGCTTCTCATGATCCAGGAGGTAAAACCAAATCAACAGCAAGCTCAAACTTTTGAATCCTCAGCATATGAAGTTTTCATTAGCTAATATACTGAATTAAAAGGGCCAATTCACATAATTATAAACTAGACTTAACTATTGTCCTAACTCATTCAGACAATGCTACCAACATTAATTAATTAGTATGATTTATTCATTTTGCTTATGATTTTAATATTTTATCAGATTAACAATTCTAAGAAAGAAAAAGTTATTAAATTGACCACATTCTAATTAGTACCTAAATCTTGAATTGGTGAAGATGGCTTACTTTGATAAGAAAAGTACACACTATTGTGATGTATAAGGCTATCCATGGCCCATATTTAGTCTTTGGGCCGCTCTCTTTGTGACGCCCAAGTTCCCAAAACACAAGTGTGCTCTAGATCAATAAAAGCAAATGACAATAAAGGAAACGGTCCTGTAAAAGAGACGTGGTGCCGGTTTGGCTTAAACGCTACGTTTATAATCGTCCGTGTTTCATTCATGGACTTCATTAATAGATATAATATAACCATTTTCTTTCCCAGCTAGACTAATCATTTACGTCTAACAACATATACTTATTAATTTGTATAGAAAAAAACTGAAAAATGTATTTATAATTAGCTAGAATCAAAAGAACAATGACTGTTACGATCTCAATCTAATATTTCAATTTTGAACTGAAAGGTATAAAAGTTGGCATATTTACTTCTTGCTAAATTGATTGTTTATCTTTTTCACCAAAAATAATAAGGGGAATTTTAAGAAAAAATATTATTTGTTCTCGAGTTTTCTTGTCGTTCTCATAATTATATAATTAAGAGTTATTAACGTATTTGTAACGTTCAGATGATCATAATCTCGAGTATATGTCATTGACGACAGCATTTTGCCTGGCAAATTTCACCGACGTCAGAAGACTCAGAACCAATCTCACCTTAGATCGTAACAATATGAAATGGTTTTAAGAAATATAACACTATAAATAGAAGAAGAAAATCGACGATCAATAGTAGCAGGATAAACCCTATTATTATTTTAAGATGAAAAAGAGGCTAAGATATGAGATATATATAAGTTGTAAGAAAAAAAAAAAGAGCAATAATAAAAAAAAGGAATGATCAATTAAAAATGATAATGATTATCTCATATCATCGCATGATCGTAGGGTAGCTAGAACAATGGAAACCAAATGTTGCTAGCACGAGTAGAACCAGAGAGCATCTCTATCAGATCCATTTCTCTTCTTTCGCTACCAGAGTTAGCTTGAAGCAGCTCATTTTCGCCGCCATGATCTATGTTGCTGGAAGACAGAAAAGAAGATGAAGAAGACGATGCCGTACCGTTCAACAAATCAGATAAGTAGATATCAGACGCGAGCTGGGTGGTACTCGTAGGATCAGTGACCATTGTTCCATGCTGAATTCCAACAAAATTGTTGTTCAAGTTAGGTCTAGGGTTAGGGCTCTTGATCATGAACCCAGATGAAGAAGACTGTGATATCTCATCTAGACCTTGGCTTAAGTCGATGTTCTCGAGAGAAACCGAGTGGTTTGCAAACATGTTTTTCAGGAAAACAAGCTCTTCGTCATAAGGATCATCCAGGAGCGACGATGTAGAGTCTCCATCAGAGTAAAACTGATCAAGATTCGAAGTAGCAAGAACATTATTACCACCAGTACTGGTGGTGATGATGATGTTCTTGCCATTGTCCTTTTCATTCTTCTCGATGCTTCGAATATAGTCTTGGAGAACGCATGGCCTTTTAGCAGATGGAGTGAGGTCATCCATATCGTCTTTTGAAAGCTTGTGTTTGCGTTTTGAGTTTTGGCGTCGTTTGGTCGCATTCCAGTGGTTCTTGATAGAGTTTTCGGTTCGTCCTTGTATGTGTTTAGCGATCTCTGCCCACTTATTCCCTATCCTGGTATGTGCTTCCACAAGGACCATCTCTTCTTCTTCGCTCCAACTATCTTTCTAAAATACAAAAAATTAACAAAGATTATATATATATATATATCCGAAAATCTCATATAAAACTTTGTTAAAATGCACATGTCTATATGAAAACCTTGATATCGGGACGGAGATGATTATGCCATCTCTCACGACATTGCTTGCCTGCTCTTCCCTCAAGATTCTCCGAGATCATTGCCCACTTCCTCTCCCCATGTTGCGTCACCAACCTTATTAACTTCCTACACATAATATATGTATGCAAAGCACAGATCGAATTATTATAGGTACATATACACTCGCATATAGAAGTCTGATGAATCGATAATATATATTTACCTGTCTCTTCTTCGGCTGTCCATTGCCCTTTGATGAGATACTTGTATGGTCGCTTCTTTGTTATGTCCTTGCAAGTAGTACTCTTTGGATAGTCTCTAGTTGCATCTTTAACGATCATTTCTCCAAAAACGTTTCGGTTTCCGCCACTAGCGGCCAATGTTTTCTCCTTTCTCGGACCAAACGTCATGTTCTTTTTCTTGTCGATCGCCCTTGTCGTCTTCAATATCTGTGGGTCTATAGAAAGATCTTGTTTCTTTGGAAACAAGGCATCTTTCTTTTGGCCGTACAAGAATCTCTCGACGGATGTCAACGGCAGTGCAGCTCCGTGGACTAGGATCTTCTCTTGTGTTCTACGGTCTTCCATGGAAGAAAACAGAAAAAAAAATTAGTGTAGAAATGGAGAGGAGAGCCGAGAGCACATAGGAGGGAGAGAATTGAGCTGGTAATAAGGAGGAATATGAGAACTTAATGAAAGGCTAAATGAATACACACACTAATTACGTATTAAATTCCATTAACTATATTGACTTTTTAGTAGAAATATGTAACCCTTCTTTTTGGTAAAAAATAACCTTTCTTGTTTTTAGTTTATAAAAACATATATATCAAGTGAACATATGTTAAATTATGTAAAAAAAAAACAAAAGCATAAAAGAAAAGAAGAGTACAAAATCTGATACCTAAGAAGAAATATCTATGGATTCATACCTAATTTACCTATTTGTCACTCACTAAACATCTTAAATATATGCAAGTTTTGGAAAAACTATTTGTTCCGCCATTAATGTCATGACTTCACGAAGCTGAAAAAAATATGTATATTGAAAAAGCTATATAATAGCTACTGAGTTAATAGTATACCAAGACGCATACAAAATGTCGTCAATTGGCGTGACAACAGTTCTCTAGGAGATTAAAGATTTTAGTTTGTGCTTTGTGTTTCCGTTTTTAGGTGTATTTGTGTACTAATCTGCTGCTAAAGTTAAAAGAACTTTGTAAAGCTCGAGCTAGTCTCTTTCCAACAACAAAACTATAGTAACTTTTGTTAATGTGGCGGGAACAGACGTACGTGGCGGGAGTAATTAGTGAGAGAACATCGTAGGTTAATTTGTTGACTGGGGGGGAAGTTTGTAAGTTTGTAACGGACGAAATGAAAAAATGGAAAGACCATCAATGATAAATTTACTTATGTAATAAATTATTTAGTTGACTAAATGAAAAATGTTATTTTAAAATCAGAAATCGGAATTGACCACAATATGTAGTTGAATGATTTGCTTAGTAGTGTTGTTGTCGCACCATCCTGATTAAAGTTCATATAATAAATTATTCAGAATACATATTATGGACAAATAACTATACATCATATTTATATTGAATCATACTTTAATAAAATAATTTTAAACCTTAATTATCACTGAGGGAGTCTCAGAAATGGATTTTAATGGTGGTCAAACAAAAGGTCAATCGACTAAAACTCCGAAAAATGCCTAAAACATAGCCTGATAGTGGTTTCAAACATTTATTCATAACCAGTAACCAAAATTCCTGCAGTTAAGCCAAATTGCAAAGGCAATAGAATAATATTAGATTGATTTGATGTTTGTTTCCGATGACTCAGCCAAATAGTCTTTTTCCAATCTCAGGGCGGACACTTGGTTGCGAACTTTGTGGCGGAGGAGGTGCTAACTACAAGTATTTTTAGAGTCTCCGAATAAAAGAAGAAAGCTTATTTATGCAATCAGTTGCTTCTCAGCTAACAGTACCCAAGTTTACTGAGTTCTGCTTAATTAATATGAAAGAGTCCATTTTCACTTAAAACTGCCCCTCATGAGCAGAGAGTACAGACAAAATTACTTTGAGAAGAAGAGCCATCTCGGAACTGAGGCCGTGAGATTCCAAAAAGCATACAGTACATGCACGATGGTCGTAAAATATTCCAAGATAAAAAAAAAAAAACACAGACACAAACACATATATATTGGACCCAATTACTTCAAACCATAACTTAAAATTGATTTATCGTGAAATTAACAAACAGAGCAAAACGCCCAAACCTGATTTGTTTGGAAGAAACAGATCACAATGCGCCTCCAGAGACACGGACATGAAAAGGCGGTCCGCGGCAAAAGATGGGTTCGTTTGGAGATGCGGTTCGAGCTCGTGCTCTGAGTACATTGTTTGCATCTTCGATTACAGCCGCTGCTACCATCGTGTACTCTCCGGGAACAAGGAAGTAGAGTGAGAAACAGTGTCTTGCTTCTTGCAGCGGTGCAACTTCCATTGAGATTCCACTAAGAGCACCTGACAAAATAAGTCAGGTGAACATGTATTAGTCACCTCACTATCTAATACAGCTATAATGGAGGCAGATATCTACATTTTACGTAAATTTCATTACTTCACGTCGTTAACGAGCTTTGACTACCCGATGATGCAAATTTCATGTTTTATAAAATCAACGAAAACAAAAAGATGGAAAATTACCAGCCCATAGGACAGTGGCATCAGCTCCTTCAGCACAGTTCTGCCCAGCTACATCTCTGCAAGTAACACTTAGATTTAACTTGATTGCTTCGCTTGTGTTGTTGCGGACCAGAACCTCCATAGGAGTGACTTCATGTGACAAAACCGATCCCTTTGACGATGGGGACTGAGCCGCCGTCTCCAAACCGTTTCTGACCAGTCTGAAGCCAAATGTTAGCGGATCTGGGAGCAAAACATCCATCACTGTCGTCTGGAGGGCTGTCTGAATTGCATCTTTAATGTCCAGTTCTCCTGAGCTGTTCCTTCCCGATTGCCACCGGACTTTTATCTTAGAAATGAGATTCTTGATCAATGCATTTATCTCAGCTTTCGTGTTCTTCTCTGAGAAGCTCGGATGTCTGCTACTCGAAGGGCTACCAGGCGGAGGGTCCTTTGTGAAGAATGAACCGTCAAGAACCGGTAGCTTGAAATGCTCCAATGGAATCAGTACCCTTGCAGAATAGTCTCGGTCGATTCTTGTTTTTGGGTACTCGTACTCGGGAGAATCCTGGACTGGGGAAGAATCATCTTCCTTGGCAGGATTTTCCAGCTGAACGAAGACGCTGATTTCAAAAACAACGTCTGTTGGGTTCGATAACTCGAGTTCTAGAAACCGTAGGCCCCAACTTCCCCTAAAGGGATTGATCTTGACAAGTCTGTCTGTATTGCTCTCTGTCTCGGTGTCTTCTTCCCGAAGGTTGTCACTCACATGTGCAGGGATTTCCATGGAAAGCAAACGAGCTTTCACAAAAGATAAACCTTGCAAAACACAAATCTGTAAGGGAACAACAAGACGTCTGCCCGGTGGCACGACAGAATCTTTTTCCTGGGGATCCCCATTGCTAGACAACGGGCCTACAAAAAAAGCATGAATACAAGAATGCTTAGAATTTGGTCACCGTGAGGAAATACGAAGCACTGCAAAAGTAAGATATACGTCATAAATACACGTCAATGAAGATATCTGTACCTGCATAGTGGATAAGCAATGAAGGGCTAGTTCCGTCTTTTGGTCTGCCCGCAGCGTTCCTGCCACTGCCGATAGCATTGTCGGAATCCGTTGGTCCCACATGCCAAGCTTTTAAAGTAACAGGCAGAGTCACTTGTGCCCCAGGTTTCAAGGGAAGAGCAGACTGTAAAGCTTCATCCGCTATAGAGATAACAGCATCCTGATTCTTTCCGGAGAGCGAGACATGTGCTTGTTCTATTGGAACTGTGCCAGCATTTGCAAAATTTATACATACCTCACGAATTTCACCTTCATACAGAATTATTGCACCATCACCACCGACAACGTTGGCCACAAGGAGGGGCAATGGCGGTACAACTGAAATGTTAGGCACAAATACATGTCGTAGCTTTGCAGAACCACAGGATCTGAAAGGGTCGGAAAATACGAGTCCTTGTGCTGCTCCAAGAAGCAGATTGTCAACATCCCTGAAAACATGTTCAGTGATTACACCAAAACAATGAACGGTGCACCCTGGGATCGTCACTGGTCCTACTGCTGTTGGAATACCAGATAACGTGATCACCTTTGCGGAGTTAGGGGGAATGTCCACACTGACAGGAAAGGCATCAAAGTTTCTTGAGTGAGCTGAGAGATAAATACTATCAACCCTTAAATCGAAGCAACACGGATTTGCTAACTCCACTAAGACCTGAACAGGTTCACCCACCACCCAAATCAATTCCTGCTTGCTACTTTCGTTTGCATCTCCTTTGCTGAAAGGAGTATAGATAAATGGCCCAGAAGGAGCAGATCCGGTCCACCAATCTTCTCTTGCTGGATTGCGTTTTACGATGTCCACTTGTGAGGAATGGAGTGGGAAAGAGAATAGCCTGAAATTTCATAAATATAAAAATATTTGAGCAAACCATAAAATAAAGTTTGCCAAAACATACGTAGTATTGCGAGAGTCAGCTACCAAGCAAACATGGAAAGGCGGAAAGTTAAATCATAAATTCATAATGGTACAGAAGGCAAATCATCCCTGAAAGCAAATAGATTGACCGCTGATAAATACCTTACAAATGGCAAGGCAGGGTCAGCACAACGAGTTCCAGAAGGCAATCTATCCGCTGAACTCGCAAGGGAATTAGCAAGTCCATTTTGACCTGAAGGTGTAATTAGAGGATAATGCCACCTCAGAAGCCTTGCTGCAGCGCTCCATGCGGCAAGGGGATCTCCAGCGCGAACAGCAGAGAGGAGTATCTCCCTAAGCACAACCATCTGCAAAGTGCTCCACTGAGACTCGAACAGAGAGACAATGGAATGATGATGCATTTTCCCAGCATCAGGTTGACGCATTCCAGTTTCCTTAACCAACAAACGCAGGAGAAAATATGATTTAAATAAACTAAACATCGAAGTATAGTACGCGGAGAAACACCAAAATAACAAACAGTGATTATACAAAACAAAATCTTTAGGAAAACCATGAATGTGAAGAAGGCTCAATCAACCACAGGAGAAGAAAAAATACTTGTTATGCTGTCAAACTCACATTGTTAATAGAAACTTTTGACACAGATGCTTTACTTTGGATTCTATATGCATCAGTTGTCATAGAGAGAACTTGCATGGCACTGATAGCAGCCAATCGATTGTCTTGCTGCAAATATAATTGGGCGACCTGCCTACAGAAGAAGGCTGCTTTCCGTTGATAACCAAGTGCTCCAAATAAACGTGCTACTTCTACATATAATATGAGCCTATCACTGGCGTCAATTAAAGACTTTGCACCATCGGCAGCATTGGTTAACAGCTCTACTACTTCCTTAGCCAGTTCTCTCCTGCACAACACATAAAAATACCATTGTAAGAAAGATTAAGATCAAATAAAACCAAGGAAAAAATGTGCATTCAACCAGAAGGAAAAAGCAACATAAATTACAAGCTGTCCACAACCAGAGATTATCAATTAATACTTGACGGACAACCCATGTATTTTAGCTTTCTCAAAACGTAATAACCTTTTCCCAGCTAACATAACCATCAACCTCAAAAAGGAAAGTACACCACGATAATTTAAAGAAATAGAGAGCGTACAATGATACCTGCAAAGGAATCTGGCCAGTTTAAGGGTAGCTTCGAGTTCAAAGCTTAGGGGCGAAACTCTGCAAGAAAAAAATAATTGATTGCTATCTTGCAGTAATAAATTTACTGAAGAAGAGTGCCCAATAAGGTAATTTAATGAATTTACCTCTGAGCAATTTCTTGAATAAATGACTTTCTGTAGTGTAAGATAACATTAGTATATCGATATCTAACTTCATCTTCTAAAGCCACATCTCGTTGACCCATCCGATCTACCTAAAAAATAAGAAAATAGAAAAATAGTGATGATTGTAAACTAACAATAAAGAGGAAACAGATGAGGATAGTTTCAGATCCAGAGTATTTCAGATAAACAGCACATTTACTATCCAATGTTTATAATCCTTTGAAAAATGTAAGAACATTTTGCACAAAGCCTTACCAGTAAGGCACAAACACTGCCTTCCAAGGCGCCAGCATACCAGAAGTAATCTCCTGTCAATCTAGCCAGTTCTAACGCAGTAGAGTAGTGAGCATTAGCATCAACAGGTGAACCAGCCAACAAGGAATAGTCTCCAATAGTTTTTTGAGCACGTCCCAGCCTACGCTTTTTGGCCTTGATAACCTGCATTACACTAATCTAATGAGCCTAGATGACTATGGTAACAAGTTTAAGCTTCCACAGGAAGAAATGAAACGTAGACTAAATTATAGGACACCTAGACATAAACCTCCTCTGAGTTGAGACTAGCTTGGGAATCCAAAGGCGTCTTCAAAATTGTGCCTGCAGATTCTGCCTGAAGAACCCACTTCTCAAATTCCATCAACAGCGAGGCAGCAATGTCTTGCATCATTGTTTGTAAATGAAACTCTTGAGTTTGCTTGTCAGATGGAGGAAAGAGAATCAAATTTTCACCCTTTTTGTCTCCATCTTCAAGCTGCAAAAGTAAACAATACATTGAATTATTAGAATCTTCAATCGAACACATACAAAAGCCAGTAATAGATCACTCGTACGACCATACTAAAAACAGAAACTACCGATTCAGAAACCAACATTACTATCGACTATAGTGCATCTACTTTAAAACGAACAAAAACCAGAAAAGGAAAGAGAACAAGCTAGCAGACAAGTAGCATCGAGATTACAAAGTGAAGTGGAAAATGATATACTCACTTGCGAATCGCCAGGGGAGAACGCGAAGCAGCGCCGGACAAGAGCCGAGGAATAGCTCTTACAGGCGACATTGAAGCTTTCGGTGATGGAGACGAGATCAGGGGACGAAGGACAGTGGCAAAGGCCGATCACGGCGAGAATCTTCCGGTTAGACTGGAAATCCTCCCAGGGACTCGGCGGAGAACCACCAAGCACAAACTTGAAGCGGAGGGAGCCGGAATCCCAGGGCTGATTCGTGAACGGAGATTTCTGGTGCTCAGTGTAGAAGGAGCTGATAGCTGAGAGCGCGATCGTGTGGTGACGGAGCAGCATCGAGTGGTAGTCCCGGAGAAGCGCCGGCGGGATAGTGCCGATCGGGAGGACGGCGATCCGGATGATGGACAAGGTCTCGATGCTGACGTCAGGTTCCATGGCGGGATCGGAAGAGATGTGAAGCCAAGGAGGATCTTTCGGTTAGGGAGAGTGCACGGGATCTGAGGAGGGGGGGGAGACGGAAACGAGAAAGGGGAGCGAACGTGGTATGTTTGGAAACTAGCTTTATCTTATTCTTAAATTTAATTATTATGTGGGGTCACGCTATTAATCTAAGTATTAAGAAATATATGCATAGGAAAATATATATATATATATGGAATAATTTCCTGATACCAAACAACCTGATTAGAATTCGCGATTACTATTGATTACTTCGCAAACGCAAACTGAATTTTTTTGAAATCGCTTCTGAGTTGAAGCGGCCTCGCGTAATTTGATCACTGCGAAAGCTAAGCAGCTTCGATCCAGCTCGCCGACTGTATCGGAGCTTCGAGTTTGAGGAGATGCCCAGTGTTACTGCTTCCCCTTCACGCCGTGTGCAAGAACTTTTAGCCTTGTGCTTCAGTGTAAGCTTCTCAATTTCTTCTCCTAGCTTCGTGTTGTGTGCTTTGTTTCTGGGAAATTTTCCCAAGTACTTCGAGGTCGGTGGAATACTTTGCAGCCTCGTCGTGATTCTAGAGTGCGATTGAAATCATCTCCGCTTATCGGACATAAGATCGAACTTTTTTGGTGTGTGTATTGGTTTGAGCTAGTTTTATTAGTAGTTTCCTCTGTGTTGGGACATTGACGGCTATAGTATTGTGCTTTGCAACTTCATGTTTCCTTTTCACTTTGAATTTATTTTGAAGTTGTGTTTTTTGCAGTCAGTTGAAGTTGAAGGGTCTCAAGACTTGCAGAGCTTGGCGACAGAACTTGCCATCTGCCTGGATTCTTTCTCGGATAAGGTAGCTTCGAAGGCCACCGACGATGAGCTGGAGAATGATGAAGTGGAGAATCATGAACTAGAGAATGATGTTATTCAAGTTCTAGCCGAAATTTCAAAGCTTTTGTCATCTCCTGAAACGGATCAGGTACTTTTAGAGTTTTTTAAATCCACTTTGACAGCCAAAAGGTTTCATTGAGAGGTTTTGATTAAGCTTTATGGATTTTCCCCCAACTCATTGTGTTACAGGCGGTGATAGATGCGCTGTCGTTTGTGTTGCCGCAAGTAATCTCCAAGTTTACAATCCTATCAAGCAGATGTCTAGAATTAGTTGAGGAAATCGTCGATCGATTTGTGGAAGCATGCAGTCCACGGGACATGCTTCCAGTTCTTTGTGAGGTATTAAATTGCTTTTTTTCTCGTAATTGGTGGTATTTGGAATAAGAAGATAACAAGTTCTTGTAATGGTTGAGTGTTTTGTCGATTTGATGGCCTTATGAATCTGAATGACCAGGCACTCCATGATGCACGGTGCTCCCCTTCACCCTCCATTTGTTGTACTCCTTTACTACATGGGCTCTCTAAAGGTATAATAAACTCAAGAATTTTATATTGTCTTAGAAATGAATTTCAGTAATGTTCTTTTCTTCTTCTTCTTACTGAAGATATTGAATCCCACTAAGCTTAAGCATTGAAAAGTTATTTTTAAAATTTCCTGGTTTAGTTTTTAATTTGGTTCAGAGGCGTCACTACGAACACCTAAAAGTTGCAGTTCCAATTGTCCTAAAGGCCTTGAAGGACATTTCATTGGAAACAGACGTGCAAGTTGAAGATGTATTTGATAAAGCTCTAGGCATTGCCGTTTCAATCCGAGATGTTTCGTCGAAACTGGTATGTACGTGTGAATAAGTTGCCAATTGGGATTCCCTAAATCACTTGCCTGATTTGATCTCTTTTCTTTATTTACAGAGGAATGAAGAAGACACAAAAGTTCGTTGTTTGCTTGGTCTCTATGTGATACAGATGACGGTTTGTACTTCATTTCAGCTTTGTTTCTACATATATCCTGGAAATTTTGGTGACTTTGTTCGTCAATACCTGAGCATTGGTCTGATTTTGCAGGCTATTCTTTCAGTTAGCATCAGAGACAAAGTGGCCTCTTGTGTTCCACTGGTGATGCAGTTTGAACCTTTCTTGATATACTGTGGTTTAACTTATCTTGGTTTAATCACGGGGAACGACACTGAAAAATTAACGAGCATGGTTGCTGGAGGTTAGTCTCAATACTTAAATACTCACTTTACTCCATTAATCCATAACACGTACCCTTTCTCGTGTCAGGAGATAATTTGTCTCACGGTTTTAATATGAACAGGTGATGATGATGATGATGATGATGATGATTTCATCAGCTATTTCCCTGACATCAAGTTGGGTGCGTCACTTTTATTCATCTGGGCGAAAATCTCACCCAACGATGCAGAGGATGCTAGTGCGGCTTTGAGAAAGGATGTAGATGAGCTTCAAAGCAATCCGGTGAAAAGGTGGGAAGCTTATGGGATGTTGAAATATATACTCTCTTCTGGAGTTCTGCTCTGGGAATTCAAAAGACACGCTATTGAGTTTTTGCTTGACTTAACAAAAGGACTTGCGTCATCTCAATGCAACGATGAGCAAATAGACTGTTCACACTACACACCTAGCATCTACGCTACTTTACAGGCATAATATTCTTCTCATTGATCTTTACACCGTTCAGGTTTACCAGCATTCTAAGTGTCTCATTTCTATCTTTCAGGCTGTTACAGTAGCGATCATGTATGCCCCAGACGCAGGTGTGAGGACGAAGACATTTGAGGCACTGAAGAGGGTAAGTAAATTCGCTATTGAAGTTTTCGTTCTTTTTCTGTCCATATACATTGTGTAAAAAGTATTTTCTTCTTCAGAACTTTACTTATCTATTCGGCTTAAATGTAAACAGCGATAATTAGATATCTCGTCTTACAATCGTTTTTTGTGCTGTTTGATTAGATTCTTTCTGATATCCCCACTCCTGAGAGGTTTGACATTTTAAGAGCCCTTGTCACAAACTCTCAGTCTTCCTCAATGGTCAGTATTTTCGTATCCTCTTGAGCTCTATTAATAGTATAGCATGTAACACTTCACATAGATGATCATGAAGATACACATTTGCATGCGTAGACCATTCATAAACTGCATATTTTAGTATGTCTTCAGTATATAACTTCAACTAATATTGTTTTGCTAAATCAACACAGAGAGCGATTCTTTTGGGTCTAGTTAAAGACAACATGAGAAAAATCAGCGTGCAAGCTACAGATTGTGCGACTGTAGATACGCACGTTATGGAGCTAGTCGAGTTGGTCTTAAGGCCTCCACAGGGTGGTCCCCCACTCCTTCCGGACCAGAGTGATGCGGTGAGCTGTTCATTCCTAAATCATTTCCCTCATAAGAAATAGTGATGTTCTCTCTTGTGTGTATCACATAAGTCTTGTGTGATGTTTGTGCAGGTTCTGGCAGCACTGAATCTCTATAGGTTTGCATTGTTATTTGAATCGAGAGGTAAAAGTCTTAACTCATATCAGTATTCAAAATCTCTATAGGTTTGCATTGTTATTGTTGTTTCTGACTAGACAAAACTATAGAAGGTGAAGCAGCTGAAGAGAAAAGCAGAGGAGGCAGTGAGGTTTTGTCAAAGAAGAATCTGGAGACGGCACTTAAGGAATGGCTTTTGCCTCTTCGACTTGTTGTGAGCTGCATCATTGCCGAGAACCTCAAGGAGGATGACAGCCACGAATCTGAACTCGGCGATGTAAGTCTTCTTAACACAATTGAATATGTTCTGTATCTATGCATTGAGCTTGTGGAAGGAAGGTTGAAACGTCACTAGCTAGAAAACAAAACATGAGGAAATGCAAATGCTCCTCCTTATTGCATGATTAGTACCGAGCACTACAATTCTGCTCATCTATGTGTTACAGAATTCATTTTTTTTAATTTCATTTTGCTGCAACTTTGGTTATTCCCAATTTAGTGTGAACAATTTGCGTATTGTAACCATTTACTCGTTAACCATCTGCAAAACAGTTCTGGGGTTGTATAATTGCCAAAGACCAAAGCGGAAGATTACTATATAGCAGGCCAGTGATTGGGTTGGCTTGAGGCTCAGCTTATCCTTATACTTGCATACAAAGTTTCAACATGTGGAGAAAAATAGTGGTTAAGGTTATCATTTTGAGATGGCATCATATTAAGATCTGGAAGAAGGAAACTGGTCTTAGAGTGTTGATGATGATGAGGTTGCTCCTGAATCTGGTGCATAACTTTTATTCTCTTCGACTTCTCATTCTCCCTGAACGTGGCTTCAATTCTAACCTTCTGTTTGATCACATAAACGTAAGCAAAGTTATATAAAAAAAAATTGGTGTACACAAATTAAAGTCCATAAAAGCATAATTAAGTCAGAAGCATACACATGCTAGACCATACTCCATCCTTCCAGCAAAATCATATTTTTTGAAATTTAAAGTATGTTCAATTTTCATTAAATAATTTTACAAAAATGAAATGTTCAATTTTCATAAAAATATTTATACAAAAATGGAAACACGAAACGACAAAAGCTTCTCTCGTTGAAGCATTGAAGTTGAAAGTTGGGGATAGTAAAAGGAAACTGAAGTTGGAGCCTCCCACAGGCCACACCCGTGACATGAAAAGTTTTATAAACTAGTAAATCTTTAAGACACAAACAGTTGAGGTTGATAACCTAATATCTTTTGCTACAGACACAGCAATTGAAATTCGTTTACATGTGAGAGCTGCTTAAGAACGAAGCAAAACTGTCTAGTGTTTGTTTACTGCACTGACATGATTCTCTTTTTTTTTAAAGGGTTACTATTTATTTAAGGGATCCATTTATTTAATTTATTAGTCTTTAAAAAAAAAAAAAAACTAACGGAAAACTCCTCAAAGCATCGATCCAGCACTATATGACACCAACACACTTCACGTGAGCGTCCTCACGCGACGAATCCCACATGGTAGTTAAATAACCCATTGCCACATTTCCCATGCTTTATTAAAAAAACATGATTTACAAAAAGAATTAAGAATTTTTACGTGCAGCATTCAAGTCTAAAAGTCTAAATGTAGAACACAAATTAACCCGAAGCCGTAACATCTCTAGAATCAATATCCCAAAACTCTTAGCAAGTAACAAGTACATGCATCAAATGACATTAACGATTTCAAGGTAGAACATGGTCTACAAGTGCCAATTACCAAATAAATTAAATTTGACTAAATCTATTCGGAATGACCATAATACCCTCTCAATGTCACCGACTATTTTTGGAATTAAAAGGCGTTTTTGGTCAAATGTGTATCGTATTCTCTTTTACCTCAAAATTCAAAACAAAAACAGAGACTGAGTGGGAATCAAACAAAGCAGTAGCAGAGAAAAGAGAAAGCAAAGATCGTTGCTGCATTTGGAAAATAATTTCGGAGAATTTTCAAAAAAAAAAAGGATAATGTAACGATTATTTTCAACTTCTCGGGAAATTCAGAAGAGGCAGGGAGAGAGGAGATACGAACCGTTGATTTAGATCCGACGGCCACCGATCCGTTAATCTGGCGACCCGTGGCCTCGAAACCATCGGCGTAGGCAGAGGGAGAAAAAGAAACACCGCCGGAGCCACAGGGACCATCGCATCTCGTGGATCGAGACCTTGGCTGCCGAATTCCCCACCGGAGAGCTGAAACAGCCGGATTCGCTAGAATAACCGGCGTGACGTCGGCTTCCTTCAGGCTCAGCAGTAACTCCGCCACCACTCCTCCGTCTTTCATCGCTGACGTCGTCCAGTTTAAGTCACCATTTCCATCAGATATCTGCTTCTTCACCGGAAGAAAAACTGGCAGTCGACACTGCTGCTTTTAGAAAGCTGTTGTAATTTGTAGCTATGAAGAGGAGAAGGAAAAAAAACAGCAGACAAAGGAAAATGAACAAGGCTATGGTAGTGATGATGATTGTGAAATGTTTTATACATCTTTGACGTTGTTCCTTAAAAAGAAAACGTATTTGTTGTATATCTTTTTCGTTTTTTTTTTTTGCTTACATGTCCCATTCTTTTGTAAATTAAGCAAAGAATGTATATTGTTTCTGGTATGTAAATAATGGATAATTAGAACGATTATCCCATAATATTAATAGTGGGCAATATGGGTTTGGATGGAAAATATATTAATTTCTCAAGGCAAACCCATTCTTCACCTAACATGTGAATGTGATACTACTTTGAAATGGAATTAACTACATAGCAACTCATTAGGTAAAGTTTATACTTATCCTCGTTCTCTCGTGTAAATTTTATATTATAAAACTAATACGAATTTGTTTGAATTGTGGAAATTGCATTGTAAAAAAAAAAAGTTCAAGGTTATTAGTCAGACCATAAGTTTAACATGCTAATGATTCTCTCGTAAAATTAAGATTTCGACAAACATACGTACTCTTCAAATACAAAAACTCTTTATTAAAAGCACATAATACAGAGTATAATACTGATATCCGAGGGATTATTATTATTACGAGAGAGTGTATAGCTTTGTCAATTTATAACACAGTGCATAATTTCGAAATCTACAAAATAGTTACTATAGTGTATATCGACCGTCAGTGGTCTCCACATGGATAGTTTCTTAGTTATACTTATATTATAACAAAAGCTTTTGTTTTTGTAAATGACTTTTAACTTTAGAATCTGATGGAGAGCTGAGAAAGTCAAGTCTAGAATACTAGTGTTTTTCTAGACTTTTCAATTTGAAATATCTGAATATGTAAATTCCTAGCATTGGAAAATCTCTATACGTAAATAATGCATACCGTTTCATTTTGAAAAATGTCAATGTGTAAATTCGTAGCACTGGAAAATACTCTCACTCAATGAACTCAGCTTTTGATTCTCTTGTTTTTTGGCAAAGAGATATATAGTCAAAATTTAGTAAACATGTATTTACCCAAAGCCCAAAGGTGAAGTATACATACCTGTTTGAACGAACGCCACAAAATTTACCTCACAATTGACTTGTCATGTACAGTGTAGACTTGTCATGTACAGCGTATATATCCTAAGTTTTTTTTATACAAAATCATATCTCTTTCTTTTTGCATTAATACCAAAAATATTTTCCCGATATTCTTTTGGTAACTGCTCCACCTCCAAAATTTCGTCCGAATCCATTTGTCTCTTTCTTTTTACCATTTCTTGCACAGAGCTTCAACAATGGTTAAATAGGAAAGTGAATATTTCTCAATCATCTCTCTTTCTCTCTCTCTCTCAAACTTTCAAACACATTCTTTCTTCCTCATATTTTCTTCTTCTCTCTTCTTCAAACTCATGTATCTTCTGTAAGACCGACCCAATTCTCTGTCTAAATCTTGCCAATTCTCGGTGGGTTTTTGAAAGTAAACTTTTCTAAAAGTAAGGTAAAAAGACAAAGAGAGAAATGAGGCAATTTGTTGTAACAGCTCTTGTTTTACTACAAGCTTCTGTTCTTCTTCATCAATCCACATGTGTTGTGTTCCTCACTACACAAGACTCTCTTTCTCCTCAACCTTCTGCTTCCACTCCCGAACTATCTCCGGGTAAATTCTATCTTCTCTCATTTCTTTTCTTTTCCTTCAATTTTAGGGTTTAGTAACTCACTTCCACATTTTTAATTCGGGATTAAAATTCAAGAAAATTAGATAAAGAAACAAATTCTGGTTTGCTCTTGTTCGACATCACACCTGTGCATCTAATGATTATGATTTTTTTTGGTTCGTTATAGATTTCACCTTTTTGGTAGAAATTAGAAATTTTTCAAAAACTTTCTTGCGAAAAGATTTTAGCTTTGTGGGGAGCTTTCTCCATTATAACGCTTCTCCATTGCCCGTAAAGTTCGAACTTTTCACACGATTTCTCTTCTTGGTCTGCAAAGTTCCCAAATTTTCTTGAATCTGAAGGCTATACGCGGTTTTCATCTGGATTAACAAACCTGAAACGATGAAGAAAGAATAACTAATCCCTTTTGATTGGTTGTGATCAGGATTTCAACAGGAAGAGCATAAACAACATAGTAACAACATGAGACTGGTTATTTCGCTTGCAGCCGCATTTTCCTTAGTTGGTATAATCTTAGTTTGCTCTCTGCTCTATTGGGTTTTCCATAGGAGAAGAAACCTCAAGAGCTCAGGTAATTACTCTGTAGATCACATATCTTGTTCATGTTCTTGTTGGTTTATATATAGCCTTGAACTTGAAATTTATTGATGAATCTGATATCTGAGAAAGTCATCTTTGTTAATTTTACCTGCATTGTTTGAGTAACGTCTTCAATGTGCCAATTTGGGTTTTGAAGGCTGCGAGTGTAGTGGAATCACATTGTCACGGTTCTTGAATCGGTCAAAAACATTCGAGAAGGGATCTACAAAGCACAGAGTCGTGTCTTTGATTGATTACGAAACGATAGAAAAGGGAACCAATGGTTTCAAGGAGAGTAACATTTTGGGGCAAGGTGGGTTTGGATGCGTTTATTTGGCTACATTAGAGAACAACGTTCAAGCTGCGGTTAAGAAGCTAGACTGTGCCAATGAAGAAGCAGCGAAGGAATACAAGGTGCAATACAATCTCATCTTTTTTTCTGAAAATCTTCCATGTTTGTAGTTAATTTTCCTTTTATTGATTGCCTGAAAAAAAATCATCTTTTTGATTTTGTAGAGTGAGGTTGAGATATTGAGTAAGATAGAGCACCCGAATATAATATCCCTCTTGGGTTATAGCACGAATGAGACTGCACGGTTCATCGTCTACGAGCTGATGCCAAATGTCTCTCTGGAATCTCACTTGCACGGTACGGAGAAAACCCAAATTTGCATATATTCTTGTCGAGGTTGTCGTGAGAGCATGAAAGATTGAAACTTTTTTATTGTTCATGTGCTTGTTCCTCAGGATCTTCTCGAGGGTCGGCGATCACAATCACGTGGCCTATGAGGATGAAGATTGCTCTTGATATAGCGAGGTGAGTATGCTTTTCTTGTGTTTACGATAGCATTTTTTACAATCTAGATGACTTTACACAAATGTTGTTGAAACTCTTGTGTGTGTGTGTATTTGCAATTAGGGGACTAGAATATTTGCATGAACATTGCCATCCAGCGATCATCCACAGGGACTTGAAATCGTCCAACATATTATTGGATTGTAATTTCAACGCAAAGGTAACAAATCAATGTTTTTTAGAATGTTTCAATATTATTTCCTTTGTTTTTTTTTTTACATTCTATCTCAAGCTCTAGCTTTTATTGAAAAAAAATGTAGATTTCAGATTTTGGTCTTGCTGTTGTGAATGGACCAAAGAACAAGAACCTTAAACTTTCCGGGACAGTTGGCTACGTTGCACCAGAGTATCTTCTCGATGGTAAACCCTGAAACATTAATCTCTCAGTTCTTAATATATAGTAATTGCTTAAGGATGTTCTTATGATAATCTTATCATTTCCTCCTAATTGTATGTTTTATAAATGAATAGGCCAATTGACAGAAAAGAGCGACGTGTATGCGTTTGGAGTAGTGTTATTAGAGCTTCTACTCGGGAAAAAACCGGTCGAGAAAACCGGTCCCAGTGAATGCCAATCCATCATCACTTGGGTACATTTATATAATCTCAAGACAAATTTTTTTTCTTCTAAAACCTCTTTTTAGACTTGGAATCTTGAATTGTGGCTTTTTCTTTCCTTGTAAGGCAATGCCTTATCTCACTGATCGGACCAAGTTACCAAACGTCGTAGATCCTGCGATTAAAGACACGATGGACTTGAAACATCTATACCAGGTTAGTTTGTTTGCAAAATGTTTAGAGAGGGGGTGATCTAGTTGATTTTGCAAAGTAGAGGGGTGGTTTTGAGATAGAATAAAGAGTTGTGATGCGAATGTGTAGGTAGCAGCAGTGGCGGTTTTGTGCGTGCAGCCAGAACCGAGTTATAGACCGTTGATCACAGACGTCTTGCATTCTCTTATACCTTTGGTTCCTATGGAGCTTGGTGGGACCTTAAAGACCATCAGAAGATCTTCTTCAATGGATCACTGTTAAGCTCACCTTAGAACCGGTTTTTTCCTTCTAAATTGGTTAAAGATTGACCCGGTAGGTGGTTTTGATGTGTATATTGGGTTGGAAGTTGTAACCGAAAAGTAACGAGTTTTTTCTTACCTCCTTATGTATCCTTATAAAATTCTGTAGAAACTCACTTGTCATGTAAATGAGAGCGATTTCAATTTTTCAGATAAATTTTTTTCAGTATTCTTTTGTATGAGGTAGGAATCTGTGTGGAGGAGGATAAACATCACCTTTGTATATATTCAGTTCTCCAACAAATGTTTTAGCCTCTTGAAGATGTCCATGATAAATCAAATGAGTTTTCTAGTGAAGGATTGTAATAGATAAACTGATACATTGTAAGTAGTAAACGGAAAAACTGAGCAACAGAATGTCTTGAAAGAGAGTTTAGGTGGAAGCTAAGACATTGGGAGATAGATATGGAGATCTGTAATCTTTCACCTCCAAAAGACACGTAGGTAACTGAATATGTCCTTGTAAGAGAAGATCAACTTTCTCAACTACATTTTCTGCAACTGGAGTGATCACATACAATATTCCTCTCTCAGTGTCAATACCCCTCACGATTCCTATTCACACATCCAAAACCAATTTCAATCATAAATCGCCATATATCCAGATTCAGTTAGCTTTTCACTAGTTGCAATGGATAAGAGCAACTTACCAAGACCTACACATGAAGGCAAATCTTCAAACACATCGGAGCTAACGCCCAAGCCAACAATGGAAGCATTCAAACTATAAAACACTTCAGAACTTGGGATCTAGCGAGAAACACAAAAAGAGAAACCCCATTATTGGCATCAAACATAGAGATTAGAGAAGAAATATGACATTTTATATTGTTGAATTTTTACCTGACAGTGGAGATGATTGATTGTTAAACTCGATATTGGAACCTCATAAGGAGCAAGGGAAGCGAGTTCATGGGTTAACTCTTTGATAGTGTTTACTTCTTTTCCTTTAATGCATTGCCTGAAGTAAGCGATTATACGCGTGTCCCTCATCAAACGAGCATCCTTTTGTATCAAAACGCTGTACAAACAGAATACACAAACCTGTTAACGACATGAAACCATAAAACATACCGATGAGATTGTTCGAAAAACTAGCTTTTGTGAAAGACTTACGATCGATTGAAACTGTCTTGGTAAGCAGATTGAATCTCTATCAAATGAGCTGTCTCATCATCATTACCGTCTAACCAGAACAACCCATCTGGTAGGTTCTTGCCGTGAACAGAGATGTTGATTTTCACAACGTGGGAAGGAGAAACGTATCTCAATACATCCACCAATAAATCATACCCAATACCTAAAGACAGTAATCATAATATTAGTGAAAGAACAATATATGATCTAATCATTTTGTTTTGAAAGGGTATAGAGAGCGAGTATACCTTTAACCCAGCCTGGTGTATTGATGACAAGAGGTAACTCAGTTTTGTTCTCACTAGACTTGCGGAAGTTGAGCTGGTAGTAATCGAATAAGGTGTATATATATCTTAAATATGCCTTTGGATCCCTCTTTGAAGAAACATCACCATAGAAGAAACATCTGCATCATCAAATTAAAAGAGAAACGAGAAAAAAAAATGGCCTTAATATAAAAGAGTCGGTGCTACTGGTTCCATCAAAATTTGCTAGAATCAAAATTACCTCTCTGGTGTCTTTACACATGGAACAGTCCAATCCGATTCTAGAAAGTATAAAATGTAAAACAATAACATAAGTGACGGAAACAGCATTGTAAAGAAAAACAAGGTAACAGCAAGAATCGTCAAAAGCATGAGTATATGAGGTACCTAGAATTGAATTATCGACGACTGTGAGAGAAAGAAAACCAGGTGGGGTGAATTCAGGCTGGCCAACATCGGTGTCCAAATAAGCAACCCTTTTGTATCTGTAAACCACAACTGTTAAAAATCTTCAGCAAAACTCGTTTAGACATAAGCAGACAATGAAGGAAAGATTCCATTTTTAGATGACCTTCGGAGAAGAACTTCAACAAGGTTGCGGGAAAATGTGCTTTTGCCACTGTTTTTAGGGCCACAGACCAAAGCTACAACCGGCTGCAGCGAACTGCTTGAAACAGAGGTTGCTGCATCCGACCATTCCTCCGGTATGAAAGGCGATTTCATTTCTGCTCCCGACATTGCAGCAACACCTTAGCCACTCGTCCTTTCCACGTTGTTGCAGGCTCTGTTCTACAGTTTCTCTGCGAGTAATCAACAAAAGTTCTTAATAAACAGAACAACAGTGCTTTCAAAAGGGTTCAAGCAATGACATAACGAGAAAAAATTCATCCTTTTCCACCTAAAGCGCGACTAAAGACATTATTACAAAGGCTTCACCACTCTTCCAATGGATTACCACTATAACTAAACTCGATTTCGCTCACAGCAAAATTCGATTTCAACTCTCTAAGGTGTTACGATGATTCCCCGAGTAAGATAGATTGTGGGTTTACAAGTTAAGATATCGTCACAGGAGAGATACTAACCGGCGATTTGGAGTGCTCGACCAGAGGAAAACGTATGGAGCCGTCGGAGAAGAGGAAACAGAGAGATAATAGGGTTTTAATTTTGAAGGGCTTTGTAAACCGAACCGAACCGAAAGTGAACCAAATTTTATTTTAAATCCAAACCAGTGTTTTCAAACCCGCACTAATCCGGTCTGCTTCGGTTGATATCTAGCGAACCGAAAAAATCGGAATTGCATGAGAATCTGGGAGTCAACAAACCGATTGAATACGGGAGAACGTTTAATACTTTAATCAGTAAGATTCACCCAACTAATCAAAGTTTGAACAAAACAGAACAAACTTGTGTTCGGTTTTAAAAATATGGTGGCGGTGCTCACTGTTTCACCACAAGTAGTGTTCGCAGACGAAGAATATTTCCTCATGGTGGACAGTGGACCCCTTCATTTTATTTATTTACATTCTTGTTTTATTTGTTTAATCTATATTTTTTTCATTTAACTTATGACCTGAACCTGCTATTTCCCACCAGCATAGTCCGAAAACTCTATTACTTCGTGGCAGCTCATATTCCGCCGATGAGATAATTATAACATATATATATATATATATATATGCTGCGGTGAAATGAAAAGTGATTTACAAGTTAGTGAAAACAAATCTATATGGAACAGTTTATGATACAAGTATGGAGAATTGTTGGTCTAATGGTGTAACTCCTATAGTCGTAACCTTTTTTATAGTATTACCATACCTTTTGTATCTTTAATTATCATTATTTTTACAATGTATTTGTCCATTTACAAGGTTCTCGGTTCTGATTAATAACTTTATAGATATGTTTATATTTCTGCTGCAAATTAAACAGTTATGACTAAGAAATGGCATCAGATGTTATAAAAAAAAAAAGAAAAAAAAAGGCAAGAAATGAAATCTCCTGATGTAGGTTTAGTAGTATGGTGTGGAAAAGTTTGTTGATGGGCACAAAAATGTATGTTTGCTTCCAAGTTTTCCAAGGTAATGGGGAGTTTCAGAGAAGCTTTATATTAAAGGAAACGATGCTTAATTACGGTCACAAACCCATTTACTTACTAGCTTAAGCCCACCACGAGTCCCACGCACTAGGCAGATCTTAGAGATGTTTTCATTTCATCTGTCCCTTCTGCGACGGAAATGCATATCCTACAAATCAATATGAACTAGTGAGTGTAATTAATTTCATACCAAATAAAAAGTGACTCACTGGTCAACAGAAATTGGTTTGCGTACATATAGAATCATAGTCATAGATGGTGCCTCTTTCTACTTGTTGTCACCTTTTTATCAGTAATTTTATGAACGCCCCCAGATCTATTCATTCTATTTTTAGACTTGCTAACTATACAGATTACAAATCATATCCATAGTCATCACCAAAACAATAAAAAGAAAAAAATATGTCGTTTGGTCAAAGATATTTATGAAACGGGAGTGACAAAAAAAAAGTAATGTATTTGAAAAGGTTGAAAGGAGAATCTAAGAAGTGACAGTATAAGAAAACGAAGGTCGAGAGTCGGGGGGGCTAAGTTGAATACTAAAAGCGTGTTGTTGTTTCAAACTGACCTGGTCTTAGTCTTCTACATGAGAACTTTGAGTCAACCATTACTCTTCATCGTTTTATTTTTTTCCTTAATTTCTTTTAACAATTAAACGTATATTAGTTTACGAAATACCTTAAACGAAATCTGATTCTTCTTCTTTTCTTCTTTATAATTTTAAACATGAAAACACACATATCCAAACTATTGTTTGACCAAAAAAACGTTTTATCAAGCTATTATCACTGTTAACATCTAAAACAATAGGTTTCAAATTTATTCGATGGATGAATATGTAAATACTTGGTTGATATGATTCAAACCATGGTTAAAAAAAAATCGTATTTTAAGAAGTATTTTCCAATTAAACAAACACATAGTTTATTAGCTTACTTTACAAAATACATTCATATATTCTTTAACTAAAACAAATATCGTCTAATAATTTACAGGTATTTCAAAATACAGTAGATAAAGTGATTTTGAAGCAAACCATCTTAGTAACTCGAGTAGAATTTAAGCGTGATTATTACACAAAATTAATTATTATATGTGTATCAAAGTTTTCACTTTTACAATAAAAACATGTGCATATGATCTAAAGATATTGAATGAGTTAACAGACTAATCTGGACTCATATCGTGTAAAGTTAATCTCAGGCTGGTAAACTCGACTTTGCTCATGAATAAATTTAGATGAATTATTTGAAGAAATGATTTCTCTTTTAGTTCGATGATCAGATCGACTTTTAGAATTTTAAATTCATACTAATTTTGTATTCGAAAAGTCTGTGTGTAATTTATATGTAAACCACTCAAAAGTTTAATGCTAGCACTTCTATAGTTTTAAGCTGTTATAAGTTGAATTGTTATTTTAGTCCAATGGATAAACGGATGGATAGATGAAGGAACGAAGCAGGACAAATAGTTGAAACAAACGACTCATATATAGGTTAAAGCAAGTAGTTATAAGTTGAAATATGGCGATTTAACTATTTGAACAGTTGTCTTTTTATCAAATGAACAATTTAACGGCAAAAGAAGTCAGACAATGTTAAAACTATAAATGGGAATCGGCGAAACCTAAACGAGTGACGATATCAATGTTTTCTAGTTAAGTGGTTATCAATTCGGGTTCAAATAAGTTATATGTTTGGTGTATAACCACCAATTCAATATAGAGATAAACTATATCTTGTTATGGGTTGTTATAGATGTAGCTAATAATATAATAACGGAAAAAGATGTTTAGCTGTCTTACAGTTTTAGTTTCTTGAAATTAAAGTTTCAAAATCCATTTGTTTTATAGTATAAGATATACAGATCTAACCAAAGATCAGATTAATAATAAGGATATACCTTTTTCAATTACTCAATGAGTACTACTTATCCACCTCCTTTTAGCTGTCTGCCAACGTATCAGAATAACTCGAGGAATCAATAAAATACGACTTTATAAAAATTAATAATTAAATAGATTGAAAATGATGTTTTCAGAAGCCATAGTATATTGTAGTCGACCAACCAATTATTTTATTGTTTTTCCCGCAGCAGAAGGGATGCATCGTAAATTGCCTTTCGAAATGAGCAGTAGTGAATAGTGATCACACTAACGTGATCTAAAAGATATTACACTTACATGTCTAATTATTTGTCAATATATATTCAGCATAAAAAAGTTTCCTTTGTTAAAGAAGATTATTTGCAAGAGGAAAATAAAGAATGTGTATTTTTATATTTTTTTAAATACTTCTATGTTCTTCTTTTCTTTTTCAACAAGTTACTTCAAGGTTCTATAATGTGAAATTATTGATTCCTATTGATTATGTTCTCCAATGAAGTGTCAAGTGTGCAGGCAGTTATCATATCATGTTCCTCGTAGTCGAACAGTTAAACAATGTTTAGGGACCCTAATATTTACACACAACACACGCCTTTTTACTGCCAGCTCCTATATCTCGAAAAAGACAAAGCGATATACTATGTTTTATTTATATTATACTACAGTAAATGGGAGTAAATTTGGTTTTGGAACTACTTGTAGTTTAGACTGTTTAGTCTGATTCGTTAACCTAGTTTTGTTAGCAGTGATTTTTTTTTTGACCATTTTACAGATCATGAATATCACAAACGAAAAAAAAAAAAATCTATGAAACAAAAGTAGTAAATAAAATTTTAATCTTGTGTACTACACACGACAAACAAAAGAGGATGAAATAGTATGTATTATTTTGAATTTATCGTCTGTCTAAGAAAGTCAAGTTGAAAAAGTCAGTTCATGTCCAAGTTTACAAGTTGCAAGTTCGAAGTTCCATTTCTTAAAATTCTAATCTTGTGTCTCTATCAATATATATATCTTCGTCCAATTTTTATAATGATTTGGCAGCCTGCATCCAAATTTTGTTACGTATATTTCGAGCGAAACATCATTATAAATCCCATTTTCAATATTATGATTTAACAAAAGTTGTTATATAAAATCCCCACAAAGAAAAAAGAAATGAGAGAAGGTAAAACCCATTGAAAAACCTCCCAACACAACTCCCGAAAAAATCTCTCCCTCTCTCCCTCTTTTTATTCTTTCTTCTTCCCCAACAAAGAAAGAAACTAACAAAAAAAAAACGGAAACACAAATGTCTCCTTCTCGCCATATACCCGCTTGGCTCCGCCCTTCCTCCGATCACAATCATCCTCCGCCACCGTCGCAATCTCCGTCTCCCTTAGTCTCCGGCGATCCGAATCTCACAACTTGCCTCTACCAAACAGATCACGGCGTGTTCTATCTCACATGGTCTCGCACTTTCTTAGGCGGCCACTCTCTGAACCTCTTCCTCCACTCTCAGGATTACTACAACCACTCTTCCCCTCTCTCCTTCTCCTCCGCCGATCTCTCTCTCTCCTCCGCCGTCTCCTTTCACCTCAACTTGAGCACATTGGCTTTCTGGAGAAAACGCGGATCCAGATTCGTTTCCCCCAAAATCCAAGTCTTCTGGGACTTGACCCGTGCCAAATTCGACTCCGGATCCGAGCCTAGATCCGGATTCTACATCGCCGTGGTCGTCGACGGAGAGATGGGACTCTTAGTCGGTGATTCCGTCAAAGAAGCATACGCTCGCGCCAGAGAGGCGAAACCGCCGACGAATCCACAAGCTCTGCTGTTGAGGAAAGAGCACGTGTTCGGAGCCAGGGTTTTCTCGACGAAGGCGAGATTCGGAGGTAAGAACAGAGAGATTTCGATCGATTGTCGAGTCGACGAAGACGCGAGGCTCTGTTTCAGCGTCGATTCCAAGCAGGTTTTGCAGATCAAGCGGCTGAGATGGAAATTCAGGGGGAATGAGAAAGTCGAAATCGACGGAGTTCCTGTTCAGATCTCTTGGGACGTTTACAATTGGCTGTTCCAGAGCAAAAATTCCGGCGACGGAGGACACGCCGTGTTTATGTTCAGATTCGAGAGCGATCCAGAGGCAGAGGAGCTTTGCGAAACGACGAGGAAAGAAGAGGAGGAGAGAAACGGAAACGGCGTCGTTTTGTGGAAGCCGAAACAGTGTCGAAGCAGCTTGGGGATTAAAGGGATTGTTGAATGGAGGAAGATGAGGAAGAGATTCGTTAAGAGCAAGAGGAGTTCGTCGTCGTCGTCGATCTCAATGTCTTCGGCTTCGTCGGCCTGTAGCTCATCGGTTTTGGAGTGGGCTAGTAGCGCCGATGAGGCGGAGTACGGCGGAGGAGGATCTTCCGGTTCTGGCACCGGCAATGGTCTTGGATTCTCTTTGCTGGT